AGACCTTGGCATCGCTGACGCGACAGTGACACCCTCGACGGCTCTCGAAGCATCGCGCTCTAGCTGCTACAGCTGAGCAAGCGGCTGCCTCCACGGCTTGCTGATACGAAAGCTGCTGGCCCAATGTCTCCATCTCGTAGTTGGCCTTTGAAATGACTTTAAACAACTTTGGCAGCTCAAAGATGCTTAAAGTGCCTAAACGCAGGTCTCGCTGAATGAGCCGAGTTGACACTCATACGGTCTCCCAATCCGAATCAGCCCCAGCCGGCCCACCTTCGACTCCCTGACTCCCTGGCCCCGCTCGCATCTCGTTTGAATGCATCTTGCCCAACCAGTGCTCCCCCCCGCTCTCACCCTTCCCCACCCGCCCCACCCCGCTGCCCTGCAAAGAGCTAGCTTTCCTGGAAGTGGTCGCAGCTGCAGAGGCCAATGACACCGGCCGAGGCGGGTGGCGTAGCGCTGAAATGAGCACGCGGAGGCACTGGCGGCTTTCAGGGGAAGCTTTAAAAATGCTTTTCGATCCATGTTTTACAGTTGAAAGCCTTGCAAAGCCTTGCTGTGCAAACTCCTTTGCGCTGACATTGAAGGTCAGCTTTCCGAGTGGGCGATCTCGGGGTTCTGTGCCCTGCGCAATGCTGGGCCCCGCGCTGCGTAGGTGGTAAAAACGGTGTTCGCAACGATCATGGTCACTACAGCGGACACCTTGTCACCACAAGAGTGCTTGCAAAGCACGCTGCCAATGACATCTGCGTGTGCCGGCGAGCGACAAACACCTCATCCTGGACAAAGGCTGCCAGACAAGACGTCCTGAGCGCCAAGCTTCCAGCAAGTGACCGGTGGGAGCTGGTAAAGCTGTGCCCGCCAACACGATGATAAGATTTGCTGAGAACAACCCTGTCAGTCCTGTCAGGCTCTTCCAAGCTGGATGCCCACGACATCCTTGGATCACACTTGGATCACACTGGGAGGCAAGATTGACAGGAAGCGATCCACAGGAGCATAATGGCAAGTGTGGGATTTCGGATTTCGCCCAAGCGTCGACTGCACAACCCGGCCACTGAGGCTCCTGAGGCGACGGGCGACCCAAGAGGACATCAGGGGCGAAGCTGCGGCGTCTTCGTCCGCACCTTGCGAATGCCGGCAGGGCGCGCAAAAGCTCCGAACACACAGCCGACGAGTCGGAGTCGTCGCTGCAGTCCCCGTCTTTGTTTAATTGTTGCTGCCCCTTGCAATGCGTCGATCTTGTCCAACTTGCATCAGTTCCATGCAGCCCAAGTCTCGCAGGAAACGCCTGTGCTTTCGCAAGCGAGCATTTCGGTGTGTCCTTGGTTGCAAAGACCTGTAAGACTTGAATTGGTGTCGTGGATTGGCGCGAGCCCTGTTTAGCCGCGTGACTATCAAGTCCCCTCTAACGGAAGCAACGTAGCCGAACCTCCTGGCCCTCACATGCCCTGCTCAGGCCAAGAATCCAAGGATTAAGGAAGGAGCCAAAGCGGCCCTTGCTTTGAGCGTCGCGCTTCTCCAAAGTAGCTTCCTGCCCGAATATTGATCCCCCACCCACACGACTTGACCTGAAACTGCAAAAAACTCCCTAGCAGGGCTGTGTTCACATGGCCCTGCCAAGCAGAACTTGACAGAGCAAAAAACATACGCAGCAATTATGAAAACTAATTATAAATCATGGTACGTCGTGCACAGCAGGCTTGCGCTGGGGTACGAAGTTCACCCGAACATGTTTGCCGGTTTTTCAGCACTGCAAAAGCCAAAAGAGGGTCCGGATTCTTCTTTCTCTCAACTGTCTAGCTGGTCAAATTTACTTTGGGGATGTGCATGAGTCTTAAGGGAGGCAGGTTTAAGTGGGGTAGGTAACTCAAGGTTCCCTAATGCTCCCCACTACTCCCTAAGCTGCCCTGAGGCTTTCTAGGTACCTAGCCCTCCCTTAAGAACCCTGTTTGCGCCCAGGCACAAACTAAGCCATGCCAAATGACCTAAAAAACCGAATTGCAGCACATGCGGCAGGGCCCTCTCTCTCTCTCAAGTTGTATACCTCATACGTCCCCGCCCTAAAGCTGCCTTAGCCTAGCTGGCACTTTAGGGATACTCTGCCACGTGGTGCTGGGAACGCCGGAGACAGCAAAGCAAAGAGCGAGAGAGAGAGAGAGGAAAAAAAAAAAAAAAAACAGATTGTCACTCTCGCCTCGCTCTTGTCGGTGGCATTAAGCTCGGGATCCCCCTCAAGCAACAGTGTTTTGCCAGCGCGCCCGTTTTGTGGAGGCATGCCAATGCACCATGCTTAAAGTCGCAGCAAAGGCACCGCCTCTGTAAACACCCTTAGCCGTACACGAGGTTGCAGGTGCATGTCGGACAAGCTTATGCGGAGGTGATGCGACCACTACGTGAGGCAACATCTCAAGCTTCAAGCTGGCTACTTCCGCTTGAGGAAACAGCTAAGTGCTGCTAGCTCAGACAGATTCTCTGCTCAAGGATGCTCAAGGCATACGTACAAGGACGCATTGCCTGCTTACCATTGCATCAAAGGCTCGGTTGCGTCAGCTCCTGGAATTTGATGCTCACATTGCTGAGCTGGCTGCTCAAGCCCTGCTCGTCTGGGGGTTGACTCTCGCTGGGGACCTTGTGGCAGCCACAGGGCTGTCATAAGGCTGTGGGCCGTCATTTTGAGCCAGTTTTGCTAGCGACTGCGCTGAGACACGCAGCTTGTGCCATCAAGCGGCCGGATCGTCAAGAGCTTCTCTTTCAAAGCCCAGACGGAGCCCCTGATCGAGGTTGGGTGAGCTCTCTCGGTGAGCTTCGTGCACCATGCATGGCAACCTCACTGCGCTTACTAGGTACTTCAAAATGTCATGCAGTGGAAGGTGAGAGTTGTCCTGGCCGTACATTGCGCAGGTATGCGCAGGTTACCATGCAGGTGTTTTTTTTTGCCTAACCTGAGATCAACCTGAGCTGCGAAAACCTTTCAACACAACTGAGGTGGCGAGACTTGCCCTGGCCTCGTCACGTTCCAGCTGATCAAAGAACGCCTGCAAACGTTCGTCTTGCTCTCGCAGGTGGTCCTGCACTTACTGGCGGAATGCGCAATCTGGCGCAAAACTCCAGTGATGTGTGGACTCACAAGGCAGAGCAGCAATACACTGAATACACACCATCCTCCAGCGCTTGCCGAAACCTGTCAGGGGTGACCTACGGACTTCTTATGGAACTTCCAACTAATCCCTTCCCTCTAATACTAAACCCCAGCCTAATCTGAAATAGTTTTTCCCGGACCCTCCCGGGGCCTAGCCGAATTCTAAACCTGTTTGAGAATAGGGGAGGTTGAGGGCCTCCACCCTTGCGTTGTGCTATTCGGATTTTCAATGAGGGTTTAGGGCTTAAGGCTCAGAGAATTTTCAGGGTTAGGGCTCAAGGCTCAAAGGTTAAGGGCTTAAGGCTAAACCCCAACTGAACCCTTAGCCCCAAATCCTTAGGTCGCAGTCACTACTACATTTCTCTCGCTTTCCGCTTTGCGGTTTAGGCTTCGGAGATTCCAGGTTTTAGGGTTTAAGTCTCCCCTGATTTTGAATAGTTTCTGGCCGAGGCGAATTTTTAGAATTGCGGGGTGCGGGGGGGGGAAGGGGGGAAAGGGGGGGGTGGGTTTAGTATTCGGGGGAAGGGATTAAAGTGCACTCGCTAAATCGGAGGCTTGTTTACTTGAACAAGGAAGGCTGGTCCGGATGCATGACAAAAGTACAGCGACCACCGAGAGAAGAACTGCTGTGGGCTCCAAGCGGCTGTGCAGCAAGATTCGCCCATGCAGCTGTTGCTGCGATACCTCATGGCTGGATACTGCAGGACAGCATGTCACGCTACTTGTTTGGCCTCCGTCCTCGCTTCATTCGCGTCCTTCCGATTCCCTGTGGCTATACTGGCGTCATCCCTTTCTTCTCCACGCCCTACCAAACCTCTGCTTAGGTGCCCCGGTCTTGATTTGTACAAGTTGGAGGCTCCTACCAGCAGCGCGGAGGGCTACCCCCCCCCCCCCCCCCCTCCCCTTCTTTCGGACCAAGAGACGCGGCCCTGTCGCGCGGCTCGATTTGCCCATCGCTGGCGCACATGCAAAAGAAAGCTCAAGGTCTCTTCTTGTCACTTTTACCTTTTGGGATCTCCTATCCAACCCGACTACCAACTACTTACAAATTACAATGTGTGGCCGGTTGCGACGCATGGTCGGATAACATGGGGCAAGGAGAGGGCATCAAATGCTATCCATTTCAGATTCACCAATGGCCTCTTTGGATTGCCGTATATTCCTGTAGGCTCTTGGGACGTGGTATTGTCAATCGAGAAGCGGCTTCGGGGAATTGGGGCTGGCGACCACGCGCAGACTGACAGACTTGCAGATAGAAGCCTCACCGGAACAGCTTCGTTGGCACCGGCATATCTGCAAATGACGGTGTGTGATTTACACATGTGCGTAGCAAGAAGTTTAGTCCTGGAGCCCATGCTTGCGAAGCCAGAAGCCTCAGCATCTTCAATTGTGCTGTGCGCGCGGCTTGTTCTTGTTCAAGGCGACGCTCTTCGTCCTCCTTCTGCCTCCGAAAGAGCCAAGGCAGTTCCGTAGGTGGTGTGGCAGCTCAACATCCACAAACCCTGCAAACCCTGCAAACCCTGCTGGTCTCCCGTGACAGTGTTCGCGCCTCCTGGCAGAATTCGTTTCTGCTTCGAGTGCCTCTAGCTCTTCACCTTTGCAAAAGCTTGGCACAATAAGGTCTCGGCAACTAGGTAACTATGCAACTGCGCCATTGCTGGAGAAGGGTGTTCTCTTGTCTGAGCACATTGGTGTCTTCTGGGCTGCAGAATATCTACTCACAACATTCGGGCAGCACTCTTCCAGATCCAGTAGTCAACGGCTAGTCACGGATATCTGGCTGGCAGAGGCCTCTGCTGAACGTGAAACCCCCTCTTCTGGTCCTGTCTTAAGGTTGTCGATATGGGGCAAAATTCGCTTAAACCATCCAAAAGCCGGAAGCGGACTCCACACGATTCTGCATCAGTTCCCCACGCTGACGACGGATCTCCGATTCCGCCTGTGCGGCTTCTTCAGCACGCTGCCGACGTGCCTGCAGCCACTGCGCGCACTTGCCCCAATTTAGACGAGTAGCTTCTGCAAGCATCTGAGGTTCAAATGCGAAAGGTCCAAAAGGTCCGCAGATTTTGAGCGCACAGGCCTCAGCTGCTCGCTGGGCCTCAGTCTCCTCGTCCTGGCGAGAGGTTCGGCCAGTGGCTCTCAAAGTTCAGACATTTGAGCATGTCGCAGATGGGAGCACCAGCCTCTCGCAGTCTTTGCTGCTCTGCCAGCTTTCCGCGCAGGAGCTCCTCCCTTTCAGCCTGCAGAAGAAACCTTATCCCAAGCCTGTGAGCGCATCAGGCGAATTGCAGTCAGCCTCCAGAGCACGAAGTTCATCCCTGTGCTGGCGCAAAGCCTGAGCCAGGGAGCCAAAGTCGCTTACAAGTAGAGCGGGGATCCTCACCTTGCCTCTTGCTGCTGCTCCGCCCACTTCTGCAGCTCTGCAGAAAAGCGTTGCTCCTTCTGTTGTGGAACCGTTTTTTAAAGGTGAACCGAGAGCACCGCCAAAGTCCAAAGTTTGCTCGCGCTGTCCTCCTCAATCTTCTTCGCAAGGGCCTCTTCCCTGGCGGCCTAACCACGTACAAAGACACACCTAAGCAACGACGAGTACGCCGGTGAAATCAAAGTTAGTTTCGTGCCTCCACTGCTTGCAGCTCCTCACGGCGCCGCTGCAGCTCTGCACGCTGCCTGTCTGCCTGCTCATCGACCCTCCGATGGGATTGCTAAGGCTCACTATAATGAAATCAGCCAATCTCAAAGCACGCCTCAGCTGTAAGTCGTTGCGCCTCCTGCTCCCGTTCCTGCGCACGAGAGATCTGATGAAGTGTTTTCGTAGTCTTCGGGAAAGTGGTGTATGAAATATGTCCTGCAGCTAAAGTTTCATGCAGCATGAGCAAAACCATTCCAGAGACAACCAGGTCAATGTGTGCTTCACTTCACAGAACTGATTGGGGCATCCAGGAAAGCGCTCTCTGAGCCAGGGGGAGGGACGGTTCTTCTGTGTATGTGTGTGTGTGTGCATCCGGAGGTCAGACGGGAGAGTGCCCTTGCACTGCTACCCAGCAACTCCCAGCGCACAATCAGGTTTGGTTGAGAGGCCCTGCGCCTCGTATGTAAATTTCGGGGAAAATTGAGTTCAGCACGCCATTGTCAGCACGACGAGCAGTAGAATCGAATACGAACTCTACACAGCCACCGCAGTTGAGTCCTCCCTCCGACGCTGAAGCTCCTTCTCTTCACGTTGTGCCAGCTCCTGTGGCACCGGAGAAGGTGCAGCTCATGGGCAAGATGAATCGGATGAAAGCGAACTTTGACAAGCCCTGGTCATCTCGAGTCCTGGCGTTCCTCCTCCAGGGCCCTCAACTCCTCGCGCTGTCGCTGCAGCTCCTTTTTCATTGAGGCGAAGACGAGTTACGAAAAATAAGTCACAATAGGCCACAACAACAAGAGATACCGTGCCAAAGCGACACGACGTGCCTCCTGGACACGCTGCGCCTCGCGCTCCGCAGCCTCCTTGCGCTCCTGCTCCTGCACTTCGATGGTGGCGATGGTGGCGATTAGGGGAGCAAAAGCGACAAACAACATCAGGCTTCTTCGGTTCTCCTCTGCGGAGCGCCTTTCCAGCAGGGCCTGCTTCTCCTAAAACGGCAGGGAAAGGACCACGAACAGCCAACGCTTCGAATCTTGGAACGAAATGGAAGACCGGGTGACCGACGACTTCGTCAACTACGAGTACCACCCTGCCTCCTCCATGCGCCGCAGCTCCTCCTTCTGCTTCTCCAGCTCTTCTCTTCGCTGCGATGCCTCTGCCTCACGGCGCAGGACTCGAAAGGCACTGCAAAATGGCACTGCTACGATCTGCGTCACCAGTAGCGCTCGATGGGCCCTGCATCGTCGGGGCCTCCTGGGCGGCCTGTTGCTGCCGCAGCTCAGCACGCAGCTGCTCCAACTGCACCTTCTCCCTGTTGGCTTGCTCTTCTTGCCGCAACCGTTCTCGGTCCAGCTCCTACAAAGGCTGCAAGATTCGGCAAGTTCAGGCACAAAAACATCCACGAATCCTGAGCGGTCCTCCCGGGCTGCCTCGAGCTCGGTCTTTCGCTTCGCCGCTTCCTCCTCCTCCTTCTGCAGCTGTGCCTCACGGCTTCGAGGACCCGACTGTTCCCAACGGTTCCCGTGTCTGTTCCTCCGGGAGCAGCACCTGCTTAACCTTCACAGGGTCCTGCGAAGGAAGAGCCGGAGGAGCGCCGACCTGGAGCTTCACCAAGAATCATCATATCTACACATTCTGCACTGCACCATTCCAGCCACGTGCATGCGCAGCAAGCTCTGCAAAGAGATGCAAAGACATGTTCTGAAACCTAGGCGCTGGCCCAGCTGAGGCGTGTGGTCCTGTACAGGACTTGGCTTGGGCCGGACACCTCCAACTTCACCTTTGGGAAGGACAAGTCGTGCATGCAAAGCAGAATTCCAAGGACTGAATGTCTGAGATTCTCAGGCTGCAACATCAGTGTCGCGGCGCGGTCCTCTCACGTCTTGCTTCGTGACCTCAGACTCAGGTCATAGTAAAGGATCCGAATCCCACCCCCCCCCCGTCCGCCCCCAGCCCCCCCCAATGTTGAGGGATTCTATTCATTATACCCTTTGCAGACTTCCTGAAGCTTATTGGATTTGGCCGTCTAAATCATCTGGCAGTTGGTCTAACTTGCATTGTCCCAAAAGTGCAGTTTTTGTGACAAACTCCTTTCGCATCCTTTCGCGACACTTTGGCACGGCCCTCTGAATCCTAAAGCCCTACTCTTCTGGGGTTTGTTTTATATCTACGGATGGATGTACTCAGTTTAGGGGGTAGGCCTGAGGCCGGCCCTTCGTTACCCCTGCTGGTTCTTTTTCTCAGGTGCAGAGCTCTCTCTCTCTCTCTCTCTCTCTCTGCCTCAGCAGGAACCTTAGGGAGCCAAGCCCGAAGAATCCAGAAAGCTAAGCCGGCCGGCTTCATCTAAACATTTTTGGGTTTCCTTGCGAAATGAGGCCACAAAAAGGCGCACGGGCTAGCCCGGTAGGTTTGCTTGAGCACTCGCTATAAGCCCAAGTTGTTTGGGCGGGAACTATTTGTCATTGGGGGAGCTGCAGTCTGAACCCCGTTTGCCCTTTGCTGGTTCCAAAAACTCAGGTACTCTCTCAGGCTCAGCCCAGGAAGGCAGGAAAACTTCAGGCCTTAAGGCCAAAAAACTCAGGTCGGAAAGCCGTGGCTTCAGCCCAAAGGCCCCAGGGCTTCAGGGCCCGGCTTCAGCCCAGCATCTCCCCCCTAATTTCGTTTAGGGCCGGGAAACTTCTTTCTAGAGCGTCCCAGATTTTTTGTTTTTTGGAGTAGAGGGGGGATTCAGTCTAGGCCTGCAGCTTGACGGAGGTGAGCTAGCTTTAAGTTCAGGAGTGAAGCGTCCACGGAGGCCTGAGTGGAGGGTCACGGAGATTTTACTTAGAAGCCCCTTTCAAGGACCTTAGGTCATCCTATGATCAACAACATGTTGGCCAGTGTCCCTACTGACATCTATTGATAAGCAAGCTCTGTGCGATAAGATGGCGGGCGCAATGCTCTCCTGAACAACGAGAGGCCTCCATGATGATTTCGTCATCGTCCACCTTCCGGTTTGGGTCTCACATCTCTGACACGAGGCACCGTGATAGGCGCTAGCCACATCGGTGCACTGGCCTCATAGTTGCCCTCACACCTCCAGGGCGGTTGACCGCCCTCGAAGTAGTTCAGCTGCGGGATGCACTCCAAGGAACATCTGACAAGGCGGCGCAAGGTCTTTGCATCACTTCCCCTCGTCTTCACTGCAGGGGCCTATGGGCGTTGTGAAGGACAAACTCGTACGTGACCTTAGCCCCGACATGCCTTGCCTCTCACACGCACACGCTTCGCCATGGAGCTTGCTGAACGCCATATCTTGAACAAAGTGGCCGATGAACAAAACAAAAAAATGCGGCCAAAGGGCGTGGTCTCCAGGGCACGTGACATCTCTGGCACTCCCGATGTACACTCCCAGTTTTGGGGCCTCAACCATTCCTGCAAACTCTGCAGGCGCCGGCACCCGACGCAACGGATTTACTTCGTGTCCCGTGTAGAGATGTGTAGGGATGTGTAGAGATGTGTAGGGATGTGTACAGATGTGTAGAGTCGCGTAAGAGATGTGTAGAGATGCGCAGAGATGGGTAGTGGTAGCTCAAGTTCGCCCCCAAGGATGGGCCGTTGGATCTGCACCCAATGTCTAGAGAGAGCAAGTGCAATTGACGGTTATTGGCATGGCCAATGGCAGCCTAGCAGTCTTGCAAGATCCTGTCCACTGCCAGTTCTCCTTGAACACAATGGCTGCCAGAACGGCGTACACATGGTCAGCTACTTGATGATGCTGCTGCGGGGTTGTGAGAATTGCTGTTGTATACGCCGTTCTATCAAGGGGTTTCATAGCTAGCAATAATTCATTAAAACGCAGCAGGACAGCAATCCGTCATTCGATCCCCAATTCTTTTGGAGCTCTTGTGCTGCTTGCGCAAGATCGCAGCGCCAACCTTTTCTGGCGCAGTTGTTGTTCAAAAAACGGCCCACTCATTTTTGTGTACCGAAGTACCGAAACAGCAACAGAATCTAACTCGCCTCCGTTTGGTACACAAGCCTTGCCTCATTCCTGTTGAGCGATGCTCATGATTCTCTACACGGTGGCAAAGTGGTCCGCAGTGCCGCAGGCAACCCAGCTGCCCCTCACACCTCGCCAGGGCCTGGGGCCGGAGCCTCGATGACCTGGCACAGCATGCTTGTGAGCAGAGATGGGCACTCTGAAAGCTTCTTGATGCGTCTGCAACTTTAAAAAAACTGCTCTGGACGTCTGAATGGCTGCGGTATGCCTACGCCGTACGGGTTTCGCCATGTCTCGTCTCCCTCTCCGGGCAAGTCAAGCTGGGCGAAAGAGGGCATTGTGAGCCTCCTAAGCGACGCCCCAGTCCAGCCCAACCCTGTCAATGTAACACACAGGCCAATTGCCTGGGAATCTGTCTTGAACTCCGTGCGTTGTGGTAAGCTGCACGGCATGCATACCAGATTACGAGTTGTGTACGGCTCACTGAGGGCTATGTACGGAGGTGCACCAGAGTGTACAGGAAAGCTGCACATATCAGTCGCACAGTCTCAGGTATCGTACGCTTTCCGCCTCCCAGAGGGCAAAGCCGTTTGTGTTGACGTTCCTTAGACGCTGGGAAACGATGCCGCTATGGGCATAAGGATTCAAGACAACGAGCCGGTGTAACTCAAATGGGGCCACCAATCACCCGTGTAATTTTGCCCTCTTGACATGTCCCGATCCTGTGCTGCCAATTAGCGCATAGTTCACCCGGTCAAACTTCACGGTGACCGGATACTTCACCTCCGGCTTCTGGTTCACATTCCTCAGGGCAAACGCGACTGGACTGCGAATGGCGTGTGCATGTGTGACACATGCATGTCTTCTTGGAAATATCGGATTTCATAGCAATGCAGGCAAGCATCACTACCTGCCCTCGCGTCTGGAACCAATAGGACTCAGGCCTCAAGATCTTAACCCAGGATCCTTTCCTTGGCTGCACGTGGACTTGAAACCCTCTTGTCATGAGAATCAGCGAAGTTCATGAAATTAACATCATGCAAGGATAGGCAAGGTGCTTGGGACCAACCCAAGGTCCCTTAGCCTTCTTCTTTGGGGCCGCCTCAGGCTGTTGTCTACTTCCACCAGACATTCACATAACTAAGGTTGATTATGGTTGGTCTACATTCTGAGATCTGCGCCCGCAGCACCGTCCGAGGCTGCACCGAACTGGTGGCGGAGGGGCCGACGAAGCTGCTCGGTGCCGCGCACCAGGCCGCCAACGCGCAGGCTGTCGCCAGGAAGAGGACCTACAGGACAAAGGTGACAAGGATGACAAAAGGTGCAAGTGACATACACCAGCTACGTCTTACACGCCAAAGTTGAACCATCCAAGTGACGGAGAAGGCACGAGCCATGTTGCGGGCAGCAGAAGGTCTTGGGCCAAACACGCTGCAGTTTTCGTTGGTCTGAACAGTGTGTCTCCGTCAGACGATGCAGGTCATGCCATGGACTGGAAGATAGGGGTAATGCCAAAAAGCTGTACAAGCCCCGACAGGGTTGTCACACACTCCAGTTCCATCATGCGCGTCATGGCATGGGGACGATTCGTTTTCACAGCTGTCCGTCGCCCGTTGCGCTTGATCTGCACATAGTGCCCGTGCTGTACATGGCCCGTTGAAAGGAACACGGTGTTGAAGTTGGTTGGGGCAGCCTTTCAAAAGCTTTGATCGGACAACAGGACTACATGATTGAAACGGCCGGCTTGCATCAAGCATAGTTGCGCAAGCGCGAGGTTTGACCCACTCCTGGATTCATGCAGTTCGTGGGGTCGATCTTGCACCACCTTTGTCGAGTGTCTTCGGGAGCTGCATACTCAATCCCGTGTCCATGCTCTGCTGGGAGTTTGCCACCACTGCCTGACTCTGCCGAGCAATCGAAGAAGTCATCTAGACCGGAGTAAATCACATGTTGTTTACGTACGCGCTGGATGCAGAGAATCCATGAACCATCCCGTACTCAAAAATGTTCAAACCAAGCTGCGTTCAATGAACTTCTTGATCTGCTTCTTTACGGCCTGGCATCATATGACTCGGCGTCAAAACACTTGCTTAAGCCTTGCTTGTTTTGGAATTTGTGCGTCCCCTATCGCTTTCCGTGTTTTTCACCTACCGCACTTGTATACTGTATCCTATCGTATCAAACTACCCTATCATTTAATTTGAGCGCGTCCCCTATCGATCCTCGGCGTTTTGCCGAAACAACTACCCCCTCTACTACATAAGCAGGCGGTGATTTTGACCACGTCTCATATTATTGCTATATAGACAGCGGCAAAGGGGCGAAGCATGAGAACAACACAACCTCAAAACTCCCACATCTCATCGCACAACCCTCCGCACCTCCGCATCGACGTCTTTCCGTAGAACAAGACTCTCATGGAACACATTGCAGCCGAAGTGTGAGCAAAGGCAGCGCATTTCAATGCCCCAGTCTTCTGGCAGCTCCAGAATCTTGTCGAAGTTCCTGAGCGTATCGTATAGACCGAGTCCAAAGAGTTTTGCGGGAGGTCACACAGCTAGGGGTCACACACCAACCTCACGCTCCCGTCATCTCAAACCATTGAAACGACCAGCAACTCTCACTTCACCCACAACATGTGCTCTTGTGTAAACCCCGAACCCTAAACCCTAAACCCTAAACCCTAAACCCTAAGGGCGCGCCCAGCTTCTTGGGCATCGCGTAGTCAATGATCAAGCCCTGGTGGCCGGTGCCCACCGCCATGGTCCGGATGGAGGGCTGAACCGCGAACCGGAAGAGCATCACCCGCGAGGACTCAAAGGCCTCAGAAGCTCCAGAAGAGTGCTCCTCTCTGTTATGCGGTCATGTCTGTGACTGCTAATCGTTTATTGCTAACATATATAGGTATTTGTATCTGTATCTGTATATGTATATACGAATATGTCTACGAATATCTACCCATCTATCCCTAGAAATATGTATACATATATAGAGATATGCAGAAAAATAGCCCATATATATCTATATGTATATGTATATACATATATATATATATGTCCAATGTGTGTGTGTGTGTGCTAATACATGTAAGACTTCAGGGGCCCGCCGAGGACAACGAAAACTAGCTTAAACTGGCTTCGAGCAACCCCTCACCCACCCCTTTGCTGCATTCCTGGCGATCCCATCCCTCTTCTTCTTCGTCGTCGTCTTTCCCACCCGACCTTTAACTGTTGCTGTGAATAACTATACTCGATGTCTTGTCCATGCTATGTACTCGATTTACCCTACACACTGTGTATGCACACAGACTCGATATACTCGAGCACTCTACGAAACCCCATGTACACTACATTCCCCAGATGGCCGAACACAACACGTGCTAGAATCACTTGGTCCCCCCCGCCGTCGTCGCCCCGTGCCCCGAAATTATCAATAGAAAGACAACTCTGAGGGCTCGTTAATAAAGTCACCTACAGGTAGCGTTGGACCGATGTCCCTGCTGAACTCCAGCTAGCTTTCGTGATTGCTAATACTATCATGACCACTGTTGTTGCTACTAACTGGTACTATACGCTAGTGATATTTTCGAATATTTGTGACACACCGGGAGGCATTGCGACAAACGTAGCTCTTGGCTTGACCTGATGTTCAGGCCATCTCGAACTCAGAGCTCTCTCTTTCCAAGTGCTGACTCGAAAGACAGCTTGTGCAAGTCCCACACCTTCAGGAAGAGTGGCCAGGGTGTTGTCCAGCAAAGCCTCCCAACAAATACAAGAGTACACCGAGTACACTGCAACGTCAAGCCGTCCCCTCCCTACACTCCACACATCTCCACAGAAAAAGTCAAGCGAGTCTCCACAAATCGCCATGATACAGTAGCTTGTTGTGCAGAAGAAAGCAGGCTGGCCTCGAGGCGCTTCAGCTCACCGCCGCCAAACCTGGAGAATCTCACACTGAAAGGCAAACACAATTTTACAAAAACGAGGATGGGGTTTACTCCTGCGGGCTCGAGGCTCTGTCATTTCCATGATCAGGTGATGGTCAAAGTCTCTGCCCTGCTGCATCAGCTGCTTCGGCAAGGACTCGGGAAAGATCGGATTTAGGTACCACAGAACCTTGTCCTTAGCTGAACACTGACCAGGCTTTGAAGTGAAAGTTCCTGCACATTTGCCAGCTGAGCATCTGCCAGAATGTTGACAAAAGGAATTGGCAAGGCCTCGAATTTCAGCTTGAAGTTCCATAAGCCTGACAAGTTCATCATTCCCAGGAGCTCAATAAGCTTGATCAGGACACGTCCACCGCGATCACAGCAGTCAAATTGGGAACGGCCCAAATACTCGAACTGCTTTGGCAAGCAGTCTGGGGAACTAAAGATTTTGCGCTTGAGCAAGTTGGCAGTTGCAAAGTCTTTGCAGGAAATCCAGACGAACTTGCTCTCACGGGGCATGGGGAATGTGTCGTGAACGGTGGCTAGAATCAAGACTTTGCCCTCAGATCGGTTGCAATCTTCGCCCGCGAGGTCAGAACAATACCTCGAAACCTGGCCATCAAAGCTGGTGACGTGCTTCGGATAGTTCGGCCACGAAGCTGCTCTGCGACATGTAGGGTCCACATCCTTGCCAGTGAGCACTTCAGCCTCATCCAGGAACGGCACAATTTCCTGGCCCGATGGAGTTTTCAAACCCAACGTGTTAATCACCTCTACGTCGCCACCTTTCGTAACTCGGCAGTACAGCGCTCGATCCGTATAGGCCGGCCCCTTGTGGACCTGCGTGCCACCACTGCCAAAGGCGATGCCGGCCGCCACTGAAGGGTTCAAAAATATGGAGCCCAGAACGGAATGAGAGTCACGATTCAGGGGCTTTAGGGCCTCTTGTAGGCTACAGATTCCTGCTCCAGCAAAGCATAGCACCTGCTGTCCAGCATCGATCGGAAGAATCTTCTGCAGCCGTCTCATGTTAATGATCACGAAGGGTCTATCGCAGCCAGAGTCTCGGGGAACAGACCCGCCCGTCAGACCGGTCTTTGCCCCTTGGGGAATGATTGCAGTGTCTGCTGCAACACAGGCTCGCAGAACCCGGACAGCCTCGTCCAAAGTCCCGGGCCTGACAACAGCAATAGCACGGCCTCTTCCCACCATGGTGCCGGTTTCGTCTGCATTTTCCACAACGTTGCTCTGGCCAACCTTATTCATCAAGCTTCTGACAGCTGCATGGACATAGACATGGGACAGCGCAGGTGCAAACAGTAGTGTCTGCATTCCAAGCTCACTTCCTAAACAAACAAAGTGCTCATTCTCAGAAAGCATGAATTGCCGCAACATGCCGCAACTTCCGTTTCTGCGGCAAGGCGGCGATGCCGCGAAGTGCCTGTGCCAAGGACTGCTGAGCAGGGCTCAAAGCCTGACGGAGCACGGCAGGATGTGGTGGCCCACGGTGTACTCAAGCCGCAACAAAATTCATACTGGTACCAGCAGTGCTTGTGCTGTCTTTGCTGTCGTGTACTGCTTGCCCGCCTCGTCACAGCACACACGGAAGCCGGATCCAGGCAAAGCCCGCTCCCGCAGCCTGCTGTGCTCAAAATGCCCCAGCTACGCTTTAACACGTCCTGTGACAACGTTGCCATCCGGATATATCACGATTCTTTGCTGGAGGTATTTGTCCATGGCAGGTTGTGCATGGTTGTATCGTTTTTGGCGCGCTGCCGGATGTGAAGCTTATAGCTTTTCCCGAAAGCATCGCGAAGGGTTCTTCCGTGCGGAGCCCTCTGACCCAACAACATAGAGTGAAGTGCATAGAGTGAAGTGCATAGAGTGAAGTGCATACAGTGAAGTGCATAGAGTGAAGTGCATAGAGTGAATTGCATAGAGTGAATTGCATAGAGTGAAGTGCATAGTGTGAATTGCACAGAGTGAAGTGCATAGAGTGAAGTGCATAGAGTGAATTGCATAGAGTGAAGTAGAAGTTAATAGAAATTAGGAGATTTACGTAGAATCTAGTAGACCTTCGTACCCAGTCCTAGATTTCTAAATTAAAATTACTCTTTCTAAGGCGGCGGGCTGGGTTGACATCGCCAATCGGGATTGCAACCCTCTGCGGGTTTCGGCATGGTCGCGGTGCTAAAACCGTCGTTTTTTTACGTTTCTTGATTTGCGCGGACAACCCTGTGCGGGTTTCGGCGTGGTCGCGGTGCCAAAACCGTCGCTTTTTGACGTTTCTTTGTGTCCGCGGACAACCCTCTGCGGGTTTCGGCGTGGTCGCGGTGCTAAAACCGTCGTTTTTTTACGTTTCTTTGTGTCCGCGGACAACCCTCTGCGGGTAATCGCCGGGTCGCGGTGCTAAAACCGTCGTGTTTGGTACTTGTTTTCGTGGCCGCAGACAACCCTCTGCGGGTTTCGGCGTTGGCGCAGTGCCAAAACCGTCGTGTTTTTGCATTTTGTGACATACAAACGTAACCCCTCTGCGGGTTTCGGCGTTGGCGCGGTGCCAAAACCATCGTGTTTTTGCGTTTCTTGACATGCAAACGTAACCCCTCTGCGGGTTTTCGCGTGGTCGCGGTGCGAAAACCGTAGTGTTTTTTGCGTTTTTTTGTCGACTTGTGTAGTACAGACGTAGTACGCCGGGGACGCCGCGGACACGCGGAGCTTCCGTGGCTGGAAAGTCGACTTTTGTAGTACAGACGTATAGTACGCCGGGGACACCCGGAGCTTCCGTGCTAGAAAGTCGACTTTTGTAGTACAAACGTAGTACGCCGCGGACACGCAGAGCTTCCGTGGCTGGAAAGTCGACTTTTTCTAGTACAGACGTATAGTACGCCGGGGACACCCGGAGCTTCCGTGCTGAACACCGCATCGCAAATACCATGGTCCCCGAATTCGCTGTTTCCAAAACCATCGCAAATACCATGGTCCCCGAATTCGCTGGTTCCAAACGCATGGCAAATACCATGGTCCCCGAATTCGCTGCTTCCAAAAGCATCGCAAATACCATGGTCCCCGAGTTCGCTGTTTCCAAAACCATCGCAAGGAGCTTCCGTGGCTGGTTCCAAAACCATCGCAAATACCATGGTCCCCGAATTCGCTGGTTCCAAAAGCATCGCAAATACCATGGTCCCCGAATTCGCTGTTTCCAAAAGCATCGCAAATACCATGGTCCCCGAATTCGCTGTTTCCAAAAGCATCGCAAATACCATGGTCCCCGAATTCGCTGTTTCCAAAACCATCGCAAGGAGCTTCCGTGGCTGGTTCCAAAACCATCGCAAATACCATGGTCCCCGAATTCGCTGGTTCCAAACGCATGGCAAATACCATGGTCCCCGAATTCGCTGCTTCCAAAAGCATCGCAAATACCATGGTCCCCGAATTCGCTGTTTCCAAAACCATCGCAAATACCATGGTCCCCGAATTCGCTGTTTCCAAAACCATCGCAAATACCATGGTCCCCGAATTCGCTGGTTCCAAAAGCATCGCAAATACCATGGTCCCCGAATTCGCTGCTTCCAAAAGCATCGCAAATGCCATGGTCCCCGAATTCGCTGGCTCCAAAAGCATCGCAAATACCATGGTCCCCGAATTCGCTGGTTCCAAACCATGGCAAATACCATGGTCCCCGAATTCGCTGGTTCCAAAACCATCGCAAATACCATGGTTAATGATTTCGCAAAATCACATGGTGCTCCAATGCCGAGCGTGCGAAAACATCGCAAATTTCATTGTTATTTAATTCCTGGCGTGCGAAACTCACTTCGGTCAGATTTCACTGTGCTTCTCTGCTCTTTGAAGCTCCAAGGTCTTCTTGCCAACCTCGCTCTTCTGTCCTTTTTTCTTTGAAAGGCGCTCTGGAGTGTGAGCTTGGACTTCAGAGCGACTGCCGATGATGCTCATGGCTGACGGCTCTCGCGTTAGATGTTTTTGTCCTTTCTTTCATAGCATCGCGTTGACAGGACGTGCGCAGCCGAGTCGGGTGCATGCAAGTGAAGTTCATACAGTTCAAGTCCGTTTACTTCAGATCTATTGAATGCCAATGAAATGTATAGAGTTGACCACAAGTGCATGGCATTCAACTCAACACACTTGAGGGCCATGCAGTTCGAGTGCATACACGTCCAGTATACAAGTGCAGTATACAAGTGAGTATGCAACCATATAAGTGCATACACTTAAGTGCATACACTTGTCCAAGTGCAGACAGCTCGAGCGCACAGAGTCAAGTGCATAGACTCAACGCACCGCAAATCGATGCTTTCGGGCCAATCGTCTTCTAGTTTCTTTCTCTGTCCCCTTCGATCGAAATGCCTCCCAGTCCACGCTGCTACATTGAGCAGCGGCCATCCCCGCTCCCCGTTTCCTGTTGTACCTGGGTACAAGAGCTGTTGTATAGATCCGGGTTGTCCCACTATTCCTGTACAGTAGTGCTCGTGCCGTGTTTTCGTCCCATCTGCAGGAAGCTTGCTCGCAGGTTCTGCTCGCACCCTGTTGGGCAGGGGCGTGGAAGGAGGCACTCGTCGAGCTTTAGGCGCCCTGCGCCAGAATGCACTAGCTTAGTAGCGCACCTTGATGTTTATGTCCTGTACGTTGAGTCATTATGCCAGCTACGCCAAAGCTTCAAGATCTAACGACGCAAAACATGAGCTTGTCGCCATCCGCAGATGTCACGCGCTTTCATCCCTGCCTCGAGTCTGCGAAAGCGACGGACAAGCCAAATCCAAAACCGAGGGCTCCAGCAGCAACCACCGTACCCGTGCCATAGCTCCTCCAAGCACGGCAACCGAATCTCAGGAGCCATGTTTTCATTCTTCACGGGTACGAGTAAATGCAGAGCCGTCCCGTGAATGCGACACAATAGATGATGTCAGCTGCCACAACCATCTCGGGCAAACGGTTCCTCTCGGATGCGGCAGCCCGGGGCCCCCAGCGAAGGAATAAAGCAGTACTGGAGCGTCTCATGGCACTGGCTGACTTGTTGCGGAAGTTCTGCAGGGGTGGATGTCAGGTGCTGTCTAGGTCTATAGGTCGTCACAGCCATCGCAGGTGTGGCTACTTTTGATGCCTCGTGTTCCTTTCTCTTCAGCTGCTCTTGACTGCTGCTACATCATGTACGGGTCCATTTCGTCTGTACATCTTCAAAGCTGACAACCGCGAAAGACGTCAAGACGTGCGGGGGTAGGAGTCACTGCTCCGCAAAAGTGAACCCCCCCCTCCCCCCACCCAGCACCCATGCTGTGCTTCAAACTCGCCTCTTCCGGACTCGCTTGTCATGACACTTTCATGGCCTTCGCCATTGTCGTAGCGCTTCCACCCTGAGCCGCTGCAGTGCCGGCAGTGCAGCAGCTAGCGCCCCATGCGAGAAAATCGCGGTCAGCAGCGCCTCAGTAAACTCAGTTCCGTGGGGCTCATGATGCCTCACAGGGCCTCACAGCGCGTGGCAGCTCCTGGCTCATATTCTAAGTGCAAGCAGTGCCTCATAGAAAATCTCATCCGCCCTGTCTGTGATGCCCAGGGTGTCTACCTGCGCAGTTCGGGCTTGCCAAGCGAAGTCCTATAGGCCCTTGGCTACACACAGCTCTTGCAGCAAAACGCTGAGGTGTGAGGTGACAACGCCTGGTAGAGGGAGGCTGCCCAAGGCCCTCGTGCTGCGAGGAGGGCGCTGACAGAGAGAAGATCTGGCTGCAGCGAAACCTTCACATGCTGCCCATCGGCATGGCACGGCAACAGTCGGAAGAGTCAAGAATCAAGACATTCTGCACTTATTGCACTGCTTTTACGCACATCCCTTGGCACCTGGATGAGGTCTGCAAAGAAGCACACCGCTTGCTTCCACGAGGCGTCCTTCGTGAAGCCCTCGGTCGAAACGCTACAGACTCTAGGCAGCAGCATAATCAGCATAATCAGTACAATGTCTTCATACCATTTCCCGTGCATTGACTGAAGACAGTACCAGCACGGCTGTTCTTTTCATCACATCACGCGACCCTTGACTCTAGTACCTCCGCGTGTCACACAGAATGCTTGAAAGTTGGTTGCTTGCAACTCTCAAAGATGCCTGCAAGCGCCGGCTGTACAGAGGAACGCTACTCTGGCTCTTGCATATCACCTGTTTTGCCATGCCCAATCTTGGCAGCCAATGAAAGCTTGCTGTTCCGATGGATCTGCCTCTTCTGATTGGGCCTCCCCGGGAGACCTTTCACTGATTCATTGCACTCAAATGTTCGCCATAACCACCCTTGCTGCCCTTGCTTGTCATGCTCATCTCAGCAAGTTGCGGGGGCCGCGTAGCGCCCAACAGCGACGGGTACGGCGACGTCTTTGGCTCCCGGTTTGCCTCGCAGCTCGCCTCCGTTTCAAGGATGCTCAGTGCCTGCTGCAGCTTCTGTCGCTCTGCGGTTGACAGGCTGGACACAATGCAGGCGACGTCAGGGACATCAGCTTCCGCTGCTGCCTTCACATGGGTAGTGGGCAGCGACTGGACGGAGGCCCCGGAGCCCATGTTCGACTATGAGAGGCTAGCGGCTAGCGGCCGGTGGCCAAGCGGGGGGTGCTTCGGCGCTTAAGCCACAAACTGCAAGCAAAAAAACTTGTTCTGCAGCAGGCTGCTCGCATGCCGTCGCATGACTTGTTGCGGGCACGGCCACGTTCAGCACTGAGTTTGCTATCGGCAGGTTCCTCGGCAAGTGCCCAGAGTCACTCAGCATGCCATGATGTGACAACTGGGCCTTGCAATCCTTTCCCTAGAACGTGTCCTTCGTTCTTCACACAAGGTGTATTTTGAATGTCAAGTCCGGACAGCTTGTGCTCCCGATGCTGCTCTGAAAAGCGTCATGGCTGCTTCGCCGATCAGCACCAGCGCCTTCTGCCAAAGCCTTCAAGGGGGTTTTAGTACCGCATATGCATCGGTCGCTGCATGGAGGCTGACCCGACAATTTGGTTTCTTGGATAGGCATCCCCGCTGCAACATTCGTATTTGACAAGATGCCCAGAGCGGCCGCAAGCATCTGCAGCTGCACCCAGCATAACCTCACAACGCTGCCGTGCTCTCTCTCTCTCTCTCTGCACGCTTAGCCCACCCCGAAGGGAGAGCTGCCCCGGAGGGCGCGCAAGTCCCCAGAGTCATTCGGCTGCTCTCTCTCTCTCTCTCTCTTTCTCTCTTCCTCGCTCGGCTGCGCGCACCCTTAGCAACCGGCCTTGTCAGGAGCAAATGCTGCCGCGAGTGATTCGCGAAGTGTGTGACATGCATGTTGCCACCTGGAAAGCACTCAGGTCATAAGGCTCTGACAAATGCATCGGAAAGCTTGAACTCTGCAGGTAACTTGACACAGTTTGTGTCGCCTCTCCGCTTTGGCTTGCCCACTCAGGCTTGCAGTGGCCAGGACGGCATCGGACTCAACTGCCTCCCAGTCTCCCAATTCTACATAATTTTAAAATTCCACTAGAGCTGCTGTTGGTTTCGAATGGCGAGCAACTTACGCGAACTGGCGAGGAACTGCTACGCATGTGGTGCTCTGCTAGTAAATGGCTGCAAGTGGCCTGCTCTTGCATCAGCGAAAGGAGCTCGGAAGCAAGATGACTCTGTCCGGCGTGCTCAGAACCTGGGCAAAACGAACGCCACAACCACCAGTGGCCTCCTACAATCGCAGTCCAGCTTGTGATGCATGTCAATGCTGTCGAGTGCATTTTGCTGAGCAACATGGCAGCGAATCCACAATGGCTGCAAATGAGATGCAATCCTCAACCGTGCGCGCACATCAAGTCGCGATCGATTGCCGCACATCGCAGCCGCTAATGAGCATCTACTCGGCATTACGACCAAAGGGAAACATGCAAACAAAGCTCGGCGGCAAGCTTCTTGAGCTCCATGCGGTTTAAGCAAGCCTTTGTGAAGCTCAAGCTGCAATGATCGACACATGAGCTGACCATTTTCTGCGCATGTTCTGACAGGCAGCCAAGCACATCTCCCATTGCCGCGTCCAAGCACAGGCGCTGAGGACGGAGTTCCAGCTAATGGTATCAACCTGGATGCCCAAGCTGCTCCTTGGCTTCTGCATCCTTGTGCATGCTCTGCGCAGAGCATAGGGTTTAGGGGCACGCACGCACTTTCATACCTGATGTAGCGACAGGCTTCTTGTCCCACAAAGCGTGCGAATCAAAAGCTTATCCGAGCTTCGCCATATCCACCAAGGTCAAGGAAAGCTGCCACTTCCCAGCACGAGCACAAGCGCTCAATGCCGTGTTCATCGTATGAAGTGTGGGCACCAAACCTTCTCTTGCAGACTGCCAAAGAAGCAGCACCGCCTTGCATGCACAAGTGCTTGCATGGTACCTGTATCTGGGGGAACTAGTGTTTTTTCGGCACTCTGTGCATCGGTGTCATTGACCATCTATGCCCAGCAGCACGTTGCCACTGGCAGACTCGTTCCATGGCCGCGATGGCCTTGGAATGCTGCATTTTGGCGTGCGCGACGCAAGCTTCGTCATGGCAGCACTTTGCGTACGGCATATGCAATTTTCGCGGCTGGCAATCACCTAACTTGAAGCTTGACTGACCGGCAAAGAAGGAACATCAATGAGGAACGAAGTGTCTGATACGTCGAGGTGTGGTCAGAAACACCTTACACGTCAAAGCAGTAAGACAAAGCTCCTGACCCCTGACTAATGCACCTGGAGCGTCTTGTGGTTTATTCGAATGTGCCTAGCACTGGCCTCAAGGAATGCGTATCCCATTACAAAACTAGTGATGCTTAAAGAGTTTGAGACAACACAAGGTTCAACTGTTCAACTCGGATGGAATAGCCGGATGAGGATAGACACAGTGCGAAAACTCAAACCAGGAAGCCCGCTCGAAACCTTAGAACGCTGAAGCCTGCAAGTCTGTAGACCTTTGCAAACAATGACAGCACAAAATCGAACTGCATCGAACAATGTACTGGGATTGCTCTAGGTCGGATTGCTTTCCCACCACACCCGAGGCACTGCATTGAAGGCCACGATGTTGACTTGCAAGTGTGGCACATCTTGTATCAGTGACAGCGCCTGGCACGAGTGCGGCCTGAAACTATGCTCGGTCTTGAGGCTCACAATCTCTTCTGGTTTCGAATGGCAGCAGACGACCGCCTTCTGCCATTGCGATCCTCGTTCTGCAGCGGCGACGAGGGTACCTGCTGCGTGCTGCCCCCAGAACATCCATAAACTCCTGTCAACCATCAGTGCTTTCTCAGGACAGCCAGCCTGCTGTGGTTGATGATGCACGCAAGCGTCTATGCCTGAGATTCAGGCTTTGGACATGATCCTGAACTGAACAGAATCTGACCTCAAGCCTCCTCCAAGCCTGCAGTCTGGGGGCAGAACACGGGTCAGCTACTGTCTCGCCTTCCGGGGCTTCATGGCGTTGGATAGGTGAGGTATCGTTCACTTAGGTTCGAATTCAACTATCAAATTGATTCAAATTGCACGATCTGCTTGATGCACCGAGACACATGATGTTACCCTTTCACTTGCGAATCTTTAGAAACATTTAGGAACTCTGGTCACTTTAGTAGCCTTTCATTGTAATCGTTTCCTAATGTCTTGGAACAATCTATGAGCCCACTCCCCCAGCCATGACAGCACTAGTGATGCCGAGCCTCAGAAGCACTTCAGTGACGGAAAAAGAACTCTCCCAGCGGGACCCTTTGCTGCAGGCATCTGCTGCAGAATTGAAGCCTTATTATGCAGCGTCATGGGACGAGTATTGCTTTGCCCCACGTAGGCCAAAACAAACTGTCAGGCCGACACTGATTGTTGTAGGCCTTTGTTCATCTCCTGCCTGGAAGCCTCGCACGTGCTGAATGTGCAACACAGACACAGAGACACAGAGAGAGGGAGAGAGAGAGAGAGAGACAGCTAGACAGACAGGAAGACAGACTCACAGACACGGACAGACGTGGGACACAGACACCGACACCGACATGTGAATGTACGTGCTGCGTAAGCACGTTGCAGAATGAGTGTCAGCCAAGGAAAACATCTCACCATCAGGCCTATGAGCCGCAGCACACTCTGCCATTGGGCACATTTTGCACCCGCGCCCACGGCCGCATTGCGCAGAACCACATCCACAACTTGGCGTTTCATTGAGGCCAGCGCATTGATTGCTGAACATGCCCACGAACCAAAAGCAAGCCATCTCGCCATATCAGCCACAGGACAAACATTCCCATGCGCGGCTTGTTCCAGTAGCACCACGGCATCCTGCAAGAATGCTGCGCAGCAATGCCTATTCACCTTTCCCGCTGTCTGTGAACATGACTCTTAATGATTAACGGGCGCGGAAACTGCCTGTCGCTGATGACATGATCTGGGTCGCTGCGCTGCTCGCTTCTTCTGCCTCGCCTTCCAGAGACGGCCCCTGTCGCAAGTTGCTGCTGCGGCACTCAAGGCGAAGGCATCGAGCTCGAGTCCTGACGCCAAAGCGCGATACGGCACCATTAGACACAATTAGAATCATTAAAGTTCATAGATCTAGAGGAAGGCCAATGCCAATCGCCACGGCCACTTTACCCTCTCTAGCTCAAGATAAGACCCGACATCTGTGAACCTGTGCCCGCTGCTCTTGTTGCAACTGGCCTTGGCACTGGATCCAGATGGCCCAGGCACGTGGCCAAAGGCTCTGCCGATTGGCTGCTGAGATCGAGGACGTGAGCTGGCGCAGGCCTGGCCAATCCATCCACAATGCAACCGACACTGTTGCTGAAGAGATACTGCGCTTCTCATCACTTTTTGCACCAGATCTGTTCTTCAGTAGGTGGGCACGTCATGAGAATTCAGACAGGCGTGCGCACCCAAACTGCGCCGTGTTTTTTTGCTGCTGGGGACTCGAAGAGCACCACCGACACAAGTCCGAACACGCACTTGGGCTTGGTTGCCTTCACTGCGCGGCACCGAAAGAGGCCAGGCAATTGACATGCCAGTCTCCTTTCAGCCTTTCAAAATCCAAAGCTCTCTGGGCTTGCAAAGTCCCGATTTGAAGTCGCTACCAGCCAAAGGGCCAGTAGATTTTCAAGAGCCTGGCCCTGAAAACAAAAAGCCAGGCCTTTGTCCAAAGCCAGTGCGGTTTGAGACTTCAAGAGATTCAAGAGCTTGGCCTTTGCACAGCCTTTGAAATCCAAGGACCCCTCGTTTGACTTCAAGGAAACCCTGTTGAAGAGGGGGGGCAGAGGGCCCCTTGGATTGATCGGAACACTTTTTGTTCATATCTGGAGTTTTAAACTGGGAGATCTTGGCACCGTGTAAGACCCCCCCCCACCCAATTTATGTGCATCAGGGCTCAGATGTGGTGGCTCCAAGCAGAATTGCGCCTCGAACCCATGGTCACTACAAGTTCTAGCAGAGATGAATCAGAGATAATCAGAGATGACTCCTTCGTTCAAAGCTTCTGACATGAGCGGGCAGAGGTAATCTGAAACAAGTGCGGGCAGGGTCAACAGCAGCAGTGGTGTGTTTGACAAGAATTGCAAGCGGAACCTGCGGGTGGTTGCATCAGCCATGGCCATCCAGCGTGGGACAGAACTCCAAAAGCAAATCGCGAGGGCACGAAAAGAGTGAAGCCATACTGTCATGTACTTCATATGGCCCATTCAAGCATGTAAGTTGACAAGCATCTAATCGCTTACAGACTGGTCGGTTTAGGCTCTGGTTTAGGTTCGCCTTTCCGCACTGAGTCGCGAGATGCCGTGAGATCTCGGAGGCCAGGGTGCCAGACTCTGCGCATCTTTTTGCACTGTTGCGGCTCACTTTTTCGATACTTCTTCGTGTCAGGCCGAATGGTCCATGTGCAGCCGGCAAGCTGCGACCTGAACGCTCTCGGACTCTAGCGGAATTGCAGTGCACAGTGGAATTCTTGCCGGTCAGGAACCGAGCAGCGACCGTGTCCGGGATGTCGTCCGGGGAGGAACGACACTCTGCATCTGTTGCTGCCGGAATTGCTGCTTCGCCTTCGAGGCTGCTGACACTCCACCACCCCGCACTTTGCCTTCTACCCACCTCAAAGAAAGCTCAGCAACCGAGTGGAAGCTCTTGCAGAACTGATCGGGCGCCGTGCTTCTGCCCAGCTCCAGCCCATGTACCGGGCACGGCTCCTGCAACTTTAGTGCAAGGGAAAGCCTCTGTCGTGCACAGACCCTTGCTGGACAACGTACACGTTTTCCACCGCGACGTCACGGCCGAAATTGCAACTGTGCCTGTACAAGCTGATTACCGTCAATGGATCGAGCGACAATGGCCGCGAGTCTACATCCCGGGCCAGTGTACTGTAAAGAGCCAAGTAGGTATGTTTCGAGCTTGATCCCTCATATTGCAGTGGATCAGGCAGCAACGATCGAGTCATCGCAAAGCTCTGACGCACGAGCCTGTGAACTGTGAAACTGGGACCGGCTCTCATGTGAAAAGGCGTTACCGGAAGGCACGGTACGACAAAACATCAAATGGGGGAGTGTAAAATGTGCGACATGCGCATGCATTACCACTGTCAGCAAGGGCCCAGGCTGCCAACAAGCTGGTTTCGTCTATATAACTCCAGTGCATTTCAAGCGCGTCATGACCGCGATAGGAACTTCCATTCATGGCTGGGAATCGGAACAGTACCCGGCACTATCACAGGATCCTTGCCGATTGGCTGTTCAATGCATGCGCTGAATAGTTCAAGACCCGCATGTTCGTAGCCAGCTCAGCCATGCAACAGCAAAGCAAACAGTAGTACAAACCGTTACAACACTGCAAAAAAAGAACACCATGACCAACACCTCTTCAGCGTGGCTGTCCTAAAGCGCGATGATACATGGGGTTCGACCACTCTGGAAGGGCTGGGTCGGCTGGAGCGCGACAATCTGAAGCAGAGCGGCAGAGCGTGTCAGCCGAGAGAGAGGCCTTTGAACATATGACCGGCCGTTGTAACAGCGAGCATTGCAGACGAACGCTCTGGGACCTTGTTGACTTCCTGGGAATCCAAGAGGCTCGCCGCGAGCTCTCAGCGCAGTGTGCGCAGAACTGTCAATACTCTCAGCATTTCCACCCGTTCCGGTCATGTCCTGCTTACAGAGTGGGCAGAGGCGGTTTCCGGCCAGCCATCTATCCACACAGGCTGTGTGAAACATGTGTAGGCAGCGCAGGGCCCGCACTGAGTCGCCATCCTGGTAGTTGTCCAAGCAAATTGCGCATTTCCCGTCATACGGGCCATCATAACCATTCTCCACACACCGACTGGAGCCATGATACGTGTGGCATGCCGTGTGACTGGAAATCTCAATCCCCGAGCATCCCTGGGCCCTGGACGCCTCAGGTGCATCCGCATCTTCATCTTCAGAAGTCTCAGATGTTGGAAGTAAGGCCAACTCAGGATGAAACACGTGAATATCATAGGCATCGGGATCGTCGGGATCCATCCGGCACCGTTCTTGCGCCAACGACATGGGCAGAGGCGGCAGAGGCAGTGAGACAGCGTGCAAGATACGGTCCATCCAATTCCTATAATTTCAGCAGAGAAGACCAACCCGTCTGAATGGCCCTGGCTAGTTATGGTCCACTAACAAATCATACCGCTCGTGGTTTGGCATGCCTCCCTACCTTACCTGGCGCCAGCTGACAAACATCGGTGGAGATGTAAGGCCGCATGAAGATCTGCAGATTTGCTGCATGCACCGGCATTTCGGCTGTGCACAGGTGCTGGCCTCAACGTCACGAGATGCGCCGACTCGCACGGGTTGATGCGCAAATTCCGACCTCGGTCAGGAATCTCAGTGTCTAGAGGTGTGGCCGATGTCAGCACCATCATGTCCGCCAATTACACGTGCATGGAGCTGACAGCGGTTTCTCATGAAACTTTGCCACCTCATGTCACCCACTGGGTTCCGCCACCACCACCGCCACAACCGCAACCACGTTTTTCTCAGCAAGCGATGGATCTCGTTGGCCTGTCATGGCAGGCTGGCAGCCAAGCCTCTAAACATCCCGAAAATTCTCCAAACTCTAAGCCCATTGCACACATGCCAGCCTGAAACAACAGCGTCGGTTCGAACTGAGGCTTACTTACGACTTGATGTTGGTTTCAAAGCAGTTCTGCACACGCGTGTTTTTTCTCCGCTTCATTGGCGTGTCACATCGCTCCCGCAACCCGCCGGCTGCTGCTACGCGGGTTGAATAGGGCTGGATAGGTGCAGGATCACCCCATCATCAGCCGGACAAACCCTCTAGGGGCTTTGCGAGTCAGTACTGCTAGAACTGGAACTTGTGTAACTGGAGCTGAGACTGTCTGTATCGGAGACGCTTGAGACATTGCTTGGGCTGGAAGGCACAGGCAAAGGCACAGCCTGAGGGTGAATGGCAAGCTGGCCAGGAACGGTGCCATTGGCACCGTTCGGGGCCCAAGCCCAACTGCACAGTCTTTGCTGGACTTGGACTTGCTGGACTTGCTGACTTCTGGGACCCCTAGAATCCACCCAAAGCGCCTCAGCGACCCGGTGCTGGTGTAGATGTTGCAAGGCGGAAGCGGCGGACAGACCAGGGACAGACGGAATCCGAAGGACAAAGCCTCTTCCTGACGCGCCCGAGACACCCGGGACAAGGTTTCGAACGGTTCCTTGCGCCTCTCGTGCTTCCTGTGCTGCTCGAAGCGATCTGAGCTGCGCATCGTGTCCTGCCCGCTCTGCCTCGACCATGGGGTCAGAATCGGAGGATGCCGCGGCTTCAGTGGCCGTCGCCCAGATGGGAGAGCCCGGAGAGAGAGGGGAGCCTGTAATGTCCTGCTTGCAGATCGGGCATAGCCGGCTGGTGTCTAACCATTGATCCACACAGTTCCTGTGGAAGCTGTGAAAGCAGCGCAGTACTCTCAACTCATCTCCATCACGAAAATTTTCCAGGCAGATCACACAGCGACGATCCCTCACACGATCAGCCGATGGGCCGTTCCTGAATGTGTGGCACACCGTGTTTTCTGCAACCACATACTTAGGGTAACTTCCGACCCACCATAGGTTTTGCAACATATCGTCGTCATCGCCATACGCTGGACCTGAAGGCTCGAAGTCGTTCCCGAAGACATACCTGTCATATTCGTCTGGGTCTCTCAGAGGCAATGCTCTGACAGGGCCATTCGGCATGGCGGGGGGCAACAGATCAGTCTTCCAGAGTCTTCAGGCGAGAGGCATAAATGCTCCGTTACAAGACTGCACAGGATATGGCATGCTCTGACACATGCTTGCTGCACTTCCCCTGTGCTCACATCTATGCTGCAGGTGCTGTTTTCGCACATGAACGACATGGCTGCAGGAAACACAGCTGCAGAGACTTTTGACTATCAATCGTTCCAACACAAGTATGCCACATGGCTGCACGTGCTGAGCCAGTCCGCTAGAAGACTCGGGGCAGAGACACTGGAGATTGTGACCAGGAATGCAGCATGCATGCATGGCGCAGATCTGTGCACATGACTTTCGCCTGGATGCGACCCAGTGACGGCACTGCCAGCCAAAGCCTTGGTCTCTGTGAAGCAATGCGAACAATGTTGAACGTCCATGGCTCATCCGGGCGTCATTGCCAACCTGTTGGGCGAACCTGGCCTGGTTTCCCGGCTCATCCGGCGTGCGCTGCTCCATGCTGCTCCGCTTGGCGTGAGGCAACAGGATTGGACGGCGCTCTGCGCTCGTCTGAACTGGCGCAGTGCTGTTGCTTCTCACATCGTCCTACTTGACGAGGGCATTTTAACTACGAGCATTGCCACGCGCTGCGGTTCCACCGTCAGACGCTGCGACACGAGAACTACAGTCTACAGATCTTCAATGTCCTTGATGGCATCGTGAACCTGCAAACCAAACAGGCATTGAACACCGGATTGACTAAACCTCGTTGCATCCAATTGTGAACAGCACGTTCGGCATCGAATATTTGTTGACACGCCAACGAACATTGCAATTCAACTTGCCTGGCACTCGTGCTTGGTTGGACACGTGCTGCAACTGTGGCCGCACGCCATCGGCTGGTCGCCCTCAATAACCTTCTTGATTGTGGGGGCCAAGCGGTGCCACAATGCCTGCTGGAGTCAAACTTGAGTGCTGACTCTGCGCCTGCGTTATCCTGCTACATCCTGCTACTGCAACATACTGAAGCTGCCTTTGGAGCACCACCAGTAGACAGCACGACGTATACGACGTATACGACAACTGCAACCTGTCCTCCAGAGACTCCGCGGAGGTGCCCGGGAAGGATTTGCAGAGCTCTTTGGCCTTCCCTGCCCAGTTGCCCGTGCCGTCTCGCGAGACCAGCCGGACCACCTCCCTCTCCAACGGCTCAGAGCCGGGTGGAAGACCACCTTCAAGTACCCGCGCAGCCCGCGCATTGATGAGATAACAAATAGAAAAAGCGTCAGAGCGCCGAACCAGCAGCAAATTAAAGCAGTGCCTTCACAGGGTGCCCCACACTGCTTGCCCGGGAGTCGTCGCGCCACCTCGAGAAAACGCTGGAGGAAGTCGCTCACTGACCTGGGATCCGACGCGACAGCGCTTCATCAGCAGTGTGAGGTACTGTGATGTTTACGGGAGGGGTCGGACACCATCCCAAGACCAGCAAACTGTCATGTCATGTCATCTTTAAGGGGCCTGTCCAGGAGCCTTTCGTGAGAAGAAGACGGCATTACGTACAACAAGTGCACCTCAGCTGCTGACCTGGCGTCTGCTTGGAGAACCCAATGAGAATCCAATCTGCCCCACATCTCTTGATGCTACGAGTAAATACTGCCACCAAGGTGCAGCAGCTTTCCATTCACACCTGCCGGTGCTTTCACTGCGTGGGCGGTCATAGGCCGCAACTATTGACGTCCATTCGGCTGCTGCAAAGGCCTCGCCTGGTGCTGCCCACACATCGAAGAGCTGGGATATGTAGTCTGCATCTTCGCCTCGTGCACCACAGGCCCGCAGTCTCTGCACCAGGGCGTCCAAGTCCAGCCTTGCAGGAACGACAAGTCAAACCAAGCTCTTACAAATTCGTAGGCTCCCTTGAATATGTTTGGAGCATGTTGAAAATCGCTGTGGATAGAGTTGGTCTCCAGGCTTCAAGAATCGGAGCTGGAAGCATGTCGTTGTGAGTTCCATGGGGGGAGCTACTTAGCGTCTAGGGTCAGTCTAGAGGTTTGGCAGAAGTGGGCAGTCCTCGCCTTCCTTTTTCGTTTTCGCTGTGTGCTCTCAGTCGGTCGGGAGTGATGTTTGGAGATGTGAGATTTCTGCTGCAGCCAGCAAAGCCCCCGACACACAGCTTTTTGCAGTCCGAAAGCGGCCGGTGATCGGCATCGTTGGCTGCAGCAGCGGCCGCAAATTCCTGCAAGGAACTCTTGGAACGGTGCAGAAGGGAGTCTCCCTGTGCACTGCTCACCCGGCTAGGCATGGCTCTGATGCTCCAGCTCCTCTGCCTTCGCCCGTTTCCAGCTCAGGGCTTCAACTGTCCCTTCCTCGTGTTAACACACCGGACATGGCGGGAGCAATGCGCTCTGCGGCGGTGCAGATCTGCTTTCTTCCGAGCCACCAAGCTTGTCTTGACAGCCTGCCGAGGAACAGTCTGTGAGGTTCAAGCTGCACCATTTGCTGTTGCGAATGTCCCCCTGCAGATGCAGGCCCTTCTTTCCGTAGTTTGGTCTCAGTTGCACATCCCTCACCCCTTGATTCTAGGGGATCTGAAACATGGAAGATGCTATCTATGCCCCTAAGCCCAACCCAGCCCCCCCCCCCCCCGCCCCCGCCCTTCCCACCGGCTAGAGCATGAGCGAAGCACAGCAAGCGAGAAAGCCGCACCCCTACCCTGTTTTCCAGGCTTCTTAAGCCCAAAAACTCACCGTGTGCATCTGAACTCCATGGGTCCGGATGCTAACCAGATCCAGGCTGCATCAGGCCGAACACCACACTGGCGCCCTTCTGACTGTTGACCTCCACTCTAAGCCCGCGTTCTGACCCAGATACCCGCTGCAGAAACACAGCGCCTCGTTGCTGGCAGCTTGCGAAAGATCTCCAGTGCATTGCGCGAAAGGCGAAAGCTAGTGCCATTCTCAAAAGCCAGAAGTTGTGGAGTTGGGTTGGCGAGGTGCCTCAGCCCTGACTTCTATGGCGCGGTCGATGGTCGCCACATCCTCTGCAATTGGCATGTGCTGCACACGCCTGACCTACCTGATCCACAAAGGATGTCCATCCCCGGATCCATCCCCAGCTATCCCCTTGCCTTAGACGGCTTGGCAAAAAGAACTTCGCTCAGCACCTGGCAGTTGTGGGATGTTGTCAGTTGCACTGGGCTCTCTGCAAGATGAATGGATCTTGCGATATGTTCTCATTATCAGTTATGAGGAATGAGCCTGGAGCAGCTGACCCTCGAGGACCCGGCTGCGCAAAGGTGCCGCACGCACCTCTCAGGCTTCGGGGCGAGCGCTACGCAGTTGAAGACATGCCACACTGCCAAGCCATGTTGGTACAAGTTCAATATGCCAAGCAAGTTCGTTCTGAACTGCACTGGCCTCCAGCAGAGTCTCGGACAGAAGCTCGTCCGGCTCCTTGTCGTGTAAAGTCGGCCAAGGATCCTGCACTGTTGCAGCAAAGCATGGTTGGCTGTCTCCCTGAGTCTGCTGCTGACCTCCTGCCGACGGCACGGACGAGGCCGTTCAGTGAGAAGGACGGAAGCGCGCAGGCATATGCTGGCATTTGCTGACGGTACGAAGTCGGAAATATCAGTGTGCGTGCCTTTGGTTGTCCGAAGCCGCGCGGCAGCCGATAAACGCACCACAGTGGGAGCTCATGCTTCCATATGCGTTTCATGTGTCCTGCTGCAGCGACAGGCGAATGTAGGATAAGGTCGCCAGGCCTTTCCTTGCATCCACTGCACGTCAGCAAAGTGCATTCCTAGCACGTCATAACTTGCTACATGGGGTACAGCTGCGTGTGGCTTCTTCAAGAATTTCACAGGAAAGCTGATGACATCTCAGCTCCTTTCCTTCTAGAGTCAGAACGAAACTGCCTTACAGGTCTCAGTGGCCTCAGTGCTTGTGACGGTCTTGCAGCTTTGCAGGCAAATGTCAGCAGCACATCGCCCTGCAGCGATGCTGCGGCGCCGAAGGCTGCTGCCGCGCCCTCCGCAAAGCGACAGAGGCGGTAATCACAAATGCTGCTAATGCAAGCCTCGGCACAAAATGTCCGCCGATACAAAAAAGGTGGCGCCTTGCTCACTTGCCTGTATAACTTTTTGGAGGGCTAGACTGCTCTAGGTTTCGCCCTCCGTGCCTTCGTGTGGCCCGCAGCTTCCAGGGCCTGAGCCTGGGCTCAGATGTTTCGCACGACTTCGAGCAGTTCTGAGCACATGGTCACAAATGCCTGCCGTCACTGCCATACTTTGGCATTCTTTGCTTCTGCCGTGCAGCTTCCGCTATGGCCGTGCTAATGTCCAGTGTCATCTTGCCATCTGCCAACGCGTGAGGAACGATCTGCGAAGCTATACGGCACAGGTACAAGGTAGCTGTGTTGCGTATTAAATATGCCCATGGTGCTGTGAATCAGAGGCCTCTCCAACTAGCAATGCAACAGGCATCTAAGCATGAAGTGCTGCATGTCAGCCTGCATCCAGCCAAAGGTCTACCACCAGCAACAACCTGTGAACTCTGCACCTCCAGCAGTTCAAGTGCGTCACTGAGATGTCGCTGTCTTTGCGGACTCTTTGCCATGTGCCAGAAGAACATTTACCTGCTGATGGTTGGTTGAAGGTTTACCTTGCAACGTTCTTCGCGGCCCTTTCATCAGCAGGTGAGGGAGGCTGAAACGGAGGCTTGTTGATAAGAACCGAAAAAGGACTTGGAAGTGAGTAGCATCCAGCAAAACGCAGCAGCATTACAACTGATAGTCGTATTGAACAAACCTCACACGCCTCTGAGAACTGTACAAAGTGCACACACAATATCCTATCCGGTCACCTCCGGCGACCTGCGGGCGCCACTCGGGCTTTTGAAAAAGGTGTACACAAAAGCAAGCATCTCTATGTACTGATACAGTAAAGCTAGCTAAATGTTCGAGTCAATGGCATCACCTTCTCAGGGGTCGACCAGCTGGCACGCCCCAGCGGCCTCCTTCCAGGACTGGAGCTATTGCGGCGCCGAGAAGGCTTAATATTCAAGCTTTCACAGTCACAGCAAGAACGACAAGGTATGGTTCTGCAAGAATATGTGGCATCGAAACGTGTCGGGGGGACAGGGCCTTATATAATACTGTAAGGGTAGCCGCTAGCCAGCCACTAGCCAAGCTGAATCTGAGCAACGCGAGCGCGTTTGAGACACTGCAGAGCTTTCTAGATCACATCGCGGAGAACGTCCGCCGACGGATTTCATCTTGGCACTCGAGAGCCCTGGACGTGACGTCACATTTGCCATGGTTGTCGTTTCTCGGTCAAAGTGCTGAGATCGCACTGTGAGGATTGCTCAGTCTGCTGAACGTGAGCAGACGGCACGAGTACCCATGAGTACCCGCTATGAGCCTTTTTCATCGGCCTCTTCATCTTCAGTACGTAGCGCCATCCACACCGTCTACAAAGTAAGTCTCCGACATCTAAAACCCAAAGACGATTGGAGTATGTTTGAGCTTCGGCAACTCAAGACCTGTACATTTTGGGGTCCTCTTCGGCTCGAGAATGTCTTCCAGACGCAGGCAGTGTCACAAGAACCCACGCTTCGTGACAAAACTTGACATTTGCCTGAAGTGGCTGTGGATGGCAATGGCAAGCCCCTCTTTTGCGGGCTCGGCCCTCACTCTGTTCAACCCCAATATTCTTATAAACGCTAGTTTATGATATAGCTTGGAAAAAATGCACTGCAACGTTTGCTAGAAACTGTCCTTGCCTTTGGACATTGGGGGCTCAGGGCCGAGCGAATTCAAGCCTGTTTCTGTTTCATCGCTTGATTGATATGCTTGGCTATTGTCTGCAGTCTGGGCATTTGCTGGCTGGGCTGTCGCGGGGCTTGTCGCAGGCGTTCACGTGCTCACAACTCCTCGACCTGATAAGTGACTAAATAATAAGTACATTGGCCTAGTCGCGGAGAGTTTGTCGCGGAACCGAACCCCCTTGTTACAAGCTTTGTCGCGGGGGGGCCCTGTTCCAAGCCAAACCTTTTTGATTCACAGCCGAATTTGTGGCTTGTTGGAAGAGCAATGCGCTGGCTTATCTTCCGAAGCTGAACATATCACTGAACTAAGCCCAGCCTTGCGCAGGCTCTGCAAAAGCGTCTCGTTCAGGCCACTACCAAAGGGCCGTGGAGCCTTATGGATGCAGACACAAGGCCCACCTCCCTCTAGTTACAAAGCCCTGGCTACAGCCTGGATAGCTTCACAAGCCAAGCAGCCAGAAAGAATGCTGCTCGATGCAGAATGTTCCCTGCCTCTGCGATGGCAAAGGCTGTCGCAGGTGCAGTGCTGGTTCTGATTCATTCTCTGACCACCATCACGGAACGCAGGCGGAACACCACGGGGCACAAAGCTTACGAAGCTTCGAAGTTGACTGATGAATCTGATGATAAGGTCGAGCTGCGATGGCGCTGGAATCGCCCAGAAGGAGCCTGCAGGCTTTGACGTGACCCCCTCGCATTCAAAGGCCACCCAAGCATTCCGCGTCCAGACCTTATCCTGGGCCCTAGCTGTGCCTGAACGCTCCCAGCGAATCCTCTGCTGCCGCCCCAGTGAGCAGATTTCCTCCGCAAGTATTTGTAATCTATGCTCCACGCATCGTGCCCGGCAAGCTTGTGTGCAGCGGGAGGTGAGAAGGACCACGCCCCATCAAGTCCCCATAATGTCACGGCAAACTTGCGACCAGGACACGTTCAAAGGCCAGCTCAGCATAGGCGAGAAACACCTCGGGAGTGATCCATGAGGAAAGATGCTTTGAACCACTACGGCGTGGCACTATTCAGCTTGGCGACAGCGAAAGGAGCACCTTGGAGAATCAGGCACGTACGATCAGATACGTCATACCTCTCACACATCCTCCCACATGTTGGATCACATTCTGGGCTTTAACCCTTCGCATATCCTGCAGCTGAGACCTTTCAAGACCCTGCAATTCGGCCAAGCACAGACGCCCTCGATGAGGAAGAAGTCCCAAATTCTACAAATGCTCTCCTTTGGCACGGCAAGTCGTGGGTCCATATGCCGCACACTTGCACTGTTCGGCTTTTCAGGTCGGGTCTCTCTGCGACGCTTCAACTTTTGGCCTAGGCTCGATGGGCTTCAGCTCCCGCGAGAACAGGGTCAGAAGCGGTTCGGTAGCAATCCATATGAGAGGCAAATCCACCTGGCACATGAATCAATGGAGCATCCCGCCTTGCTGCCTTCATGCCGCCTGACATGACCTGTAGCAATCCGAGCAGTCCACCTCGGCGAATCGCGCGTGGATTTTGGGCAGCAGGTGGAGCCTGCAGCAGAACAGGTTGGGGAAAACATCTCCGATGCACTCCTATCACCTAGCGCTCTACTCAAAAGATCTTAAAGTGTCCGACACCACATCTAGATCAGCGGTGTGTCACCCCGGGCCGGGCTTTGGGACTACACTGCTACATGATGCAAATTCTGCGTCATTTCCTGGACACTCAGCCCCCCACAGAAGCGCATCAAGAACTGCAATGTCGCGCAAGAGGCCACTCATCGACTCCTCGTAGTATCCTGCAGGCAGAAACCCCGAGCCGGACGACCAAATGGGTGGGACTGCACCTGGCCACCCCCTCTCCGCAAACCCCTGGCTCCAAGGAAACAGACTCGCGCACTGGAGAACTGCCCCTGCGTGTGTCAGTATACATATATATATATACATATATACATGCTTGGGTCGCCATTGTTCGTTTGAATCTTAGTGCTCAAACCACCGCCACTTGAATCGAACGTTTACGCTGGCCCCAAGCCGTAGGCCCCTAGGATCCACAGGCCTCGGAAAAAAAGGGGGTCTTCTGAGCCGGAGCGACCATGGATGGTTTCCACGTTACCAGGCACCATTATTTCGGCCAGAATCAGAAGCCGGCTGGGCCGCCGTCATTCATATCATGGGATACGATCGCCATTTTGCACCGTCCCCACACGCATCGGCCAAAGCTTTCCAGTGCCGCGCCCAAACTCACATGTTCAATCACTGAGTGGGTCTTACAATTGCTGCCTATGCTGTCAAAGAGCTAGCTATGCTAGGCAGAGGAGGAATCAAGCTAGATAAAGAAGACCACATAAGACCACCAAAAGGCCGATAAACAAAGTAATGCGTGCGCAGTTGTGTCTCTCTACTTCTTGGGTCACACTGCTAACTTGCCCAGTTGAGCTTCTGGATACTCCGGGTATGGTGTTACATGTGTTGGCAAGTTGCGAACGCGTGGTCATGGGCGCCAGCCCCTGTAGTGGATATGAAGGCAGCATAATGCCTTGTTGCTCATGCGGCCCTTGCTGTCGCAAGCAACCCCGAATCTGCCGAGGGTCCGCTGCAAAACACATCCTCAGTGTCTCGTTGGAATCGGCTGCCGGCAAAGTCGGGCCCCCATGCTTTCTCCCACAATATGCTCTCCAACACATGCTTTGTCCAAGGGTCGGTAAGTGCACGAAGGCCACCAAGTGCTTGTTTCTCTGTGAAGCCCACGAGCAGCGCGACTGCTGCCACAAAGTTAAGACCTGACTACTCGCACCTCAACAACAAGCCTAGTCAGCCTAGTACACCATTCATCACCTCACTCACCATGTTCATTCATGGCCACACCTTCCATCATCCTTGTGAGGGACGCCTAAGTTCGGCCACTTGAACCCTGTGCGGCCAAGTAGCCCTGGCAATAGCCCACCTGCAGAAGCTGGCAACGGCAAGGCAATGACATGGGGCATTGACCCCTTTCCAGATCGTTGCTGTCGCTGAAGCCCTTAATGCAGGCAACCATGCATGATCTTCTAAGACAAGAGGCCTGCGGCCGAAGAACTGCAAAGGCCCGGAGCACGCCTCGGGCAAAACCCCTCGATTTCTTTCCACACAATAGTGTTTGCAGCTGCCAAATGTTTGCCGATTCCAGCTGCTCAAAGTGGCTCTGGATGGCTCTAAGCTTGGGTGGCGGCCGCTCACGGGGGGTCTGACTCAAATAAGTCTGTCTCTGGGAGAGCTCTAGGGGCAGTGTGGTCTGCTCAACTACTTGCTCTCAGCAGCCGCATGATTTGACGTAGGCGGGCATGCTAGTATTGACGCTTCATGACTGGCAACTTCTTCAGGCACCTGCAACCTCCAGAGCCAAGGCGCTTGCTGACCTGGCCATGGTGCAAACAGTGCAAACAAGCAGCGACCAAGTGCTGCCCGCTGGCTCTCGTTCAGGTCCGCCGGCCGTGTCCTACAAAGAGGCGGGAGGCCCTTGAAGATCTCAAATTGTTGTGCAACTGAGTTGCAGAATCATTACGCCATTAAGCATGAATAATGACCGGCTGCAGCAGCTTCATTCGGACGCGTATGCTGCGGCAGCTTGGCTCTATGTCAACTATGTCCTATATGGTCATTGCCCATTGAGTACAAATCAGAATATTACGGAACGGCAAATCTCAGGGCTGAGATCTGACTAGGACAGCAGTCTTTCCGCGGCAAATGTGAGTCCGCATGTTCTGGCCTGGGCACGTCCTTCTCGATCTGCCTCTTGCAGGTCTCTTCAGTGCAGAGCATGCCTGCAGACTGAAACAGAAAGCACATTCGTACTCGTCTACTGCGCGTTCTAAAGAATGATAGCGCACCGTCGTCCAGCGGGTCACTGCCCTCTTCCGCGACGTGAAGCCACGCGGGCCAAAGCGCCAGCCTCACAAATGTCATGTCTCGCGATCAACACTCCGCTCTCCAAAACGAGCGTGCACTGTTGCACCAGCTTTTACCTAAACCGATCCTACACCCACTCTGTAAGACTCTGAAACTGATGGAAGCCCTGCCGACCTGTACTGCCAAGGGATGCGGTGGCCGAGTACGAAAAGAGCCCTTAACTCGCTCCGGGTGAGCTCTGCAGGGTCACGATCGCCCATGACCTTCTTCCTTGGCTGCATACCGTCATACTGCTGAGTTGGAGATAAACTGTAAAAGCCTTCTAAAGAGCGCCCAGCGACCATCGTGCGGAGAGCTCTGCTTCACCATCTAAGCGGTCGCCGCCATGAAGGGGCAGAGGTGCGTCCCAGCCTTCAGCTGAGAAGCTAAGGGCGTCAACGACTGAAGGCGTCAACGAATGAAGCTCGGAGCTACACGCTGTTACCCATGGTTACAAACATGCTCAATGCGATGTCCCCGTATGTTCCCACATCCCCATGCTGCCCCTACCTGCAGCCAAGCTAGGGTCCGGCTTGGTGCCAAGCCTCAGCGACATGGTGGGCATGCTCTGGCTGAACAGTACTGTACAGCAAGGATGGGCCACCGACAACCCGACAACTGGGCTTCCTGCAGCGCTGGCGAGTTCAGAATTTCCAGAACCCCGGCTGTGGCATCCTTCCACAACGTCGACAGCGACAATCCTGCCAATCAGATCCAGCAACATTCTTTGCAATGCAGGCCGAAGCTCAACTCTCACGTGTTGGAAAGGTCCTGTGCAGCCAGCATTCACCTCACAGGGCGCAAGAAAGCGGACATGGAAAGCTGATCACTGTCCTAGAACATGCAAAGATGAAGCCTTGAGACTTCCAATTCTTCCTGGTCCAGCCACAGCCTTCCACCCTCGAAACCTTTTGTTCGCACAGATTGTGTAAAAGCCTTCTTTCCATCCATCTCTAAAGAACCTGTTCAACCCTGACGGGTTCGCGGCCTCGGATGAGGTGCGGAGGCGGTGCACAGGTAAGCGTGAAGGCTGCAGGGCGGAGCCAGCTCGCCTCAGCCCCAGACACCTTGTGATGCCTCACGTACCTACATTGCAACAAGCGCACAAGGAAATAAATTGCGAGGAGTGCAACCTTCAATTCCTCTTCACTTGGGTTTTTGAAGGATCCAAAGCGCCAGCGCTTCAGCGCAATCAGGACATCTGGAGAGGTCAAGGTCGCAACCGCAGCACGCGCTTGGGCTGCGACCTGGGATAAAACTTAAACAATAACATGCCAAAACTGGCCCAATCCTCCAATCTCCACACAGCTCCGAGATGCAAGAGATGCAAGCTTTATTCAATTGCAAGCTTCAAGCCAAAAGCCTGGGCGAGATCCGGAGTTCAAGGCCCAGGCCCAAGCTGGTAGCTCCGGCTCTTTTTCCAGAGGGGGGACCCCAAAGCCTAGCCGAGACGCCCTTCTGTGCCGTGCACATGCCCTGACACGCTCTGAGCTGAAATGCGACCTGCCCTTGTGCAAGGGGAGGGGCGCTGCAGCTGCCCTAAGGAGCGGCAAAGGAGGGAAGCCTGCACAGACACATGTTGCACCTGCATCTGGTTCAGAAAGCCCTACGAAGGAATGCCTGGAAGCTGGTGTCTATGAGCTCATTTACTGAAGGCATGCCTCAACGTCACCACTCAGGAGGACGCATTCCGTCCGCAACTCCATGGCCTTCATGAGAAAAAGGCAGGCATCAAATTTAGAATGCCCTTAAAAAGACTTCGTCTCAGCCGGTACACACATTGAGTACCAAATCCTGAGCTCCACACCTCCGTAAGATCAAAGAACTCCAGAAAGACCGCGAAGTCCACCCAATTCACACTCAGGCCCGAAGGGTAAGGGATCCTAAGCAACAGCAGCAGCAAAAAACAGATACGACAAGCTGCATCAAGACGCATTCAACAGCAAAGATCATTGCTCCCAATGCATTTCGCGCATCTGAGCTTTTGAAGCCACGCAAGCTGACCTGCAAAGCAACCAGGTCTGTAACAAGCAATGTTGGCCTGGCCTCTTGCAAAGCCACGTCGTGGTGTGTGTTCCAATGGTGTGAACGATAACAATAAGTCAGTCTTAGGTTTGTTTCATGGTCCCTTACTATGGGCCCTTTAAAGGGGCCCCCATAAATATAAATATATATATACATATATATATATATATTATACCCCTTATATACCCTACACTACCCAAGGGCCCATACTTCAGAACCCTTCAAAGGAGGCAAGGGACCATACTGAAGGCCCATGTAGCTACCCTTTCGATCCAGAACACAACGTAGGGAACCACAACCCCTCGAGACAGAGGTGAGGAGTCCGAGCAATGGACGAACAACATCGCACTACCAATTGGCTTGTGTTTGCGACAGACTCCCAAGACGAGAATGCGCACCAGGCCTCAGGTAGCCCAAGCAGATCTTCACTGGAGGCGTGCCAGTTCCCAAGGTTTGCAACTCAAGTTGATCTTGTCCAATGCCTCGGCGACGCAAGCTCGAAGTGAGCCTGGCCACTCCCACCACTCCAAGCACCCCTCTACAGGCCCTCTGAGCCCTCAGTCGCATGACGGACGACAAAAGGGATGCTCGGTCAAGCGTCGCAGCCGCGCATCCACAAAGGTCTCGTGGGCAGGCAGCCATGCCATGCCTTCAGTTCTCAAATCTTCGCACTTGCGCGTCGCTGCGACGCAAGGGGCGAACTATGCGAAGCAGCATCAACAGGCCAGAGCTGCACTGCAGTCCTGGCTCTGCTGCACTTCGCACGAACCGAAGCACTTCCTGCAGTGCAGTTCTCGGAAATTCCACGTGCCCAACAACACACATCTGCCTTCCCAGTACGAGATCCAAAGAAAAGAGCCCAGCGGCTGTGGAGGCGATCGCTGAATCGGGGCTCTGCATGGCCCAACTCCGTCCTGCAACGCCGCAGAGACAAAAACCATCGAAAGCCATCAAAAGCCATCGAAGGCTGCTTTGAAACTATCTGAGCGTCCTTACACCGCCATGGCGGAGGCTGGCTGCAGCTCACCGCAGCATCTGCAGCTCACCGCGACAACATGGCTTGCAAAGGCACGACAGGCTTCACGGAGCTAAACTTCTGGAACAACATGGAACAACTGTTCACATTTGCATCCCATTTTGGTTTTGAGTCTATGGGGTCTAGATCTGGCCGTACTCATGTCGAATCTTGTAGTGAACCGCATGACACCGGACTTACGAAAGCTGGTGGGCTTGCGGGCGTCACATCATGAAGCTAACTGTTGGATCTTGATTGCCAGCGTGAGTCGACCATGAACAACACATCATGCTCGCCAACACAGAGAAGCGGAATCATCTTCAGCTCTTCAATTCTGAGCCCGCGAAGGTTCGCGAGAGCCGCTGCTAAGGCCAGGGCGGGTCTAAGCAAATTGGTCCAGCCTGATGGCTTGAAGCACAAGCAACAAAGGCGGAGCTCTCGACCTCAAAATCTTGGAGCGCCGTGGCGGTCAAACTGCATGACGCTATTGCAGGTCCAGAAAAGGGCACCAATGTGAAAGGTCGTACAATCTCATATGGCGAGTGCCAACCACATCCAACAACTTCCCGGCTTCCGAGGTGATGCAGTTCATGAGTTTTTCCAATGGGTTGGGCAGCCGACATGGGCCTGTATCACGCCCAGGAGATAAAGAGATTCAGCGGCAGCCAGGCGGGTTCCACAAGAGTCAAATTTAGTGTGCTTCCCGCGCAAGCTGTACACTTCAATCCCTTGAAACATTCAGAGCTTCGAAACTGAAACCGGACAAACTCATGCACTTGCCACTGCTCATGCAGCCAAGACCCGGCCCTCTGCCAAGTGTCTGTGTCTCAGAAACATCTGCTATGTCAGTGTGAAACATCGGAGTGCCTTCAGATGAAGGGCGACACCTTCCTCACAACCTCAGCTCTGCGGAAACAATGCTACGCAACTGGAGAAAACAACAAGAGCACCAGTAGAATAGCTTCTGCGTCCAAGTGACGCCTCGTCCCTGGCTGTAGTGGTACATGGTCGTGTATCCCAAATGGAATGGAAGCCACGCGTACTGCAGAAGCTTACCGAGAACCTGCGAGCTTGGGTGAAGGTAGTAAAACAAGGGAAAGCAGCAGCGGCTTTTCCCAGCCTTGTGAGCGTCGATGGACTTTTTGGCGAGTCGGTCGTTTCTCTGGTCGTCCTCCTCCTTTCCTGTCGTTTCAGAGCCTTGCCAGGGCTAGGCACAGGGTCACGCGTGGCCAAGTCGTGCACCGGGTGTCACTGAATATAACAGTCGCCTTCAACTAGTCAGCAACTTAGGATGGGTATGCTGGTGGAAGCAAGCCGTATAGCAAGCCCGAAGCCACACGTCACATAGCACAACACAAGAAACGCAAAGCCTGGAGCCCACTTCAGGAAGTACTCGTTCGCAATGCCGGACACCGGCAGCATCAATGCCAGGGCGTAGAAGGCCCGGAGGCTCTGCGTCTCGATCATCTGCACGATCGGGTGGCCAGGGAAACGAGGCGGGATGCCACTGCGCAGCCGGAAGAAGACACGCAAGAGCAAAGCCACCAGCATTGCCACACCCGTCTGCTTGTGCCACCACAGCAGCTGCTTCCGGGTCTGGCCCTCTGCCCTGGAGGCTGCCTGGGCAGTTCCCACCGCGCCAAAGATGCCCACGGCCATGATGAGGTGCATATGTCGCAAAGCGCGGCTGTAGGTGAACTGGGACAGCGGCTTGCGGTTCTGGAGGGTCTTGTACAGGTACCAGCCTACAATGGCGATGGTGGCATCGACGGCTTTGTAGCGCATGTAGCGTGTAGACTCTGAGGGCGCCTCGCCGACGACCTGGGCAACGGCAGTCTCTGCGTTCCAGTCGGCACTCTCTGCTGGGACCAGCTGCCCCACTAGCATGTCACGGTCCCGCTGGATACGTGCTTTTTCTGAGTGCTCAAAAACCTCAAAGTCCTTGGTCACATCAGTGCCCGCCTTGGACAGTAAAACGTCATCACCACCTGGATGGCTTCCCAGGAGCGACTTGACATTGTAGACACGGTTGTGGATGATCATGTAGGGCTCTTCCGCGGAGTTGTGCTTGGCCACCTCCGCCCGTGAGAAGAAGGGCAAGTCACGTCCGGCTGAGATCTCAGCCAGTTTGGGAAATCGGGCCTCTTCCCCTAAAGTCGGAACATCGGCCTTGCCCGGCACCTTCTGAGCCGCAGCCTTGGAAGCCTCGATGTCTTCCTTGGATGGACCTTCCAGCTTTCGCAACTCATCTTGCAACTGGCGCAATTGCTCGATGTTAGGATCCACGAGAGGCTCCTCACCAATGTCGCCCATGCGCGACTCCGGTCGCATGTAGAACTCCATCCAGTTGGCACTTGGAAAACGGCCGGGGATCTTGTTCCACATCGGCGTGGCATCGCGTCCAGCCCACGCCAGAATGGCATTTCGCTGCTCCGGGTGGTGTGTAGCAAGAACTCAGTCAGGTCATACACTGCACCGTTCAAGGCAACCCAGCAGTCATGCGGCTTGTTGTGGTGTGCCACCTCTGACAATGGGATGCCACTGCTCAGATTCTTCCCAGCCAGAGGGACATCATGGAGATGGGCATGGTCATCCTCGCACAAAAGGGCCTCCATGGACTTCTTGATCTCGGCAGCCTTCATGTAATCTTCGGCATCGAGGGCCACCCGCTTCTGCGTCTCCAGGCGTTGCAGCTTGGTCTTCAGCTCGGAGCTGAGGCTCTTGTCCTGCAAGAGACGTGGAATACTGTCAGCCTTGCTTCCGGGACCTGAGACTTGGCTCAGCACTCGGTCGAGCTCCTCCCTCACTTCCACAACGCGTGCTTCCCGTAGCGTGTGCCAGAAAGACTCTGACATGAGATTCTCGTCGACACCCAAATTGCCCAAGAAGGACTCCGGCCTTAAGTACTGCTCAATCTTAACTCCTTTATGGATATCATTGAAGAACTTGCTGGCATCCTTGCCAGCCCAGGCCAGAATGGTAGTGGGACCACCTGGATGGCGATCCATGAACTCTGAGAGATCATAGACCTTGCCATTCAAGGCAACCCAGCAATCTTCGGGGACGCAATGGCGATTGACTTCCGAAAGCGGGATGCCGGATGAAATGGCAGCTGCTGGGGCCTTGTGTAGCATGCGCTCCTCCCGCGACGGTAAGGGTGCAGGAACAGTCTGGTACTCCTTACCCTCGTGGACCATTTTGATATGGACCTGCAGCTGTGCCTTGTCCGGGAAGGCTTCGCTGCAGTAGCCACAACCTAAAAAGGATTGAACGCGGGCCATGGCCGCCGGGTGCTCGTCTGACTGCGTGGGAGCCATTGACTTGCGCTAGGCGGTTTTCACCGAGACAACACGTGAAGGCAAAGACTATGCGGGGCTGTGCTTGAGCTCAAAATCACTGCGGATGGGGCTCTGCATTCGACCTGGATGTTTTTGAGCACATCGATCAGCTTTTGCAAATGGCAATGCTTCAATGTGGCTCGGAAGCCCCTCTGCTGGGCCTTCTCCTGGCGACACCCGATGGCGAAGTCACCTGGCAAGGAAGCATCGCTGCCAAGACACGGAGTGACAACCGGAAATGAGAAGCATATCATTTGCTCAACAAACGTCCCACATAAACTCACGAAGTCTGTAACGCTCTTCTTTTTGCGTACTACCGGTAGAGCTACGATTGGGACAATGCTCACTCCCGGTCTTAGCGTTCTGCAATACAGCAAAGATTTGCGCTGCTCAATCCGGATCGATCGTCCTTCGAGCTTGCCGTCGCACAGCAGCCGTGTGGCCAACCAGTTTTATTCTCTTCGGGCTACTCTAATGCACTTGATCATCGCGCTGATGGCGTGATGGTCCCTTCTCGAGCGAAGGGTCGTCCACGAATTGGCGCAGCATGCCGCGCTATGCCGCACCCACAGCATCCTACACCTTACTTTTGCCCGAAGCTCATTTGGCACTCGAGCAGATCAACCCCTCGGCGCGTCGGTCCGTTGGATAGGTGACGTGAATTGCAGAGTAGCAACCTGCCACGATCTGCAAAGTGTTTCATTCTGACAGGTTGGCAAAAAAACATGTGCTTGCTTGGGCATGCACGAAGCTCAGCTACACCACCGAAACTGCCGGCCAGGCAACAGAAGCAACCTATCCAAGGAATCATTGTGCATGCGGCCATCGCTGTCCCCAGCGACTCGGCATTTCCTCTTCGACTGTCTTCCTCAGTTGGCGCAGCAGGTCACATCCTTTGTGTCCCGAGCCTTCCATGAACAGTCACCTAATGCCATACTATTGCGGGCGACAGGACAGCACCAGGCCGGTAACCGAGCACAGCCACGCAGATGTAGCCAACCAAGGGGCCTTGCTTCTATGGTGTTTCAGTCTGCTCTTCGGGTATAATTAAACGTGGCGGGAGTGGCGCACCTGCAAAGACTGACCCGAAAGACTGCGCAATAGCCGTCCTGGATGCCAGTCACGTTGCGCAAGCTTATTCGCGGGCGTGAGTGGGGAACTTAACAAAGCCTTTGCTACAGCAAGGATCAGAAGATATTGTACTGCCGAATGGCCAAGAAAAAGGTCTTGCTAGCCAGCATTCTGCCTTCTCAAAGGCTCCAAACCTTTTTGGCCTGTGAATGGCTTCGTCATATTGTGATATAGTGTGGCTTTGGCTTGGCCTGACTTGGCGTTGGGGTAGCACGCGGGTGGCGTTTGTTTTGGGCAGAGACAAACAAACTCGGCTTTTGAAGCTACTGTGGCTCGGCTGTGCTTAAGTGGCCCGGGGAAGGTACGAAGCAATTTCCTGATCCTTCATTATTGAAGTTTTCGTTAGCATGGGTTCACGTGAAATCATTTTTAATGTTTGACTCGAGATCCCTATAGGCCCTAAGCTTCCAACAAGACCCTGCAATGTGAGCTTGACACAGCCAACACCCAGCCCAGGATGCGCTCAGTCCACCAAGCAATGATCTTGCCGCGGCAGCTAGGGGCCACTAACCTCAAGCAAGTCGAACCAGCTACATTCCGATGAAGGCAGTCTCTTCCCGGTGAGATCGGTGAGCATCTATCAACGAATGCTGCCAGAACGCTCCGACCAGAGTGGACGGTCCACTCCAGGATTGCACCAGGTTGCCTGAGGGTCAATGGCAAGCCTTCAAATGTCCTTGGGCCCTTGAGGTTCGACACCCTGCCGGGTCTCTAACCAGCAGAGAAAACGAGAACAGCGCAGCGGCAAGGATGGATGGGGAACCTCAGCGCCCGCTCTTTTCACGTTTTACCCGCTATCTGTGCTCAAGTAGACTTCTTCAGGTACCTGTACAGCTCAGACTGAGACAGTCATCTTTTGCCGGGAATGCTCTTGTGCCAAGCCGCTTCTGCTGTGGGGGTAGCAGCGGAGAGCCCAATACCTTGACCGCACATCGCCGTACATGCACAGCGTGCACAAAATGGCATTGCCAGCCTTGCTAGCTTTGCTAACTGTGCCGCCTCGTCGCAAAGGGGCCATGCCCAAGAGGATCGACAGTTGGGCAACGAAGGCGCGACCGTGCATCGGCGATAAGCGGGAGAGATAGTCTCCCAAAAAGCCTCTCGCCATTCACCAATGCAACCCATTCGTGATGGAGCCAGGAGGCGATGAGAAATCCAAAAGTGTGGCCTCCTACAAGGCAACCGAGAATTCGGCCAATCGACATCACCTCGGACAATTTTTCACGGCGGGCTTGTGCACGACAGTCTTCTGCAGCCAGCGTGCTGCCAATAGCAACGCCGCATGTGAGGAGTCAAAGCCCACATCTTGCAGGAACATCATCCTGGCAGGAGAATTGGACCGAGCTTGAAGAGCCCGGAGGACATGAACGACTATAAGAAATCACGTCAAGAGTCATAAAGCTCAAAGCGTTCCAAGGGATACAGCCTCAGCTTTTATGCGTTGTTCCTTTTGCTCTTGCCACTTGCTCGATGGCGGTTACATGCGGCCCACGTCACCAACCACGCCTCCCAGCCTGAGCTCGAACTCGGAAAACTGATCCGGATGTCGCATCGGTTCTTTCGAAGCGGCGACTAAGCCCCTCTTTACAAAGCACAACGTCGTGGTGCCACATCCTCCAGAAGTCCGAAGTTGCGACAAGAAGCAGCAGCGCCCTGAAGGTTGGGATGCGGAATATGGTCCGCAGCTGCTCCATCTCAGTAGCAAATGTGCCTTGTTGTCACCACACGCAAACATTCGCAGTCAACGACGCCTTCTGCGTGCAGCTGGGCAATATTCTGGATGCTTTGCAAGCAAATGCAAGCAAGACCGCCTTCCAGGGTCCGTTCAGAGGGAGGACGTCGTTCTGCGGGAAAGACGACGAGCAGACACAGCGCCAGCCTAGGCACTGAAGCTGGACATCTGGCTCTTGCGCGAAGGCTCCGCGAGGCAGCTTAAAACTTGGCATCCCACCCACCAAGTGCATAGTGACGTAGCGCGGTAGAAGCACAGAGCACTGATTGTCTGGGATCTTCAGTGAGCACAGAGTAAAAAGGCCACCCTTTTTCAAAAGGCACCAAAAAAAGAGGACGGGCAGGAGAGAAACCGACATTCCTACGGTCCCAACGACAGACGACAGTGGCTGCGAATTCTGCTTTGTGGGGGGTTCGGAACGCCCTTGACCACCGACAATACATTGCAATAGTTTTGCAATGTACACTCGTACACGCACGCGCAGTCTCTTGGGTTGAGGGTTCGCCCAGCCAGCGGGTGACAGGCGGCGAACTCGAACTTTTGAAGTAACAAACAACGGAGAAACTTTTTGCCTGAGCCAACTTCACTCAAAGCCAAAACAACAAACGTCTTAAGGACACCCAGCAAAATGAATACACAACAGTGTGCACAACGATGCGCTGGGGAACCGAGTGGTCGTGCTTTTTCATGGCGGCATGCTTGCTGCGATCGGTGCAGACTCAGCATCGTACACCTAGGACACGGTGTGAGGTTTACGGTTTAGAGGTTCAGGCCAAGGCTGCTGGCATGCCTATCTCGAAGCTCCAAGTCGAGCTAAGACCGATTCAGGAACCCCCCCCTCCCACCTCCCCTCTGATACATACTCATTGCCGCGGTGTCTTGTTTCATGCCTTTTGTCGCGGACGAGGATAGCGGAATGTAGTGCAACAAAATGCCTTGTGGCAGACGGACTTGCCGCAACCCCCCTCCGGGTCTGTACAAGCCCTGTGATTTGTTTTGGCCCACGCCCACGGTGCACTTGATGAGTGCTGTGGTCGAGACGATTGTTCACAAGGACCGCGATGGAGCACTCATGGACGGATCCCCACATAATTTCGAGAACGCGCAGACTTTTGATCTGCACTCTACCATATTTAGCACCTTGGGCGCCATGCTTCTTTGGCGTAGTCATGTGTGTATAGTCATGGAATCCTGGACCCTCTCGTGGTTGCGTCTCATCCCACAGGTGTCCCGACTTGGGCCCTGACGAGATTGTGGCGGCGCCCATGATAGTATATGCTTCTCGCCAGGAGAGGACGCCAGCCAGGATTGCTGCTGCCGAGCTGGAGATGCCTACAGCCAAAGCAGCAAACAGCTCATACCCGAACATATACAATGTGTTCAATATGCATGCATGCTTTGCAGATGTCCTCTCAGCAAGCTGTGGCTAACACTTTGCTCAATGCCCTCATGCCGCTTGCCTGTGCACATAGCCAAGGACGCAAATGCCATGCCCCTGTCGCTTGCCTCACGCGGGCAGCTTCCATGGAGTGGCAGTAGAACAAGGAGAGCAAGTTGCAGGCCAACATCATACGGCACAGAAGCTCGTCGTCCCCCCCAGCCGACGCTGCCTCCACTTTCTCACTGACTAAGCTCTGAGTGACCGGTACTGCCGCCGCGGCAAAAAAGGCGATAGACATCTGTGTCGCAAAGAATCCTGGAAAGTTGCATCAAGTCCAGTTTTAAACAAGGAAACGTTTCGCTCGAAATTGGCAACAAGAACAGGTGCCTCGAAGAGTGGTGAGCTGCGGTGTCAACCTCACACTGAGGTCCTATAGGGGTGCAATGATGGAGACCTTGCCTTTCAAGATCTCCCAACCTGTGCCAAGCATTGCCAAGCAACATTGTGAAGATGCCCACGAGAAGCATCGAAAAGACAATCGTTCTTTTCCTGCACATATGAGGGGTTGAGTCGAGTCCTTTTGGAGACACACAAGCTCATGGTGGGACATTCACCGCTCCTGTCTACATGATCAGCGAAGGAGCCCCAAAGAATGCCTGTTGTGCTTCCGTGATCTTCCGCATCTGAAGGTCATGTGTTTAAGGTTCTTGTGTTCTCCAGGCAACAAATGTGAAGCAAGCCGGCCTGATAGACTGTTTGCAAGGCCTCTGGCCATCAAAAGCTTGCCAAGTACATCTGGCGCGAATCCGAACTCCTTCTCCAGCCTAAAGCGTAGGTGCTTGCATTGCGGAGCTTATGTGACTGTCAACAGCTCAAGCTTGACTGGGCCGTGTGAGAGCCTACTTTCTTTATCGTGGCACTGACGCGTTGGGCACGCTTCTACTTGCCTGAGTGCTCACGGGCTGGGCCTGGGCAGTTTTTGAATGGCATGTCAGCTTGTTATGCTGCCGCACATCCACTTTAGCCATGGTGCTGCATGAAGGACGAGGCGAGCAAGGCAATGTCTATCCTCAGCTCGACTTGCTTGCACCCTCTTGCACCAATTTGCACCATGTTGGCAAACGACCTGAGGTCTCAAAGGGTATCATGCCTTAATATTCCTACCAGTAGTGTGAACAGATCCAAGCAGTCTAAACTCCATCCAAACGTTTCGTTCAGCGGCTCATCAACCAAGCCAGCGAGGGTCGCCGCGGCGAGGACCCGTCGCCGTTCGCTTGGCACATCGTACTTAGTTAAAACCAGACTCACAGTCACAAACGCCCCTTGAAGGCGCTCTCAAATCTCCCATCCTTTGCACACAACATGGAGCAAACCAGCCCTTCCGATTTCTAAGTCTGCCGTTGGTCATGCAGGACCTTCCGCTGGCCGACATCTTCGCGCTGTGCCATCAAGTTGCTGTAGACAGGCCATCGGAAACATCATTGGTCCTGCTGGGTCTGTACTTAAGGGTCGCCATTTGGAGCAAATGGCTGCGCATTTTGTAGGCTGGCTGTGCTTTTTGTAGGCGTGCACTTGCGAGTCCGCAAAACTCCAAACGGCTTGCCGCACGCCCTTGCACGTCTCAACGCATCGCGCTTTTCGCTGCACGACACTGGAAGCGAGTCAAACGGAACGCAATTCGCATTGCTGCGGACAGTTCGGAAAAGGAACTGTCACAGGTACAACAGACACCTCCGTCGAAAGCCTCAAACCACTGGGCCAATGGAAAGTCAAGAAAAAGGCTGTCCATCGGCCGTCCGCTGGAGGACGAACACTCGCGTGCCACCTGAAGCTACGATGCTTTGTCTCCTGCACCGTGGAGCTGCTCCATGCAACAGCCTGGTTCACGCATCCAGGGTAACCTAGGTACCCACATTTTTGGCAAGCTTCCCCGCGATCAGCATTGGTTCGTCTGAAGTCTCGCCTTTGCGAGTCGCACGTCGTGGCTTGCCAAAAGATCACTTCTGATGGCGCGGGGCTTGATTTGTCAAGCTTTGCTGTGAGGGCACCCGTTCGATGAATGCGCCAGGACAGCTGCGGGAGTGCGGCTGGATGGGCGTCCTGCGGTGAACATGGTGGTCATGCTGATGGGCCAGCACGCTACATCGCGCACGCACGCACACACACACACATACACACGGTGCAGTCTTCATTCGGAATGGCGTGCAGCGAGGGTCCTTGCCGTGCATGACACCGGACAGAAAAGCGCCAATGGGCTCAACCAGTGCCCGGATCTGCTGCCCACCGGCAATGTGCCCGCTGTTTGGTACCATCATGTGCCTGGTTTCGCAGAACAAAGCAGTTGCAGATGCGAGCAACAACAGTGCAGCAACAACCAGCTTGGGCCTCCAGATTCATGCCAAGGGGCCATTTGGGATCTGGCAGCTTTGGCCACCAAACACGGGTGTGGTCAGGAACGAAGAAATCATCGTTCGCGGCATTGATCACCAGCTTCGGTAGTCCCGCAAACCTTTCCCGGTAAGCATATGCGTCCGTAATGTTCAGGAACCACCTCCCCTGGGGAGAGTCCGCAATGTTTTCCAACCTGAGACTTCGAGCGCCGCCCCGAAAGCGACATGGAGACTGTAGGCGTCTTTAGAACCAACTCTCTGAATTTGACTGTTCACCGGGCAGGAGCACGGAACATCCTTAACCAGCCCATGCATGACTATGGGGTTACCCCCAAAACATGCTGGGAACGGCCAGGGGGCATCCCTGTCTTGGAATACTGAGAGAGGGCTTGAGGCAATCCACCCAACTCTTGCTGTGTGAGCTCTAAGAAGTCTTGCATGTTCAAAGCTTTGGCAATCGGGATGATTGCTTGCACCTCGGAAGCAATACCAAACACAGCAGAGCCAACTTTAACCGGAACTGCGCGTTCCTGAGCTGCCAAGGGCCCGAGGGGTATGCAACCAAGCATCTCGCGAATCTACCGATGCAGCATGCCAGCACAGATGCCCTCGCTTGCCTCAGTGACTTACTCATACTGCTGATACTTTGCGTCGCACGAGGAGATAGAAAAAACAAACAAAAGAACACATTTAGGGTACATGTTCGTGAACCGCTTCTGTTGGCCTCAGAGGTGCTTGTCCCCAGCAGGGCGAACTTCATCTTGCTCGAGAGGCCTGGAAGGGATGTCACGCCCGCGAAGTCACCTTCAAGCTGCTTCGCATGCTGCACGCTAAGCCGAGCGACAGCGCTTAGGCGAGTTAAAATCAACACTGCATCCGGCAAACGGTGCATTGATCCCATGATGTCTCAACGTGTCCCAACCCTGGCACCTATCGTGTCCAGGGCGCGCACCACCGCCTTCGGGAACTGCGACCACATGAGGCTGGAAAAATAACCCTGTTGCCGTTACCAACCACTTGATCGGTGTTAATTCATGCACACAGAACTATTCAAAAGGGAGGAAAATGCCGGCCGGACAGCGCCGGCTCGTGGATGAAGGCTTGATGAATGGGTTCAAGCTAGCTGAAGGGAAGCACCTGTTCGTGAACGAAAAGGTTTCGTTCTGGTGATCGTTGTGTCATCGTGCAAGACCCTGGCCAAGTGACCGAAGGTTCGGGCGCACACGCTAGAACCCTTGCTCCATATCGTTCTTAATTCAGCCAGCTTCTTCCCCAAGAGGTGCGCCTTTGTCATGGGCAACTCCAGCAGCAGTCTCGGGTCCGGACGCCAGGGCGGCCCAAAGGGCTGCGAACCGAAAAGGGTCCATGTGTAGGAGAGCGTCCCGTCCTTCAATGTCAGTACTTCTTGGGCCACCTTCCCCAAAATCCTCTATTTTGTCACTATTGTTATCACTCCAGAATCACTACTCATCACTACTCACTGCCAAAATCAAATTGTCCTCTACCATTGGGGCTTTGGATGATGAGCTCTTGAAGGTCAAAAGCTCTGCGGGCACATTGAAGAGCACGGCAGCAGGAATCCCAGCTGCCACCGCGATTCCTGCCGCAGCTTGAACATCTGGGTCTACGGCATCAACAGCCCCTGTCGCGCCAGAAGATCCATAGTAACCCAGGGCGACATACAGGAGGCACCAGCCGGTGCGCGAGACGTTATGAGGCGAAATGACGACAAGTGAATGATTCCAAACACTCGGTGTTACTTCATCTGGCAGCCACTTCTGGCTCGTCATTTGTAGCAACGCTGCAGTCCAAGGCATGTCACCCACCGAACCATGCAGCTTGACACCGCTATCACTCCAGCTGTAATCTGCATCTGGCTGGTCAACATAGTGTTTCAAGCAATCCCATCCAGAGCACCCATCTAAGATCTGGCGCAGACCTCTGAAGCCAGCCAGGCCAGCCAAGGAAGGGCCAGAGTCGGCCAGGAAGTTGGTCAAGTTGTTGGCGTTCACCGCTTCTGCTGCTTTCAAAGGGACTCGTCCAAGCCTCAGGTTCTGCTGAAGAAGCTGAAGCGATGCTGGAGCATGTGCCAGTTCGCCTGTGGCTGTACACCCGGGTTCCTGCCCCTGTGCCGGCAGCCAGGCCAAGAAAACCCAAAGCGCAAACATGAGCTTTAAGTGACGGCACAATGCGGCCCAGAAGATGGATTCGGGATGATTCGGGGCAATCCTCGACTCGTTGGCTAGGGTTTCGCCATGAGCCAGGCTGCGTAGGTCAATTATCTGCTCCTGGATTTATCTGCTCCAGGGTTGCCTGGGGACCTAGGGCATCTCAAAACTAATAACGTGCTTGCTACGAGCCTTGCTACCCATGTTTCTGATCTGGCCCCACATGGCCCACTCACTCCCCTTTCGGAAGCCGCAAGAACGGATACCCCACCCACAGTCGTGACTGCACGTTTTGCCCCGAAACTCTCCGTGACAGGCAAGTTGTTCACCCAAATGCGGCTTTGGCATTTGGCAGAGCGTGTGTCCATCCGGTTGCGCATCTGCCATCCTCACGCTCCAAGCAGAATGAAGTCGATAAGCCTAAAGTCCTAAAGAAGCTGGAACTCTGATCTGGCACCAAGCATCTCCAGGCAATCACCTGCGATAAGGGCCAGGTGGGCTGAACCTTGACACACACTCGGACTGGTCCGGATTGCGTATGGAGATGTATGGAGGGCTCAAGAATTTGCCAATGCAGTCAAAGATCGTCGAGGCGCTGTCCAACTCGTCGTCGTGCAGAGCCTTTGACGGGCTGCTGCCGCGCACACAAGTTCTCTAGGAAAATACCTTGACCCGGCAAAACAATGTCATGAAGCCAATGCCTGCACCAGACCCCCGGATGCTGATGCACATGCTGCAGAATCTCGGGCATCGCCGCCCGGAGGTAAATCCTTGCTAGGTAAGTGTAGCCTTGTCAAATGGCAGCTGCATCCGACAAGACGGTCCTTGCTGCTCAGCATTTCAGGTGCGGTGGCCTTCTTGGGAAGCGTTTCCCCAGCCTCATTGTCAGATGCACAGGTTCTATCCAGCTGTGCCTAGCGGGTCTGGCGAGTCAGCCCCCACTGATGCGGCCTGGACGAAGCGCGCAGCATCTGCACCCATGTGGTCTGCAAGGTCCGCCAAGCCTTGGGCAACAACAGATCCAACTTCTGAGGAGAAATCGCCATGGAGGTGGGCATCAAAATCACAACGGGGTATGTAGGTGGGCACCTTTGCCGGGAAGAGTGCAACCGTCGACGGAGAGGGCGGGAAGGAGCGGGTCCAGTCTGCTTGAAACCCCCATTCTCGTTGTCTCTTGGCACTCGCGGAACGAGAGCATTCTTGAGCGTGTGCATGTACAAGCAAAAGCTCGATGAAAAAAACAGCGTCGACGCGTCTAACCACAAGATGACTGACATGACCAATTGTATGAATAATATAGAGACACGCAGCGACTGCGACTGCGAGTGCCGCAGGCAGGGCACGAACCACAAGGCTGCAACTGGCACCAAAACACGCCGTTCCTGACTGTTCTTCACCAGGGCACCATCCCAAAGTGCAGCTGCCTCAAGGCGGTGCTCTTGCCTGAGCCCACTGGCTTACGGACAAGATTGTCAGGTGGAACCATGTGGGACCTGATGTAACCATGCTGGCTAAACGCCAATAGGTTCAATGCTGAAGTACCACGAAAGACCCGCAAATGCAGCTCTGGTTGCCTCAGGCTGTACAGCAGCGCTACGACGTCTGCAGAACCGTCCGAACCTGGACTCAGGATATAGTGTAAAAGGTGACTCCAGCTAGCGGCTAGAAAGTGTACTTTGCTCGTAACGGCCCTCACGAACACGCATTCAAATTACACGTCACAGGTCGCCTTGCGGTGCATGGGTGCCCCGCATCTCCTGCATTCCAGCGGCGGGAGAATTGGAGTGCACTACAAGCCCTGGACACTGCACATGCCGAGTCCTCGGACATGTGCTCTTGCTTTGTGATCGCAGCATCAAGGCGTCGGTTGGTCGTCCTTAATTACACATTCAAGCCTTCAAGCCGAAGTCTTCGTTGTGCTCTCAGTTTGCTCAATGTCCATCTCTCGACTGCATCTTCCATCAGCTGAAACTTCCAACAACCCTATTCGAGGCACTCGCTGCTAGGGCATCTAGGGCATCGGTTCTTGTGCAAGATTCCTCCCCCACAATCCATGCTGATCCGTGTACTGTAGAAAGATTTGTGGACTGCGGCAACCCACTACGGCCGGGGGGTCTGAGTCTGAGATGTGGTGCACTATGTCCAGTGCGCAGCTTTATCTAAAACATGCAATTCAGCAAAAGTCACAAAAGGCCGCCCCCCCCCCCCCCCCCCCCACACACACACTCCAAAGTCTCTAAGCCGAACACAAGCTTGCCAAGCAGCTCCAGGAGCGAAACGAAGTTATCTGCCGCTTTGTCTAAGACCTGCGCCACCTCAGATAATATGCTTGTTTGCCATACGGGCTTCTCATGCTTCTCTGCTCCTCTTCCCAGCATCGCCCGCCACAGAATCCACGGCAAAAAGGGCGCGCAGCAGTTTTCAAGCCGCGCCTGAAGATCCATAGAGGGCATGGCGCTGGCACCAGCAGCAGATGGTACTTCCTCCAGGTCATTTCTGTGGGTAAAGGTGCGCCAACCAGGAATGAACGCATTCTCCGGTCTCCAGCATGTGGCATGCAGAACCTTTAACTTTTCGGCCCCTGATGATCTGCTTTAACTTGAGGGAATGCAGGGAATGTGGCCTGCGAAGTGGAGAGGTCTGTGGACATCGCCTCTCGAGCCGTCCGCTCCTCCTGCCTGCGGCCGTCAATCCAGTCAATACTTGGATACCCCTTCTTAAAGAATTGTCATGGAGCCGATAGAATGTCGGGCCTATCACATTCTGAAGCATCCCGGGAAAACAGCCGGCCTGAAGCTGGCCATCGCCACCTCGAGCTGGGCTATCTCCGCCTTGACGGCAGCGTCCAGATCGGGCAAGGCCCTCTCCTGGCTGTCCAAACGAGACGCCAGGGCGCTCACCTTGGATTATAGCTGGGGCAGACTGGTGCTTGGTCGTCACTGCTTACAAGTACCATCGCTACGAGTTGGTTCAACAGAAGGGCCCTTTTGCAGCCTGGTCCAAGTCGCTGCCCGAAAGTTCTCGCTCAGCGCCGTTTCCCGTGCTAGCTCCTCGCGGCCGAGGGCTTCCTCCAAGGCACTGCAAAAGCCAAACTCGAACCTAGATTCCTAGATTCGTTTGCTTCAGGAATCTGAAGATGCTGCCGCTCACACTCCATCCACCCCAGCACACCCCTGAACCCTCAAAGCCCTCTCCCACACCTCTCCTGCAGAGTCTCCAGCTTGTCGCCCGCCCGCTCCTCGGCCTCTTGGCGCTCCGCCTTCTCGGCATCCACTCGAGCAGTCAGCCTGGGCGGAAAACAAACCCTCGATAAGCCAAACTCCTGCCTTGCGCCAAAACCCCAAATGCGCAAATGTGCCCTCCATAGCCCACAGCCGAGCCGCTGCGTGAGGCGATCCAGGAGTTCCAGCTGCCGCTTCTGCGCCACCTCGCGGTCCTGGCAGGCGGCAGAGGGTTCCCACACTGCACACACTATGAAGGACTTTTGGACTTGAGGGTTGTCTTCGGGCACTAAGGGTTTTCTTTTGCTTTTTGCTTGCCACCCACCCCTATCCACTCTCTCGCTTTCCTGTTACTGCAGGCAAGGACGAGCGCTGCCTCTGCAACCAGCGCCCTCATGGCCGAGTCCAGCTCCTGTCACACACATCGACCTGAATTCGACTAAGGCTCCATGGCTTACGGGGTTTGGAGTTTGGAGGCATGCTGTGGGTGTGGCAAGGTGCAGCAGGCGGTGAAGAACCCCATGACAAACTTTATTGTTTCGAAACCTCATTGACAACCCACAATTGACAGGGCAATCGCTGTCCTTGAGGCCGTTGGTGCACTCTTGGCTCGCGCTCTGGAGGGACACGATTTGGGAGTTCACCTCGGCCGTTTGTCCTGTCTGAACGACCGAGACATGCTCCGGAGAGCCTGCGCTGCGCTTCTGCGACATTTTCTGTTTGCATCTGAGTTCATTTATGAAGTTCAGAATGTTTGGAGGCTTCCTCAAGCACCGAACCCCTAAAGTACAACTCCTGTGACCCTTGTGCAGCCTTTCCCCAAACCCTTGAAACCACCTCAAGCCCCGACACCGGTTACGAAGACCTGTGTGTCTCGAGACTCGAGAAGCCGAATGCGGCGGCGGCCCCAGCACTCCCTCCACCATGACGCCCGCAACTCGACCCTGGTCGGCCCAATCCCAGTGCGTGCCTGGAATCTCGACAAAACACCTTCTTGAACTGAACGTTTAAGACGTCTAACAGTCTTGATGCCCACGGCTTTCGTGAGGCGTTAAAGTGCCATAGTCGGCAAAGCCTATAGTGCGCTCAGCACAAAACGTCTGCCCCAACGCCCCTCATATCCCTCAAGCCCTTAAGTCGCCCGACCTCCAAGTCTGGTCCCGAAGCACCATGACCACGACGCTCAACCCTTAAATCGAAAGCGGCCTAGCTCCCACGAAATGGTCCTCGCAGGACCTCGTCAAAGCGCCCCAATTCTGCAGCACGGGACGAGGCCTCGACCTGGAGCCTCAGAGCCGTGGAATCTGATGAGGCTGAGGCTAGCAGAGGGTGGGGTTGCTTTAAAGTGGTAGTGCCGGATCTCTGTTTGGGTGTGCTCTCTGTGACGTAGTCGTGCAGGGACCAGTCGAAGATCCGAGCTTAGTGAACGGTCATCAATCCACAGCGCGCTGCTGTCATTTGATGCCAAACAAGCGTCCAGGTTACACCATGAACGCCATTGAACAACTTGACTCTGAACCAGGTGGTCACAGTTTTCAGGGCTGTTCTTGGCAGGGTTAAGTTAAAGACTTCGGCGATTTCGGGACATGGCTCCCACACCCCCACACACACCCAGCGTCTGCATCGTTGGGCAGTTGGGCGATCAGTCAGTCTTGGAAGTGGACCACTTGGAGCCAGAGAGAGGCACACGCACACATGAAAAACAACAAGCTGCCCAATCGGAAGGGAGGAGCATGACCTCACAATCCTTGTGAAGTTCCTCGCTGAGGCGCTCCAGCATCGTCGATGCCCACTTGCGGCTCTCCTGCATGATGAACGGACCACGTAGAATAGTTGTCGTCAAAAGTTTAGAGGTTTGGGGGTCTTAGGAGTCAGGAATCTTTAGACGTCGGCTGTCCTCGGCGATCGCCTCGGAAAGGCCGGCAGACATCGCCTCGCGAGCCGTCCGCTCCTCCTGCCTGCAGCCGGCAACTTGGATATCCTTCTTGTCATGGCACCGATACATCGGGTCTATTGCATTCAGAAGGGGCCCCGCATGGGCCTGAAGCTGGCCATCGCCGCCTCGACCTTGGCTAACTCCGCCTTGACCGCAGCATCCAGCTCGGGAAAGGCCCTCTCCTGGCCGTCCAAACGAGATGCCAGGTCGCCCACCTTGGCTTATAGCTGGGGCAACAAAGTCTGTTCGCGCGTGCCTTGCTCCACCAGAAGGGTTTTTTTACAGCCTAGCCCAAGTCGCTGCCCGAAAGTTCTCGCCCAGCGCCTCCCGAGCGAGCTGCTCACGGCCGAGGGCTTCCTCCAAGGCACTGCGATAGCCAAACTCTAGATTCTGAACCTGCTGCCAACCACACGCGCTCCACCCCAACACCAACGCAACCAACACACCACTGAACCCTCCAAGCCCTCTCCAACACCTCTCCTGCAGGGTCTCCAGCTTGTCGCCCGCCCGCTCCTCGGCTTCTTGGCGGTCCGCCTTCTCGGCATCCACTCGAGCTGTCAGCCTGGGCGGCAAACAAACCCTCAAAAACCCTCAATCAGCCAAACTCCTGCCTTGCGCCAAAACCCCAAATGCGCAAATGTGCCACAGCCGAGCCGCTGCGTGAGGCGATCCAGGAGTTCCAGCTGCCGCCTCTGCGCCGCCTCGCGGTCCTGGCAGGCGGCAGCAGGTTTTCAAGAACTTTTGGGCTTGAGGGTCCTTTAGGATTCTTTCCGTCTCACATCTCCAGGGCAAGCGCCGCGATTCCGTGCAATGCAAGAAGGTAAAGCGTCTTTGGGCACTAAGGGCTTTCTGTTGCTTTTTGTTTGCCACCCACCCCCACCTAGCAACTTTCTGATACTTCCAGTGCTTCCGGGCTTCCCTCTCACTTTCCGCACTGCGCACGGCCTCCGCAACCAGCGCTCTCATGGCCGAGTCGAGCTCCTGTCGCGCACACACACACACACACACACAGACACACACCGCCTTGAATTCGATTAAGGCTCCATGGCAAACCAGCACGCGCTGTTTTGAAATCACATTCAAGCATACATGAAGACTGTCCGTAGAGGCCAAGTCTTTGTTGATTACGAGTCATGCTCTTAAGAAATGACAGGGCCATGTAGATAGGATGAATGCTTAGGCTTACAGCTTGTACTAAAGCCCATGATACCGCCCGGCCCACATTCCCTGCCCACACATGAATGACCGGTCCTTGGACCTTCTTAATTTATGCCCTGGACATCGTGCACAACCCACAACTGACACTGCAAGCATTGTCCTTGAGGTTGTTGGAGCACTCTTGGCTGGCGCTATGGAGGGATGCGATTTGGGAGTTCACCTCGGCCCTTTGTCCTGAGCAACGAGGAGGTTTTGGCCTTCAATGTGGTTTTAGTGTGGCTTGTGACACCTAAACTTCAAACCCCAAACCCCAAACCCCAAACCCAAATTATTTTTACGGCTAGGACTGCTGCACTGCCAAACCCTAAACCCTAAACCTTATAAACCCCTGCCGGGGGCTTTTTGGCTTCTGCAGGCTTCAGGGCTAGTTTCGGTTTTCTGGAATCCTGTCGCCGCCCAGAGCTCGGCAACTATTATCCTTATTCCCTGGGCACCAGCCAAACCTTAGACCTTATACGCCAGGTAGCCTTTTTGGGTACACGGAATTTGTTCTAGGAGATTTCTTGACTAATCAGAAACGATAAAAAAAGTATGTTGAAATTCAAATATGTGGCATATACTCTGTCTATCTCTGTCTGTAAGATTCCCTAACTAAAGTTTATAATTCTATTGCCGATCACCCGACCCTACGCCTCATCCCTGGACCTCCTGTGTCTCGCGGAATGCTCCGAGTTCGGGGCTGCTAAAGGCCTCCAGTAAGCCCTTCAAGGGCAGGAGCAAACGGTCCTTGCGAGGCATCTTCCACGTCCGCAGCACGGGATGCGGCCTCCACCTGGAGCCTCGGAGCTTCCGATGTTTTTGCCCGCAAGCTCCCAATCCTCTCTCGCCGCACATGCAATTCTCCAACAACAGGCCCATGAGACTGCACCTTTTTCAGGGGCTCTGGAACAAGCCCTTTGGTCTGGTCTGCTGGAACGCTGAAGGAATCTAATGGGCAGAAATCGCTCGAAACAGCCTAAAAACCTTGAATCTTTGAGCGCTCAAGCCGGGATGCTCGGCCGCCACCTCGGACACGATGTTCTGGGCCGCGGCCACAACTGCTTTCAGCCGCTGCTCAGCCTGCTCGGCCTCGTTCACATGTCTGGGAGAATTGGGGGAGCGGTTTCGACGAGGCTGCTGCGTTTCTACCATCGGCTTCTCCAGGGCAGGCAGGTGTTACGTGCATTGCTCGCGTCTCTCACTCTGCACATGCACTCCTATATTCCTTTCCACCTGCGACCCCTGAACACCGCAGATGCATCCCCACCTTCCGGCCAAAAAACTAAGGTTCAGGATGGTTAAGGTACGCCACGCCCGGGTGAAGCATCAAGATGTTCAAAACTTCGGGAGCGAGGGGCCTGCTGGAGATCCGACTTGGCTTCTGAACCCAACGCTTCCTCTGCTGAAGGCCGCAGCAGAAGGAGCTACGAGGCAGGTCGATGGGACAAGTCTCTCAACACACATTTCAAGGCTCCAGCGGTTAACTGCAAATCCCCAAGAACAGGAGCAACTCTTGGGCCATCGGGGCGAGGCCCGTTGACGAGCTTAAGTTGGATTGGCTTTGATCTCGCCAACTCGACATGGACACCGACTTATACTCATGGGTTACAGGCAAGGCGCTAGGCCCGCTAGGCGCTGCTGCAGTTCCAACCGATGGTCGGCCTCCGATCTCAGCTCCTGCGCCTCAGAGGCGATTGTAGTCTCCTCTCGCACCCCGAGCCCTACAATAAAACTCTGAACATACAGTGGTGTCCACACCTCAGCCTTCGGAAGTCCTCTAGCATCCATCAACCCAGGCAAAAAAAGGGTCCATGCAATCCCAATCCCGCACAGTCGACTTGCATGCACCCAAGAGTCCAGGTTGCGCATGTCTGCCTGGCTTGCACACAGAAGCTCTCGGTGCAGCCTGGGCCTTGTGGTTAATCCTGGCATTTAACAGAGGTCTCTGGTGCGGCCATCACACCCTTTCCCCTTCCCTCGAAAAAAGGCACCTTGGTTTCGTCGGCCAGCTGGCTTCGACTGGCAGCCTCATTGCTGATCCTTGGCAAGATCCAACCAACATGTTTCCAACAACCACCCCGGGCCCCCTACAGTACATCCTTGAGAACCTCTCATGTCTTGCGACCCTGAGTCGGACCGAACAGCCACTCTGTACTGCACGGTACACATCCTGTCTTTTGTGCTCACAACAACGGGATCTGTAGGTAGGCCAACTGAGACTGCACACCGCCACAAAAGGGCCGGAGATTTGTCTGCTTCAATGTCGGATAGAAAGCATCTGACTTCACGGTGACGCGAAGCAACACACAAGTCAGCAAGTAATTTATACAGTTGACACCATTAACATCCGAAAATGGTCTTGGAACGAGGACCCCCCGGCAGAGAACTGTTTAGAACCTAGAAATGTAACGCCTCAGGCCCACCTCAAAGCCAAGGTCCTCAGAGCCTCGGGGGGGGGGGGGGGGGGCACCAGAGAAGCCTCGAAACCCTCAAACTCTTCAACCCATCTGAGCCCGAGCCGGGCTGCAGCACACGGACCTCCTCAAAGCAGCGCAGGCCTCACATGTGGGTTGTCATGCGTTTTGGGTGTTTCATCGTGGCAGTGTTTCAAGGGAGTCGTCTCGGGGGGCCAACGTCCAAGAAGCTCCCCCTGAAATCCCACCAACACGACGTCTATGTGCTATCACAGCAAGGTCGCACCAGGACACTGCACTGAAGTATTCTGATCAAAGGCCACAAAAGCCGGTGCAGTGGACCTACAACTCATCTGGATGCATCCGAAATTGGGGGTACCTTATTTATGTGCTTTTTCAAAGGGAATCCTACGATTTGGGGATCTATATTGGGGGTCCCCTATTTTCGTAAACCCCCATCTATGACTAATTTAACGAATCATAGGGGTGCAGATTGGTGCAGGCAGCATCAACTCTGCCAGCGTCCCACATGCTGCTGAGATGCGCTCCCTAACCTGAAGCCTCTTAAGACATGTGTGGCTTCAAGAGCCCATGTGCCTTCGGCCTTCATGCGCTTTTGCACAAGGAGAGACGGGCCGCACTAGGGTTGACGTTTTGGGGCTTCGCGTTTTGCCAGCCTCAGGCCCTCCCCCCCCTTTCCACCCCCCCCCCCGACAAAATACAACTACTGCTCCACTCGGAAGGTTACAAGTTTAGGGCTCAGGCTTTTGAATGTTTTGGTCAAGCAGCCGCTGGGCTTGCGATTGTGCAGGGACTTAGCAAGACGAGCTGTGGACATGGCCGGTCAAATGGGAATTCCACCCCGAAACATTCCCAAACCATTGCAGCGGCCCTAAAAGCCCCCTAAGACGCTGCCAAGGCGCTTTCGTCAGCATCTCGCTGTCGGGCCTGAAGCTGAGGGGCAGGTGGGTGGGGTCTTTCTTGTTTTCCTCAGAAGGGCTGTTGCTTTGGATAGGATTTTTGAGGGGCTTTTTCAAGATGCTTCAAGCTAACGTCGATAGGGCGACCGCTGAGGCTTTGGGAAAATGCCGAACACAGAGTGGACCCTGTCGGGGAAACAAAAAGACCGAGTCATAAAACAGGACAGCACGAGTCAGCAAACAGGACAGCACGTATCAAAAATTAGTATACTAATCAATGAGAAAATCACTTTTTTTGAAGCTTGGACTGAGGGCGGGGTCAGCACATCTGCTGTGTAAGAATCCACAAAATACGAATCAAAGACATGTGGTGTGACTGCGAAGCCCACGTCTCCCAAACAGAACTCGTGTAAGGGAAGCAAAGAGCAGAAAGGAAAGTCAACCTTCAACCCTGAAACACTAGTGATCATCCGCTGAGGGCTGCCCAGGCTTGCGCCAGGCGGGTCTTTCTGTTTTCGAATTGGCATCGGGGAGCTTCCCACACAGGGTTCTGTTTGTTTTGACAAGGTGACTCGCAGGTACTTTTCCTGACTTGATCTGACTTGGCCGGCTTTGAGGGGAGACGGGTGCAAGGATGGGCACCTTGAGCATGGGTGCTAGCGACCCTTTACTGACCTGATTGTATGGAACCAGTCGGTCAAGAGAACAAACAGCCTCCCAATGATCCCGAATGGTTCCCACAACAAGCCGAGCGTCCTCCTTGAGGGTTGTGTGTTCCGTCCGCATCTCCTCAGCCATCGCCTCGTGCTTCTGCACCTGCGATGCGGAGAGGTCGGCGGACGTCGCCTCGCGGGCGTTCCGCTCTTCCTGCCTGCAGATGGATGTTTAAGTTCCGGCTGTTACTTGCATGTGCTTTCTCTGCCCCTGCTGTGTTCAGAAGGAGGGTCCCTATTTAGAGAGTGCCCTGCCTGAAGCTGGCCATTGCCGCCTCGACCTTGGCCAACTCCGCCTTGACCGCTGCGTCCAGCTCGGGCAAAGCCCTCTCCTGGCTGTCCAAACGAGATGCCAGGGTGCTCACCTTGGATGCTGGGGCAAACTGGCCGCGGAAACTGAGCCACTGCATTTGCAAGTACGAGCGGTGCGCGCGCACCTTGCTCCATCAGACGGACCCTTTTCAGGTCCAGGTCGCTGCCCGAAAGTTCTCGCTCAGCGCCGTTTCCCGGGCTTGCTGCTCGCGGCCGAGGGCTTCCTCCAAGGCGCTGCAAAAGCCAAACTCGATCCTAGATCCCTAGCTTCCTTGCTTCGGGATTCTGAAGATGTTGCCAGCCACACGTGATCAAACCACCGCTGAACCGCTGAACCCTCAAAGCCCTCTCCAACACCTCTCCTGCAGGGTCTCCAGCTTGTCGCCCGCCCGCTCCTCGGCCTCTTGGCGGTCCGCCTTCTCGGCATCCACTCGAGCTGTCAGCCTGGGCGGCAAAACTCAATAAGCCAAACTCCTGCCTGTCGCCAAAACCCCACCTGCTCAAAGGCGCCCTCCACAGCCCACAGCCGAGCCGCTGCGTAAGGCGATCCAGGAGTTCCAGCTGCCGCCTCTGCGCCGCCTCGCGGTCCTGGCAGGCGGCAGCAGGTTTTCAAGAACTTTTGGGCTTGAGGGTCCTTTAGGATTCTTTCCGTCTCACATCTCCAGGGCAAGCGCCGCGATTCCGTGCAATGCAAGAAGGTAAAGCATCTTTGGGCACTAAGGGCTTTCTGTTGCTTTTTGTTTGCCACCCACCCCAGCCACTTTCTGATACTTCCAGTGCTTCAGGGCTTCGCCTCTCACTTTCCTGTACTGAGGGCAAATACTTCTGCCGAGCGATGCCTCTGCAACCAGCGCCCTCATGGCCGAGTCCAGCTCCTGTCACACACATCGACGCGCAGAAGGACTCTAGGGCCTCTAGGGTGGAGCTGAAAGGTTGCACTGGCAGATGTCATCACCGCAGCAACTGCTGGTGACAGCGACTGACAAATCACACATCCGAGGAATGCTTACACTGCAAAGTGCGGTCTGGCCCCCATCGAACCTTCGGCAACATTGAAGCAATACTGATAACATCTTATCACTCACTGAATCTACGCTAAATGCCATGCCACAGACGCTGAAGGCCCGCATCCTTGAGGTTGTTGAAGCACTCTTGGCTGGCGCTCTGGAGGGACACGATTTGCGAGTCGATCTCGGCCTTTTGTCCTGGACCCAGAACACAGGGACATCAGAGGAATGTGCTTGTTACAGGTGATGAATGCGATTGCACGCGAAGCTGGCTTCGGAGATTTGGGGGTTGCCGCCCAAAGCCTGAACGCCTACAAGGGCCCAAGCTGTCGCCTTCGAAGTGCCCAGACTCTGCCGCACGGGTTGCGGCCTCGACCTGGAGCCTTGGAGCTCAGCTCGTTGGGGCTTTCCGAGTTTTTTAAGGGTTGCAAGAGCTTGACGATCTTGCAGGGCTGCCATGGGCTGTCTCTCTCCTGACTGCCTATACATCTTTTGCCTAGATTGAAAACCTCTACGTTCCGAAAATGTTGAAAAGTTTCTGAATTTCAATCCGGGCGGGGTCCCCGGAGTCCGCCCTTTGCAGGTGCCAATTCAGTTGATGTCCGTGACTATGACTGATCGGCCACCGCCGCCCTACAGCTGGTTTGTTGGATTGGGAAGTTTCGTCATGTCTACACCAAGCCTCACCAAGGATTATGAATTATGATGCATGCACAGAGCACAAGGCAAAGTGAGCAGACCACAGGGGCATAAATTACAAAGACCACGAAAACATTGTGGCCAAATCGGGAGGAAGGAGCACGCCCTCGCGCTCTTTGTGGAGATCCTCGCTGGGGTGCTCCGCCGTCATCAACACACAGTTGCGGCTCTCCTGGTGTTGGGACAGCTTGCAAGAGCTTTCGTCACTACTCGGACAGGCCATGCCATAAAAGGCCGGGCGTCCTCTTCGTGGACTTCGTGTTGCCTCTGCGCCTCGCGCGTCAACGCCGGTGATACAGAGGGGTCGGCGGACTTCGCATCGCAGGAGTTCCGCTCCTCCTGCCTGAAGCTGGCAGTCTGAAGTTCGGCTCCTATTGACCCCGTTTCTGCCGGCACCTGTTGCATTCCGGTCATGAGCGAAGGATGCTTTGACAAGCTGCCTGAAGCTGGCCATTGCCGCCTCGACCTTGGCTAACTCCGCCTTGACCGCTGCGTCCAGCTCGGGCAAAGCCCTCTCCTGGCTGTCCAAACGAGATGCCAGGGCGCCCACCTTGGATTATAGCTGAGCCACTGCTCATGCAAGTACGAGCGGTACGATTTGTAACTACGAGCGCACCTTGCTCCATCAGACGGACCCTGTTTAGGTCCAGGTCGCTGCCCGAAAGTTCTCGCTCAGCGCCGCCTCCCGGGCTAGCTGCTCGCGGCCGAGGGCTTCCTCCAAGGCGCTGCAAAAACCAAACTCGATCCTAGATTCCTAGATTCCTTGCTTCGGGATTCGGAAGATGCTGACCACCGCTGAACCCTCCAAGCCCTCTCCAACACCTCTCCTGCAGGGTCTCCAGCTTGTCGCCCGCCCGCTCCTCGGCCTCTTGGCGGTCCGCCTTCTCGGCATCCACTCGAGCTGTCAGCCTGGGCGGCAAAACTCAATAAGCCAAACTCCTGCCTGTCGCCACAACCCCACATGCTCAAATGCGCCCTCCACAGCCCACAGCCGAGCCGCTGCGTAAGGCGATCCAGGAGTTCCAGCTGCCGCCTCTGCGCCGCCTCGCGGTCCTGGCAGGCGGCAGCAGGTTTTCAAGAACTTTTGGGCTTGAGGGTACTTTAGGATTCTGTCCGTCTCACATCTCCAGGGCAAGCGCCGCGATTCCGTGCAATGCAAGAAGGTAAAGCGTCTTTGGGCACTAAGGGCTTTCTGTTGCTTTTTGTTTGCCACCCACCCCAGCCACTTTCTGATACTTCCAGTGCTTCAGGGCTTCGCCTCTCACTTTCCTGTACTGCGGGCAAATACTTCTGCCGAGCGCTGCCTCTGCAACCAGCGCCCTCATGGCCGAGTCCAGATCCTGTCACACACATCGACGCACATAAGGGCGCTAGGGCAGCTGACATGTTGGCTTCTAGTGTTAAGGGTGCGGCAAAGTACATCCACGGCTTAGCCGCCTGTTACGTCGCGGCATCCCAAGTCTCTGATCTCAGCACTCGCGGATGTCATCACCGCAGCGACTGCTGGTGACATCGACCACTCTGACAAATCACATGTGCACATCCGAGGAATGCTTACACTGCAAAGCGCGGTCTGGCCCCCATCGAATCGACGCGAAAGCCATGCTAAAGACGCTGAAGGCCCCCCATCCTTGAGGTTGTTGAAGCACTCTTGGCTGGCGCTCTGGAGGGACACGATTTGCGAGTCAATCTCGGCCTTTTGTCCTGAACCCAGAACACAGGGACATCAAAGGAATGTGCTTGTTACAGGTGATGAATGCGATTGCACGCGAAGCTGGCTTGGGAGATTTGGGGGCTGCAGCCCAGAGCCTAAACGCCTACAGGGGCCCAAGCGGTCGCCTTCGAAGTGCCCAGACTCTGCCGCACGGGGTGCGGCCTCGACCTGGAGCCTTGGAGCTCAGTTCGTTGAGGCTTTCCGGGTTCTTTATGCAAGAGCTTGACGATCTTGCAGGGCTGTCCCTTTCCTGCCCTGTTCAGGTGCCAATGCAGTCGACGTCCGTAGAGCTTCGTTGGCACGACTAAGCGACTATGACTGATCCGCCACCGCCGCCCTACAGCCGGTTTGTTGGATTGGGAAGTTTCGTCAATGTCTACCTATAGCCTCACCAAGGTTTTGATGCATGCACAGAGCACAAAGCAAAGTGAGCAGACCAACGTAAAACGACGGGGGCATGACAAAGACCACGAAAACATTGTGGTGGCCAAATCGGGAGGAAGGAGCACGCCCTCGCGCTCTTTGTGGAGATCCTCGCTGGGGCGCTCCGCCGTCATCAACACACAGTTGCGGCTCTCCTGGTGTTGGGACAGCTTGCAAGAGCTCTCGTCACTACTCGGACAGACCATGCCACATAAAGCCGGGGGTCCCCTTCGTGGACTTCGTGGTGCCTTTGCGCCTCGCGCGTCAGCGCCGGTGATGCAGAGGGGTCGGCGGACTTCGCATCGGAGGAGTTCGGCTCCTCCTGCCTGAAGCTGGCAGTCTGAAGTTCGGCTCCTATTAAGATAGCCAATGGTATCCGCGTTTCTGCCGGCACCTCTTGCATTCCGGTCATGAGCGAAGGATGTGTTGACAAGCTGCCTGAAGCTGGCCATCGCCGCCTCGACCTTGGCTAACTCCGCCTTGACCGCGGCGTCCAGCTCGGGCAAGGCCCTCTCCTGGCTGTCCAGACGAGATGCCAGGGCGCCCACCTTGGATGCTGGGGCAAACTGGCCGCGGAAAATGCTGAGCCACTGCATTTGCAAGTACGAGCGGTGCGAGCGCACCTTGCTCCATCAGACAGACCCTTTTTAGGTCCAGGTCGCTGCCCGAAAGTTCTCGCTCAGCGCCGTTTCCCGGGCTTGCTGCTCGCGGCCGAGGGCTTCCTCCAAGGCGCTGCAAAAGCCAAACTCGATCCTAGATCCCTAGCTTCCTTGCTTTGGGATTCTGAAGATGTTGCCAGCCACACGTGATCAAACCACCGCTGAACCGCTGAACCCTCAAAGCCCTCTCCAACACCTCTCCTGCAGGGTCTCCAGCTTGTCGCCCGCCCGCTCCTCGGCCTCTTGGCGGTCCGCCTTCTCGGCATCCACTCGAGCTGTCAGCCTGGGCGGCAAAACTCAATAAGCCAAATTCCTGCCTGTCGCCAAAACCCCACATGCTCAAATGCGCCCTCCACAGCCCACAGCCGAGCCGCTGCGTAAGGCGATCCAGGAGTTCCAGCTGCCGCCTCTGCGCCGCCTCGCGGTCCTGGCAGGCGGCAGCAGGTTTTCAAGAACTTTTGGGCTTGAGGGTCCTTTAGGATTCTTTCCGTCTCACATCTCCAGGGCAAGCGCCGCGATTCCGTGCAATGCAAGAAGGTAAAGCGTCTTTGGGCACTAAGGGCTTTCTGTTGCTTTTTGTTTGCCACCCACCCCAGCCACTTTCTGATACTTCCAGTGCTTCAGGGCTTCGCCTCTCACTTTCCTGTACTGCGGGCAAATACTTCTGCCGAGCGCTGCCTCTGCAACCAGTGCCCGGGCACTCATGGCCGAGTCCAGCTCCTGTCACACACATCGACGCGCAGAAGGACTCTAGGGCCTCTAGGGTGGAGCTGAAAGGTTGGCTTCTAGTGTTATGGGGTGCGGCAAGATACATCCACGGCTCAGCCGCCTGTTACGTCGCGGCATCCCAAAGCGTGGTCTCGCCCAAGCACGTCCATCGCTGATTCTTCTCCAACCCTGAACCCAAATCTGCGAGGTCTGTCCAGCAGTTTTGCCACTCCAAAAGCCACTGCACTTCACACTCGAGGCCCCGTCCTTGAGGCTGGAGCACTCTTGGCTTGCGCTCTGGAGGGACACGATTTGGGACTCCACCTTCTGTCCTGTCTGAAGAATGGAAAGAAACGGTGCCACAGGAACTTGTGTGACAAGAGTGTGCTAACGCCTGTTAAAGCATTCATGTAGAGGATGTCGAGGAACTACATGCTTAAGCGGCACTGGGATTCCAAGATCCCACTGCACGATTACCTGCTTCTAGCTCAGGCATGTTTTTGTTTGCCTTCCCTTTCCTTAGGGTAGTTTAGGCCTTCCTTTTCGGTTTTCTTCCCTGCCTTTCTGGATTCCTGATGAACCCCAGTTCCGGACTACTGACTCCTGCTGTGTGGAGAAGATTGAATTCGTTAACTTTGGCGTGAAATGCATTTGTGCCACCTGCCCTGGGGACGCACTGCCAGGCACAGTCCTTCGCGTATGAAAGCGTTGTGGGGTGCTGAATTGAGGCTTTGGAGCTTCTCAACTCACACTCTCAAGGTGCCTTGAGGGCCTCCAGCGACTCTAGCGCCCCCGAAACGGTCCTTGGGAGCTGTCTTCGACGTCCGCAGCACGCGACGCGGCCTCGACCTGGAGCCTCAGAGCTCCCGACTTCTTGTTCTTGGGCTGCTTGCAGACAAGCTTTTCGTACATGATTTGGGGGTGGGGGCTCGATCCGGGCTGAGGTTTCAGTATGTATGGCTTGCGTGCGAGCCAGTGCTAAAAGGCGTTGGGCGCTTAAAGCCCTACGTGCAGCTGGTAGGTCTGGGTGATCTTTCAGAACTAGACCTGGCTGGCAAAGATTGATTGTTGCTTCTTCTGCGGTGCCTTCTGCTGCGCAGTCAATTCTCACTTTCGTGGCCAGTGCATTGGACTGCTTTCATCTTTTGGCCATGAACGAACCCGGATAATCCTTTCCCCCTAACATTAAACGGCCCCCCCCCCCAAATGGAAACTGCAAAGTGTTTTTATACTTAGGGGGGTTTTTATCCAAATGTCCTGAACCCTAAGCCCTAAACCCTGAACCCTAGACCCCCAACCCTAAACCCTCTGAGGGTTTTATTGGTGTTGAGGGATTTATTGGAGGCCTGAACCCCCCCCCCCCCCCTAATTCGGAATAGGGTTGAAAAAGGCGGGCTCGGTTTCGGGAGGATTTTCCGGAATGTGATAAAAGGGGGAAGGGATTAACAGCCTACGCTGCAGAATGCGGAAATCCAACACCCTTGTACCGTACTGGGAATACTCTGAAAACCTGCCAGCGCTCTTCATCGTTTTGCTCTGCTTTGTGAGAGGATCGGCGGCTCGGAAACAAAACCGCCGACCGGCGGCTGGAACCGGAGCCAGCGGAGGCCCCCTTGGTCCGCAACAAGAAGCCGTGGAATTCCGGCTTCCAAGCGCAGCGCCTTCAGTTGCGACGGCTGCACTGGGACCACGGTGTCAACCATCAGACGGAGGGCACTCAGAGAGGACAGGGATGGGGTTTCGAAAACCAGCAGTCTCCGGTCGCTCTGAAGAACAGCGTGGAAGCGATCTGGGCTTTCTAGGTCATCGACCACTTTCAAGGCGCGGCCTTCCAGCAGGAGCTCTTCACTAGGCGTTTGCCCTTTTGGGGGAACAAGTGCAAGCCGCTGATCATGTACCTGGATGAACTCTGATGCTCTGTGACCAGGAAAGACCGATTTCGCAGAAGGCTTTCCTGCTTCCCCTCCATCTTGGTGTTCAGCAGTGGTGTCCTCAGCTCGTTGCTGAGGTTGTCGTTCGCCTGGCTCATGCACAGTGGCAGAGACAGGCACGGGTGTCACACGCCTGCGCTTGGTCGCCATGGAGGACGGCCCCTGAACATGTGCAATGTGACTCCTTGGGGATCGGTTGTCAGGACAGAAGACTAACTTGAGCAAGACTGCTGCAGCATCTCACAGGTACCGAAACGATGAGCTGCTTCCTTCGGAATCTACTTTTTTACAGGCGGTTGTCGTCCGTTTAAAATTCCGATTGCACTTGAAACGGTAGATTTGTTACGCCTGTGCACTTCGAAAGCCTGTCCACGCCCCTAACTGCTTAATTTCGGGGATTACATAATGCTTGACCTGAGTCCTGAGGGTGAATCGAAGATGTGGCACTGTAAGAACCTGTCATGAACTGCATGTTCCAGCATGCGTCCTAGAGGTTAGGGTCTCCCTTTTCCTGCATCCGTCCGTTTCCTTTCTGCCGCCTGGGATTGGTCGGACACCTTTTTCAAGTCTGACCCTCAAACGATCTGAGAAAGAAAGCCCTTTAACCGTAACCAACCCTCTCACCAGTCGGGATGCTCGGCCGCCACCTCGGACACGATGGTCTGCGCCGTGGCCACCACCTCGTCCATGCAATGAAAGCCCCAGGAATTGACATGACTCCAGGCTCCTCAACCAGTTGCGAGGGGTGGCCTTCGAGAGGCCCGACAGGGCTGCACTCTGGTTTCAGGTCTTGGGAACAGTGTGCGTGTGACTTCCTTGCGCCTCACACCACCTGACACCCCCTGCAGGAACAACAGCATTGACGCAAATGAGAACTCGAAGGATCTAGTAATCCAGTATCTTTTCGCCTCAAGCCTTCCGACACCACGAGCCCAGAACCCCCCCAAATGTGTCCCACCCCCCAGCACATCTTGAAAACAAAGCCGTCAAACTCAACACCAGGATACACAAGGAAGCGGAATGCTGCATGCCCTGAGTGCTTAGATTCTTGACGTTGGACCCCGATTTTTTGGTGCCCTCACTTCAAGCCGGGACTCCGAAGTGGTAAGAAACCTAGATGGGGACCAAATATCCCCATGTACACCCTCCAGACCCCTCAGGATCGAAGCAGCCAGGGGGCCTGCTGGAGATCCGACTTGGCTTCTGAACCCAACACTTCCTCCGCTGAAGACCGCAGCACACGGAGCCATGAGACAGATGGTCAGTTCTCGCACCGCACAATGTCTGAAAAAAAGATGTTCTGGTGCCTGACACGCGAGAGCGAAAGCTCAAACCCTGCGCGCTACGTCGACCCTCCCATACCAGGCAAGATGCCAGGCGCTGCTGCAGCTCCTGCGCCTCAAGACGGTGGGCAGTTGGAATAGTACTACTAGTAGCCAGAATGGTAGCCTGTTCCTGCTACAGTCCACCCAATTAGTCAGGGGAATGCAGTGGGCGCCGTGGTTCCGCAGAGCAGCGCTCGCAACGGGAAAGAAGCTGAGCATACCAGGGGCCATCGAGTCCTCTGAACGGCTCTAATGCCAAACCCTCTCGACGGCCGACGGCCGAGGCCCTGTAAACCCCAAGTCCCACAATAAAACTCTGAACAGAAGTCAAGGGAACCGTCCTGAACTGTCAGAGGTGCCTAGACACCTCACCTTTGAAGATCCGACAAACCTTGCACCGTCGACTTGCACCCAAGAGTCGAGGTTGCGCATGTCTGCCTGGCTTACACAGAACTTCTGTGGATATGGGGCTACAGAATCACGAACGCTGCGGAGACTTACAGTCTACTTACCACATCGGAGGGCTCAGGGTTTCGGGCTGTCGCAGAATCATCTTTCGAAGCTTCGGCTGAGAGATATTGGACCATTGCTTGACTATGCAGATGAGCGCATGCAGAGCTATTCTTGGCATCTTCCCTCTGCCTACCTTTCTGCAAGGGTGGCCCAACCAGCAGAGAGGAGCATAGTCAGCCTGGCCTCGTGCTCATTACGGAGTTCCTCGTTGAGGCGCTCCACAAGCGGCAAAGCGCATGTCCGGCTCTCCTGATCTTCGGGAATCTATAAAACAAAACTTCCATCGAGAAGGTCAGTCAGGACACGATTATAGTAATTCTAAGTTCCTCCAACTCCAATGGTTCCCACAACAAGCCGAGCGTCCTCCTTGAGGGTTGCGTGTTCCCTCCGCATCTCCTCAGCCATCGCCTCGTGCTTCTGCACCTGCGATGCGGAGAGGTCGGCGGACGTCGCCTCGCGGGCGTTCCGCTCTTCCTGCCTGCCGATGAGATGCTTACAAAGTTTTGGATCCTACTTGCACATACCTTTTCTGCCCCTACTGTGTTCAGAAGGAGGGTCCCCATTTAGAGAGTGCCCGGCCTGAAGCTGGCCATGGCCGCCTCGACCTTGGCTAACTCCGCCTTGACCGCGGCGTCCAGCTCGGGCAAGGCCCTCTCCTGGCTGTCCAAACGAGATGCCAGGGCGCCCACCTTGGATTATAGCTCGGGCAAACTGGCCTTGGAAACAAATGCTGAGCCACTGCTTATACAAGTACGAGCAGTACGAGCGGTCATTACGAGCGCACCTTGCTCCATCAGACGGACCCTGTTTAGGTCCAAGTCGCTGCCCGAAAGTTCTCGCTCAGCGCCGCCTCCCGGGCTAGCTGCTCGCGGCCGAGGGCTTCCTCCAAGGCGCTGCAACAACCAAACTCGATCCTAGATTCCTAGCTTCCTTGCTTCGGGATTCTGAAGATGCTGCCAACCACACGTGATCAAACCACCGCTGAACCGCTGAACCCTCAAAGCCCTCTCCCACACCTCTCCTGCAGAGTCTCCAGCTTGTCGCCCGCCCGCTCCTCGGCCTCTTGGCGGTCCGCCTTCTCGGCATCCACTCGAGCAGTCAGCCTGTGCGGCAAAACTCAATAAGCCAAACTCAAGCATGTCGCGCCAACACCCAAATGCTCAAATGATCTCAAATGTGCCCTCCACAGCCCACAGCCGAGCCGCTGCGTGAGGCGATCCAGGAGTTCCAGCTGCCGCCTCTGCGCCACGTCGCCTTCCTGCATGGCCAGTGTAGAGGTTCTGTGGGTTGAAGGCTTCGAGGGTATGGCAGGATTTGCTTTGAAAGTTTAATTGTTCGGGCCCATGTTTACTCAGTTTACTCTGCCAGCCAAAACACTGTCCAGATATTGGGCTCGAGGTTTTCGGGACTTCGGACTTCACGCTCTGGCAACAGATGTGTACATTACAGTCGTTTCGGATTCTGGGGCTGCACGTGTTGCTCCCACAAACTGAGCGCTGCCTCTGCAACCGGCACTGGCACTCTGCTTGCAGAGTCGAGCTCCTGTCACGAACGTCGAATTCTGGGGCTTCGACTCTCACGCTGGAAAGATTCGGGCGAGGCGACTCCATAGTCCTTCGGTTGTGGTGTTGAGGGTGTGGCGAACTGCTGACGGCTGCACTGTAGGACACAGATTCCTGGAGCTGCGACTAGATTGGGGTTCTAGAAATGCTTATTATTCATGCCAACATCGCAAATGAGCACTGGACGTGCTTGAAAACGACGTACCGAGCCGTAGTGCTGCCAAGTCATTGCGATGGCATGAGATGGCATTAGTCTTTGCATTTCGTCTCTTTCCGACAGCCAGCCTGGCACGCACAACTCTCCCCCACACAAACGTGGCATTGCTACTGGGACCCCATGTTGGCACTGGATGCTGGAAGGGTCAATTACTTCTCAAACAACCGATATGCAATGAAAGTAAGCTCGCAATCTCGTCGAAGCCACATCCCAAAGCCACATCCCCTGACGAGTATCTTTCGGCATGTCTCACACCCATGCATGAAAGGTCCGTCCCTGTGCCCCCTCAACCAGCCACAGAAAATCTTTCCACATCATCCTAACCCTCAACTTGACCGAGTCTTCCTTCCTCAGAATGTAGGCAGCAATGGCGGCAATTGGAGCCCTCTCACCAACAGCGGAAGTATAGTATAGGCCGTATAGGCCTTGAGGCCGTTGGAGCACTCTGGAGTAGCGCACTGGAGGGGCACGATTTGGCACACCTCCTCGGCCGTCTGTCCTGTCTGGAGGACCGAACAAAACGCAGCAGAGAAATGTCTCTCATCAAGTCTTCGGGACATTTCCAGTTTGAAGAGGCGGCGTTTCGGGTTTCGGCTTCCGGGGTGTAGGGGCTTTCAGATCCGAGCTTGTAAGACCCTGCTGGCGCAAACCCAAGATTTCAAGAACCCAGAAAACAACCAACGTCAAGAAAGTTCCGGGGCTTCACAGCACGCACCGAGTTGTACGTCAAAGCCGCATGGCGCCTGCATTGAAGGTTGTTGCCTTTTGACATGGATGTACCATGACGTACCATAGATGTACCGCACTGCAGAAAACTGGCTTTGTATGTGCGTGGGTTGGGTGGGTGAGAGGGGGGTCCGCGTGCTCGTGCGCCTGTCGCACGGGACGGGCTCCTGGAGGCAGAAATGAAGGGATGGGCCAAACCGTCTTTCCGGTTAACGGCGATGATCTGGAGGAAGCCTCGTCTTAAGCGCAATCTACGGCGGGATCCTTGGTGCTCAAAGGTCTGCGGAAGTCACCGTGATGAAGCGCGCTGTACAGGCTGTGTACCTAGGTGGTTTTGCGGCTGCGAAGGGCCGGGCGTGACCGACTAAAGTGGCTACGCGGTCCATGAAAAGTGCCTGGCTGTCGGTTGACTGTGAGGGCAGCAGGAATGGGAGGATCGCGAAGCTCGTCGGTGCTCTGACCTACTTCTGCCGCCTCGGCAATGCGCATTGTTTGCAGTGAGAATGGACATGTGCTCCCGCTGGAGCCGATGAAGCATCGAGCATGTGGAGGTGAGCAGCACGACTCGTCCCTTGACAGAGCGGAGTACAAAAATGCAGGAAGAGTGGTCGATGGACCTCAGTGCAAGATGTTGCAAGCTACTGGAGTCACTGTGGAGGCTAAGTGGTCACCGGCGAACCGGCAAAGGCTGCCCCAAATCCCTCATGCCAAGACCTGCAAACCCGCAAATGCCAAAGTGGTCCTTGCGAGGCATCTTCGAAATGCCCGGACTCTGTCGCCCACGGCGCAGCCTCGACCTGGAGCCTCGGGTTGGGGATTTTTTTTGAATGGCACGGGATGCCTTCGGGTGGTTTGCTGGTAGGAGAACTCATTCGGCTTGCACTGTGGTCCTGCTTGTGGTCTGGGCCATGTGGGGCTGATCCTCGAGCCCTACTCGACATGCTCTGCGTGCATGCAGCCCTCTGCAGACTGGGCTCAACGAGTGGTTCTGTCCAAGGGCTTACGCCACCCTGAAGCGAAAGCAGCCGTGAAATGAGAAGAACCACACAGAACACGACCAAATTGCAGGCCAATCGGGAAGGAGGAGCAGGCACTCGTGCTCTGTGTGGAGATCCTCATTGGGGCGCTTCGCCATCATCAACACCTGCTTGCGGCTCTCCTGAGCCAAGCAAATTTTCTTGCTGGTGCTTCGGTGATTCGGGTGTGTTGAAGTTTTCGGCGGCCATAGGGATTACGAATCTTGGCTGGTCGCTTCTCGGTGACGGGTTTAGAAATTCAGCCGCGGCGTACATTCTGAGCCAGTCGATCAATTCTTAAGCCGAGAGTCCTCCTTGAGGGCTGCGTGTTCCCTGCGGGTCGCAGTCATCTCTTCGTGCTTCTGCGCCTGCGTTGCGGAGAGGTCGGCGGACATCGTCTCGCGGGCGTTCCGCTCCTCCTGCCTGCAGATGGATGTTTATGTTCCGGCACCTTGGATATCCGCTATCTCCCTGTACGCCTGTCGTGTTCAGAAGGAGGGTCCCCATTTAGAGAGTGCCCCGCCTGAAGCTGGCCATCGCCGCCTCGACCTTGGCCAACTCCGCCTTGACTGCGGCGTCCAGCTCGGGCAAGGCCTTCTCCTGGCTGTCCAAACGAGATGCCAGGGCGCCCACCTTGGATTGGCTAGATCTTAGCCAGGTTGCAGCGGCTTGGAAGGACAGGATCCATGCAGATACTATGCTGTGGCTGCTGCGACCAATTTGGCGCTAAGCCGCTGCCCGGCTGTTCTCGCTCAGCGCCCCCTCCCGGGCCAGCTGCTCGCGGCCGAGGGCTTCCTGCCAGCTGACTAGCTGCAAACCTCACTACCTCACGAACACATGCGAACCCCAACAACTTCTCAGCCCTCTCCTGCAGGGTCTCCCACTTGTCGTCGGCCTGTTGCCGGTCGCTCATCTCGGCATCCACCCGAGCGGACAGCCTGGCTATGGGGTATGTGCCTCAAGCCCCTCAACCCCAAATTCTTTAGTGGTTCTCGGGCTTCTCATGGCAGCCGAGCTGCTGAGTCAGGCGATCCAACAGCTCCAGGTGCTGCTTCTGCGCCACCTCACACGCCTGGCGGGCTGCAGGGTTCTACAAGCTTCAGCAGTCTGGGCTTTGAGCGATCGTTCTCACTCAAAAGGGGTATCCGCTACGACTTCCCGTTTCTCACGCTGCTGGCAAGGACTCCAGCCCCACAAGCCGAGCAGTGCCTCTGCAAACAGCGCCTTCATGGCCGGGTCGAGCTCCTGTCACACATGCTACTGGTAGCTGTGGCGACTGACTCTCACAAAGCAAGGCCATCATCCTCCTGACTTGATTAATCGGCTTCGCCTCGCCATCTTGCGCCACATCGTACACAACCTCATCTACATAATCTACAGCCACCGTCCTTGAGGCTGCTGGAGCAATCTTGGCTGGCGCTCTGCAGGGACACGATTTGGGACTCGGCCTCGGCCTTTTGTCCTAGCGTTCAGAAGTTCCGCACAACTTCGGGCCGACGTTCAGGAGAAGCCCTCGCAAACAGCCCATGCCTTCATTCCAAAACCTCAAAGTACCTCTCAAACCCTCCAACTTTCTCGAACGCTAAAGACCCTAAAGCTCAAGACCCTCAAAAAATCTCGAAGCCCTCAGATGCCCTCAGCTTCTCAGAAGTCGCAACCTTCAACGCGGTCCTCGCAAAGCCTCCTCCAAGCGCTCCAACTCTGTAGCACGGGACGCAGCCTCGACCTGCAGCCTCGCAACTCCAGGATGCCATGTTTAGAAAGGCTTTTTGTTCTCTTTGTTCATTTGCGTTTTCTCAACCACCGCGAAAAAATGGAAGAATGCATTGCTCAATGGGAGGGAGGAGCAGACCCTCCAGCTCCTTGCGAAGGTCCTCACAGAGCCTCTCCACCATCGGCATCACCTTGCGGCTCGATGCTGCGGAAGCACACAACACTCACATAGCAATTCTCCAACCATCTCCAACCTCTCCTCTGGGTAAACTGAGAGATTTCACTCGGAAGTCTGTCATTCCAAGACATGTCATTACGCCAGTCAGGACATGTCAGGGTTCAGTCCCCTTCAGCAAATCCCATATAAGCCATACAACAAGCCGAGCATCCTCTTCCTGGGCGGCGTGTTCCCTCCGCATCTCTTCGTGCTTCTGCGCCTGCGTTGCGGAGAGGTCGGCGGACATCGTCTCGCGGGCGTTCCGCTCCTCCTGCCTGCAGATGGATGTTTATGTTCCGGCACCTTGGATATCCGCTATCTCCCTGTACGCCTGTCGTGTTCAGAAGGAGGGTCCCCATTTAGAGAGTGCCCCGCCTGAAGCTGGCCATCGCCGCCTCGACCTTGGCCAACTCCGCCTTGACTGCGGCGTCCAGCTCGGGCAAGGCCTTCTCCTGGCTGTCCAAACGAGATGCCAGGGCGCCCACCTTGGATTGGCTAGATCTTAGCCAGGTTGCAGCGGCTTGGAAGGACAGGATCCATGCAGATACTATGCTGTGGCTGCTGCGACCAATTTGGCGCTAAGCCGCTGCCCGGCTGTTCTCGCTCAGCGCCCCCTCCCGGGCCAGCTGCTCGCGGCCGAGGGCTTCCTGCCAGCTGACTAGCTGCAAACCTCACTACCTCACGAACACATGCGAACCCCAACAACTTCTCAGCCCTCTCCTGCAGGGTCTCCCACTTGTCGTCGGCCTGTTGCCGGTCGCTCATCTCGGCATCCACCCGAGCGGACAGCCTGGCTATGGGGTATGTGCCTCAAGCCCCTCAACCCCAAATGCTTTAGTGGTTCTCGGGCTTCTCATGGCAGCCGAGCTGCTGAGTCAGGCGATCCGACAGCTCCAGGTGCTGCTTCTGCGCCACCTCACACGCCTGGCGGGCTGCAGGGTTCTACAAGCTTCAGCAGTCTGGGCTTTGAGCGATCGTTCTCACTCAAAAGGGGTATCCGCTACGACTTCCCGTTTCTCACGCTGCTGGCAAGGACTCCAGCCCCACAAGCCGAGCAGTGCCTCTGCAAACAGCGCCTTCATGGCCGGGTCGAGCTCCTGTCACACATGCTACTGGTAGCTGTGGCGACTGACTCTCACAAAGCAAGGTCATCATCCTCCTGACTTGATTAATCGGCTTCGCCTCGCCATCTTGCGCCACATCGTACACAACCTCATCTACATAATCTACAGCCACCGTCCTTGAGGCTGCTGGAGCAATCTTGGCTGGCGCTCTGCAGGGACACGATTTGGGACTCGGCCTCGGCCTTTTGTCCTGGCGTTCAGAAGTTCCGCACAACTTCGGGCCGACGTTCAGGAGAAGCCCTCGCAAACAGCCCATGCCTTCATTCCAAAACCTCAAAGTACCTCTCAAACCCTCCAACTTTCTCGAACGCTAAAGACCCTAAAGCTCAAGACCCTCAAAAAATCTCGAAGCCCTCAGATGCCCTCAGCTTCTCAGAAGTCGCAACCTTCAACGCGGTCCTCGCAAAGCCTCCTCCAAGCGCTCCAACTCTGTAGCACGGGACGCAGCCTCGACCTGCAGCCTCGCAACTCCAGGATGCCATGTTTAGAAAGGCTTTTTGTTCTCTTTGTTCATTTGCGTTTTCTCAACCACCGCGAAAAAATGGAAGAATGCATTGCTCAATGGGAGGGAGGAGCAGACCCTCCAGCTCCTTGCGAAGGTCCTCACAGAGCCTCTCCACCATCGGCATCACCTTGCGGCTCGATGCTGCGGAAGCACACAACACTCACATAGCAATTCTCCAACCATCTCCAACCTCTCCTCTGGGTAAACTGAGAGATTTCACTCGGAAGTCTGTCATTCCAAGACATGTCATTACGCCAGTCAGGACATGTCAGGGTTCAGTCCCCTTCAGCAAATCCCATATAAGCCATACAACAAGCCGAGCATCCTCTTCCTGGGCGGCGTGTTCCCTCCGCATCTCTTCGTGCTTCTGCGCCTGCGTTGCGGAGAGGTCGGCGGACATCGTCTCGCGGGCGTTCCGCTCCTCCTGCCTGCAGATGGATGTTTATGTTCCGGCACCTTGGATATCCGCTATCTCCCTGTATGCCTGTCGTGTTCAGAAGGAGGGTCCCCATTTAGAGAGTGCCCCGCCTGAAGCTGGCCATCGCCGCCTCGACCTTGGCCAACTCCGCCTTGACTGCGGCGTCCAGCTCGGGCAAGGCCTTCTCCTGGCTGTCCAAACGAGATGCCAGGGCGCCCACCTTGGATTGGCTAGATCTTAGCCAGGTTGCAGCGGCTTGGAAGGACAGGATCCATGCAGATACTATGCTGTGGCTGCTGCGACCAATTTGGCGCTAAGCCGCTGCCCGGCTGTTCTCGCTCAGCGCCCCCTCCCGGGCCAGCTGCTCGCGGCCGAGGGCTTCCTGCCAGCTGACTAGCTGCAAACCTCACTACCTCACGAACACATGCGAACCCCAACAACTTCTCAGCCCTCTCCTGCAGGGTCTCCCACTTGTCGTCGGCCTGTTGCCGGTCGCTCATCTCGGCATCCACCCGAGCGGACAGCCTGGCTATGGGGTATGTGCCTCAAGCCCCTCAACCCCAAATGCTTTAGTGGTTCTCGGGCTTCTCATGGCAGCCGAGCTGCTGAGTCAGGCGATCCGACAGCTCCAGGTGCTGCTTCTGCGCCACCTCACACGCCTGGCGGGCTGCAGGGTTCTACAAGCTTCAGCAGTCTGGGCTTTGAGCGATCGTTCTCACTCAAAAGGGGTATCCGCTACGACTTCCCGTTTCTCACGCTGCTGGCAAGGACTCCAGCCCCACAAGCCGAGCAGTGCCTCTGCAAACAGCGCCTTCATGGCCGGGTCGAGCTCCTGTCACACATGCTACTGGTAGCTGTGGCGACTGACTCTCACAAAGCAAGGCCATCATCCTCCTGACTTGATTAATCGGCTTCGCCTCGCCATCTTGCGCCACATCGTACACAACCTCATCTACATAATCTACAGCCACCGTCCTTGAGGCTGCTGGAGCAATCTTGGCTGGCGCTCTGCAGGGACACGATTTGGGACTCGGCCTCGGCCTTTTGTCCTAGCGTTCAGAAGTTCCGCACAACTTCGGGCCGACGTTCAGGAGAAGCCCTCGCAAACAGCCCATGCCTTCATTCCAAAACCTCAAAGTACCTCTCAAACCCTCCAACTTTCTCGAACGCTAAAGACCCTAAAGCTCAAGACCCTCAAAAAATCTCGAAGCCCTCAGATGCCCTCAGCTTCTCAGAAGTCGCAACCTTCAACGCGGTCCTCGCAAAGCCTCCTCCAAGCGCTCCAACTCTGTAGCACGGGACGCAGCCTCGACCTGCAGCCTCGCAACTCCAGGATGCCATGTTTAGAAAGGCTTTTTGTTCTCTTTGTTCATTTGCGTTTTCTCAACCACCGCGAAAAAATGGAAGAATGCATTGCTCAATGGGAGGGAGGAGCAGACCCTCCAGCTCCTTGCGAAGGTCCTCACAGAGCCTCTCCACCATCGGCATCACCTTGCGGCTCGATGCTGCGGAAGCACACAACACTCACATAGCAATTCTCCAACCATCTCCAACCTCTCCTCTGGGTAAACTGAGAGATTTCACTCGGAAGTCTGTCATTCCAAGACATGTTATTACGCCAGTCAGGACATGTCAGGGTTCAGTCCCCTTCAGCAAATCCCATATAAGCCATACAACAAGCCGAGCATCCTCTTCCTGGGCGGCGTGTTCCCTCCGCATCTCTTCGTGCTTCTGCGCCTGCGTTGCGGAGAGGTCGGCGGACATCGTCTCGCGGGCGTTCCGCTCCTCCTGCCTGCAGATGGATGTTTATGTTCCGGCACCTTGGATATCCGCTATCTCCCTGTACGCCTGTCGTGTTCAGAAGGAGGGTCCCCATTTAGAGAGTGCCCCGCCTGAAGCTGGCCATCGCCGCCTCGACCTTGGCCAACTCCGCCTTGACTGCGGCGTCCAGCTCGGGCAAGGCCTTCTCCTGGCTGTCCAAACGAGATGCCAGGGCGCCCACCTTGGATTAGCTCGATTGCAGCGGCTAGGAAGGACAGGATCCAGATACCAAGCAGTGTCTGCAGCGATCAGTTTGGAGCTAAGTCGCTGCCCGGCTGTTCTCGCTCAGCGCCACCTCCCGGGCTAGCAGCTCGCGGCCGAGGGCTTCCTCTCAGGTGCCCCCAAAACCATGCCCCGTCTGGCGAACCCCAACAACTTCTCTGAACCCTCAAAGCTCAAAGCCCTCTCCTGCAGGGTCTCCCACTTGTCGTCGGCCTGTTGCCGGTCGCTCATCTCGGCATCCACCCGAGCGGACAGCCTGGCTATGGGGTATGTGCCTCAAGCCCCTCAACCCCAAATTCTTTAGTGGTTCTCGGGCTTCTCATGGCAGCCGAGCTGCTGAGTCAGGCGATCCGACAGCTCCAGGTGCTGCTTCTGCGCCACCTCACACGCCTGGCGGGCTGCAGGGTTCTACAAGCTTCAGCAGTCTGGGCTTTGAGCGATCGTTCTCACTCAAAAGGGGTATCCGCTACGACTTCCCGTTTCTCACGCTGCTAGCAAGGACTCCAGCCCCACAAGCCGAGCAGTGCCTCTGCAAACAGCGCCTTCATGGCCGGGTCGAGCTCCTGTCACACATGCTACTGGTAGCTGTGGCGACTGACTCTTACAAAGCAAGGCCATCATCCTCCTGACTTGATTAATCGGCTTCGCCTCGCCATCTTGCGCCACATCGTACACAACCTCATCTACATAATCTACAGCCACCGTCCTTGAGGCTGCTGGAGCAATCTTGGCTGGCGCTCTGCAGGGACACGATTTGGGACTCGGCCTCGGCCTTTTGTCCTGGCTGAACGACCAAACATACGATACTGGGAGCACGGAATATCTCCGGGTGACACTTCGCTCGGGGCATGGGAGGCTTTCTGCGAATCTGGGTAGGCAGTTTTTTTCACGTGGCTAATGCGCAGGATACCTCTGCCTTGCCCATCAGAGTAAGGTGCATGTTTTACGGTTTTGTGGCTCGCACCGCGTGAGAGAAGAGCACTGGTCATTTAGATGCCCCGTAACATCAAGCCGAGCCCCGGAGGCCCCAAGACCCTCCAAGACTCTCAAGCCCCAAATCCGAAAAACCCTTGATGTATCTTGTTGATCCCTCTAAGCTGCAAAGTGATCCTCGCGGAGAGTCTTCGCGTCCCAGGTCTGTGCCGCGGGAAGCGGCCTGGACCTGGAGCCTGGGAGCTCCCATTTTGGGGGCTGCAGAGGGGGCAATGGACACGAACCAGCACAAACACGTTCAGCAGAAACCCACTCAGCCTCCTGCCCAGTCTACCACATCAACATCTGCAACCATAAGTATCTACAAACAAAAGCTGTAGGTATAAACAACCAGGCCAAGGAGGGCACCCTGAAAGCGCCAGTTCGAAAGCCATCCCTTTGATCAGACCGGGATTCTCGGCGGCCGCTGCCCCGCGCCGTTGCTCGGCCTGGTCTTTGTGCCGAGGTTTCCGCCACAAAAAAAGAGGGCCCTAAGGGTGTGGGGATCGGGTTCGGACTTGCGGGCCAAAGAACGACGAGATTGATTCGCACAGCACAGAACCTATAGTACATAGCCCACAAAACCTATACTACATAGCCCTGCCCCTACCGGACCCGAAGCCCTTCTTTCAGGGAGCTTGAGTCTCAGATTCAGGGAGGCGCAACTGTCAAAACTCAAATGGCCCATGCCTGGAGCAGTGGACTCGCGACACTTGGGCATCATCAACGTCTTGGAAGTCATGTTTTATAGGGTTTGGGGTAGTCTCCGTGCAAGAACTTGATTGAACCCTGAACCTCCACTTGCCCCCTAAAAGCAACGAGGGGCTTGCTGGAGATCCGACTTGGCTTCCGAATCCAACGCTTCCTTTGCTGAGGGCACGCAGGATGTTTGAGTTTGAGGCTTGCTCTTGCCACCCGCCCACGTTAAAGCTTGCGACTCGAGGCACAAACGATGCTCCACTTCCACAAAAAGAACCGGCTAGCGCAAAGCGATTGCAGATCTTGCACTTTCGACGCTCACACACAGCTCTAGAGGTCCGTCAAATTATTCCCGAGCACCCGCTGCAAAGCACAGGCTCACTCAAAACTAGGTCCTAAGTCACAGGCAGGACGCTAGGCGCTGTTGCAGTTCCAAGCGGTGGTCTGCCTCCGATCTGAGCTCCTGTGCCTGAAGGCCATGGGCAACTGTAGCCTCCTCTCCCTGAAATGAGACCCTTCTACCACAAAAAGACTCTTAACATACTCTTAGTCCCCATAGCTCAGAGATCTTGAACCAGGGTCCTGCAGAGCTCGATCGCACATGGAGTTCGGGGCTGCCGCAGTCCTCCACCCTTAGAAATTTCCTTCATTGCTCCAACAACCCGTAGGTTCAAGTCCAATTCCCAAAACCTTGAACTGTCGGCTGACATGCACCCAAGGGTCCAGGTCGCGCATGTCTGCCTGGCTTTGTGCAGAAGCTTTCGGTGCGACTAGCTTCACAGCACGTTGGGACAGTAGGTTCTCACAACTTCGGTGTACGCATATTCTCAATCGCCTTCCATTTCGTGGGGTTCGCGGCTCACCCACACTGCCTTGATCTCATCGGCCAACCGACTTCGACTGGCAGACTCATCGTTGATCCTTAGGAAAATCCAAGCTCTGTAGCGCTGGCCTTCATCGCAAACCCTCGACCCTCTGACTCGTTGTTCCAACAAGATTCTCGAACCAACCCCGAGCTGGGGAGTTGAACGCTAGGTCGGGGTCTCAAGTTCCTGTTACTTTTGTGTCTGAACGCACTTTCGACCTGCGAATGCAATTCTGCCATGCGTACTGTCCCTGTACGACACACCCGCAGCCAACTCCAAACCACACCACTTCGCACCCACTCAGCAGCCCTTGGAAACCTCCACGACCCTCACGCACCCGGAGACCTCAGCCCGAGCCGGGGTGCAGCGCACGGATTTCCCCAAAGTGCAGACCTCAGCACTGAAAAGGAACTCGTGCAGGCGGTTTCAAACTGCGAGGGCATAAGCCTGCATGTCGAAACTGCCCAATGCAATCGAACACTTTGGCGGACTTTGGCGCGCAAGCGAGCCTTCTGAACACTCGGGACGCTCAGACTCCGCAACTCCAACAGCTTCCAAGATCTTCCATGAATTTCCAACATTTTCCAACTATACTCCTGTAAGTATCTGTAAGTCAAGGGGCTCACGTCGGCCTCTTGCCGAGCAGGCTGAGCCTTCGGCAAAGTAATGTGACAGCGTGAGATGCTGCCCACAGACTCATGCCAACAGCGAGTGCGCTCGGGGCTTCGGGCATACTTGTGCGAACAAGAGGGAAGAGCTTTCCACAGAAAGCCGTGGATTCCAACAAACATTCTCAAGACCATTTTGCATCGATTCTGAAGGCTCAGCTGTTGAAGGTTCAACGAGTCCTCGAATGAATACAACACAGAAGTACTTTGCCTTCGACTCTCTCCTCCTCTCTTCTTCTTCTTCTTCTTCTTCTTCTTCTTCTTCTTCTTCTTACCGCGGGTACTGTGTGGGGCTCAAAGTCGACCTGCCCAGTCGCAATCGACCCGGTCGGTGTGTCAGTCAACCCCAGGCCCATCCCCACAAACAAGACCGTCCTCTTCTTCGAGCCAGCCCCGCACTGCATGGCGCCCCAAGGTTACAAGTCGTTTGGTTGGTGCCCAGTACGATCTCCAACACGGTTGAGCCCGTATTGGCCCGTAGCTCGTGAAACCCTGTGATACTTCTATGACATCTCAAGTATCGTGCATTTTCGAGTGGAAATTTCTGACGCCATGGGCTACTCCAGGTTACTAGAGGTGACTTGAAAGCAAATCAACGACCCTGGGTCCTATCCCGGATCGTAATGAGTTGGCCGACTCGGTCTTTCCGGTCTCAGTACTGGGGTTCGCTTTCGAAGGTGCCCCCTTCTTGGTCCACACTTACCCCGCTCAAGGCGAAGAAGGGCGGCAAGTTCGTTCTGGTCCTAGCCTTGCAGCCGCACAGTCCTCTTCATCAGACCGGGCTTCGTCCACTTCTGTTTGGAGGCTCTGGGCGCAGGGCCAACTTTCGGGTCCACGCCTCGCAGTGGAGTCATGAGAGGGTTGGCTTAGGGGACTGGCGACGCCAGTCTGACAGTCAATGGAGTAGTCGATCACTATGGGGTCGGGGTGCCTTTTGAGGTGGTCCCCATGCGGGGGTAGCCACTCTTAGGCCAGCGCGTCCGTGAGGCACGTAGCAGTGCTGATAATGACAATCTTCAGTCCAATAGCTGACTGCCTGCAATGCAGAGATCCTTGCTAGACTCGACGCGTAGATAGTCGGACTCGTCGGACTGGCTACGCAAGAGGCCCATGAAGTGAAGTGAAGTTGTGCTGTGCTGCTCATCTCGATGTGATGGCGCAGTGTCTCCTTCGCCTTTTGCGCATGCTCACCCCGATGGTGTTTCACATGGTGGTTCAGCTGCTTGCGGTTGACCTCTCCATCGCAACAATTCTTAAGGCCATTCAGGGAGCTAGCTGAGTGTTCAAAGCTTACTGAAGGGTCAGCTGTCAGTAATTCAACCTCTCTCAAGAACAAACAAAAATACTAGAGAACAAGGCGGTTGATGACGGCATGGCGGAGTACCACGCTCCAGAACTTCTGTGAGGTCTCTCTGTGCGGCCCTTCTGTGCCTGCGGTCGGCCAGCTAGTGCCAAGAGCTCAGACCTGGTCAGATGCCAGAAGTCATTCTGCCCTCCTGACTCCTGCCCCGACCCCTCTTCGAAGCCTCAGGGCTTCCTGCTGCTCCGCCAGGCGAGTCTTGAGGGCAGCTGTCTCTGCTCCTAGGCAACACACTCGGATACATTCCTCAAGTACAGTAGTCCTCTTGTTTCCATGCTGCCAAAGATATGGCAAAATTCTCCCGGCGTTCGCGGCATGCGCATCCGGTCTCCATCACATTGCAAATGGCACTCTGGTGCCTCCGAGTAACCGAAGACACGAGTGGCAACGGCGGCCACATCGTCCAGGCCAAGATCTTTTATGCCCGCCTCTGGCGCCTCTACCTGCTTATATACCATTTGTGAACAGTGCAGAGTCCCCAAATGTCCCGACTCACTTGTGGCAGTGTGACAAAAAACCTGAAGCACACTGAGGTCATGATGCCACTACCCGTGCTGAGAAAAAGGAGCATAGCTACAGAATGCGATCGGCCATTCAACATTCAACGGAAACAGTGATAGGCAGGCCTGCCGCTGAGGTTTGGACCCTGGGCCGGCAAGCAACAGTTGTGGCAACGCTTTCCGAGCTTCCCAGGAGTAACTGATGAGTAAACTGCTTGCAGTGCAGCCTGCGGCCGCGTGCCCGCGAAGTTCAGCAACAACAGCTGTGCGGCAAGATTCCGCATCCTGAGCAGCAACGACGAAAAACCGCAGCAAGAGGCATAATGATGGAAAGCGGCCATACGCACGACACGCGCCCGACACTTCAATCTTGAGATAGTTCGGTGGAGTGACATCAGAGATCGTGTGGGCCCGGCCGATCTGCCAAACGTTCAGCTGAGTGGAGTCTACGATTCAGGGTGGGATTGAAGGTTCCAGGTGCAAAGCCCAGGCTGCATTGAGGTGTTGAAGGCCCTCCCTTCCCGACCTCTCCTCCGCATCTGTTGGCAAAGACTCTTCAGACCCATTCGGGGTTAACAACGCCTTCTGCCAAGCAGCCAGTCCATTGTGAGGTGTGGGGGGAGCTGGTGGTGCCGGCGCCTCCTTCCGGGAACACTACAACCAAAACTACTTGTGGACGATTTCTTCGAGTAATCCACGCAGCTTATCCAACTTATCCAAAACTCTGTTCGACACTCTGACTACATTGCCCCAGCATGCAGAAGGGCGGCTGCAGCCGCCAGGTTCTTCATCTCCGTTTCCAGGCTGGCTTTCCACCTGGTGGGAGGCGTTGCATCAGGGCAAGCGAAAGCACGAACTTATCGCATGCCCGGCCTCGCTCAGCAACATCTCAAGTTGTTCCGTTTACGCAGAAATCCCGGCCTCTGCAGCCGCGCCTCGGCAGCATCTGTCCGACAGGCCTGCCGGCACTAAAAGGCACTAAAGAAAGTGAATACGACTCAGAACAGCAAAGCGGATTCCGTTGTGATCTTGGAGCCCGTGCGAGCCTCGCCTGGGTCTCCAGTTGCTCCTGTAGGCCCTTGACGCTCGCGGATAGCTCAGCCAAGCGCCACTCCATCGTCGGCCTCGAGTTGGTGAGTTGGTGGCCAGCGGCAAACAGTGTGAGTATGTGTGAGTCCTTGCACCAGTTTCGATTTGCAGGACCAGCATGGCACAACCCCTCACCAAGGAGCTGGGTAGATATCACGCGTGCCACTTTCTCCTCCTCAGCTGATGATGAGGGACGGTATCGGTCAACCAATGACACTCTGCACCTTGCACGATGGGCATCAGACCAGTGGTTACCAGCTGAGTCACAAGGGAGGTTACCACAACCTCCATGACCCGATCGCTCTGGCTTTGGATGCGCTGCAGTTGGCGTGTCAAGCGGTCGTCCAGCTCCTCGTTCCATACAGGCTCTCATGAGCAACGAAATTCACTTCAGTACTTCAGGATACGTGGATCTCGAAACTGCGCCGATCCCTCTCAAGTCAGAGTCAGGGCTCCACAAGTTCCTTTCGGACGAGGCCAAGCCACGTTGCTCCATCCGACCATCGCCTTGCATCCACGAAAACAACAACACGGAGTTGCGAAGCTGATGTTAGCTGTTCGCATCCCTCGATCGAGACTTTACCATTGCCTAAAACTTTTCTTACCCCAGCACCAGGGGTATGTAGTTGGCACGCCCGACTCGACAGCCAATCCAACAACGCTCGCAGGAAATCATATCTGGTCCCCAGCGACTCCGGCTGCGCATCGTCCGACAGTAGACAACGTGAGAGGGCCAATATTTCTGCAGACTCTGCTGCTTGCCGATGCATTTGCACCTGCCGCTGTGGCATCTGCAAGCCACACATGAACCACCCTCAATAGTGCCCTTTATGTGCCTTTGCCACGATCTGAGAATGAATTGTGCTGAGGTAACTGTAAACTCAGGGCGGGCTCACAATGGGACTATGGTGAAGGTGCCTGGAGGTCCAGCTTGTGTCCTTGTGGCGAGCGAGCCATGACGCGTAAGCCGGTGCGGCTTTCGAGTTCGGAGATGTGAAGGTTATTGCTGCCTGATGAAACAATTGACGGCCGAAGTAGCACCAAAAATGATTGCTAAGGGAGGCCTGCGTCTCAACACCAAGACCCCTATCACGCTACATGTTGTACGTTTAGGTGGAGTGGAAGCTCGAGCCGGTCGCGGTATGTCGCGGTTAGCGCCTGTAGACACTGCAAAATACTTCATAGGACTGTGTAGTGAGAGGAGCCATCAAAGCACCACAAACACAAACACGGACCATAGCCCCGCCACGCACTGCATCTTGCGACTTCTTCGTGCCGAACAGTGCATTTGCTTGCGATGGGCAGCACAGTCGCTTCCACTCCGCGCTTGCTACTTTTCTGCAGGCTCCAAACAAGCCGCCGAAAATGTGTCTGGAAACACATGAAATCACCTGCACGTTGCTGCCGCATGCTGCCGCTGCCCGTTGTCAGCATTTTGCTGCTTTGTCTTGCAGCAGCTTGCATCATTCACGGACTGAGCTACAGCATTGCCCGGACAGGCCCCCTTTCAATTGGCCCACTCTCGTGCGGGAGACAGTGCCAGAGATCTCTGTAACCGCATCTCCAATCGTCTACTGGATTTGGCAGCCTCCTCCAGGTTGAACCTTGCCACCCTTGGCTACCAGCCAGCTAGCCCAGAATGTAATTAAGCTTAGAGCTGAGAAAAGTGTCATGCTGACTGCCAATCGCAGATCGGCGCCGATTGTGCAGTCTGCAAGCACTCTGAAATTGCTGTTTTCTGTTCTCAGCTGCGGCGCTGTGATGTCACCGGTTGAGGCCGGTGCAGCTTCTCCGAGAGCCTCCCACATCACAGCGGCACATGCGCAAGCGTGCATCATGTGAAGTGGAAATCCGAAGCGTATGAAACCAGCCTCGACTTCCTTGGCAATCTCGGCTTTTACCTCTTCTTGTCGTTCCTGCTACAATGTCTATCATCCTCTCCCCCTAATATTCGCCTCGGCTTCCTGCCGAGAAGCGTCTGGAGCAAGCAGACCCGGATCAGCCCGATCCCTCCTTCCCCCAAACCCAACCCTTCCCCCACCCCCCCCACGCTGCCGAGGCGGCGCGCGCAAGCGTTTACAATTGAACCCCCTCCTACCACCCAATATTAGATACCCCCCGTTATAGTTATATTGTAGTATATGGGGGGGGGGGATATTTCATATCAGGGGGTGGGGGGGGGGTCATAATATAATAGCGCAGGGATTAATCAATGTCAAGTTCAGCCTGCCCTTCACCCCAAACCTCAGCCCTCAGAACTCTGCAAGGACAAAGACTACCCTTCAAGATCCCCTAACAGCGAGGCCTTCCACCCTAGACCCTTCAGACCCTAAACTAGACCCTACACCCTAACTGGGCGTGCCTTTCGGGTATTTTTTTAGTTTTTCTGTGTCAACACGGCCCATGCCCCGCAAGGTCTGGGCTTAAAGCATGTCTGGGTCAAGGGTCTTGTTGGTACTAATGAATGGTCTCAGTCAAGATTAAAGGACAGTTCTTAGAGCTTAGAAGGCATTGGGTTAGGTTTTTCGGGGCCAGATGGTCGATCTCTGTCGCCGGCCACACGTCTCATGAGCTGGGAGCCCAGTAAGGGCCAGGGTTCACCTCAAACCCTAAACCACACTTTAGCCCCTTAACTTAAACCCTATAAACCCTAAACCACCCTAAGCACTAGCACCTAAACCTCCTGTGAAGCCTTCTGCAACCTCCGTTTACTTTCGTAGCACCTGTGTCCCTTTTTGTATCTCCTTCATTCTTCAGTGCCCATGTCCCACTGCCGCACCTTAGGAGCCGACTCGAAGAAGCCCTGCTGCTGTGTCTTCTTGGAATGGACCAACTTCCCGTTGACCTGTGGATTGAGGTTCTTGTAGCCACATGTTGCCAAGAGGAACTCTTGAGGAAAGGAATTGCAAGCAGCGCTGATCTTCGTGCATGCAGGTTTCTGTGATCTCGAAGTTGCCGGTGGTTCCCGGATCCTTTGCCTGCACGATATTCACGCCTTGGATGTGCAAAGCAACATGATGCGGAATACAGGTGTGTAGACCCCTTCCATTCCGGTACACCACCAAAAGGATGCAACACCTCCACCGTCCCCGGCAGCAAGTGCTGTACTCCAAAATCAATGAAAAAGTATGTGTATATATGTATATATACATACATATATATATATATACATACATATATATACATATACATATATATATATATACGTGCATTTACAGGCCGTGCCGGACCATTGCCGGCAGTCAATATTGGGCCACGGTCCAAGCAAATTACAAAATTAAACTGCCCCTTTGCAAAGGCGTGGCCCTTGGGAAACCAGCTCAGGATCAACTCCTCAGTTGCCTGAGAGAGACAGTAGGTCTCAATGAGGCAAAGGCAGGCACTGTCAACACATCTTGGCATGTCTTTGGCCATTCGTCACCTTGGCATGCTTGCCATAGCCTCAGCCTCCACACCATTGGATCTTGATTTCCTTACTTCGAGGTAAATCAGAGCTCGCACGCAAAAGAGGAACTGGCCAGCCCGCTTACTCATTTGCTTCACAGGCTCCGTGGAAGCCATGGCGAAGATGTGAACTCCAGCCAAGCACAACCACGGCGTGACTAGGGCAACTCTAGGGGCTTATTGCTGGGCCTGATGCAACCGCAAACAAGACAGAAGACAGGTAGACATGCCTCTAGCAATCAGACCCAGGGCAGGGCAGACACGTCGTACTGTTGACATCCTTCTCTGAAGGTCACCACAACTGGCTTTCGGTTGTGGGAAAAGCTTGCGACTGCGTCAAGCAAGCCCAGGAGTGTCCGTTCTGCTTTGCTGGACACACAGCTTTGCCAAGCTTGAGACCATTCCGCGCTCCATTCGGAGTTAAATCGTGCAATGGCCACAGCGGAAAGCTTTGAGCGGCTTGGAAGGGGTAGTGCTGAAGTTCCTACGGCCACAGCACAACCTCAACATCGTGCACAGCAGCTGCTAGCGGCAATGGAGCTGAGCGCAACCTTCTGTCACCACCACAAAACCTTCACCATCGATTTGGCTATATCCGAACAAGGCGATACCGTTGAGGTTCGGCTGATTTCGGCAGCGTAACTGTACAAACTTAGACTCCATGTCATTCCTGCTTCATCCGAGGTGCCGTGTTGGCACCAAAGAATTGTCACGTGCCGTCTTCCTACTGACTTACCAGGCCTGGACCACCAAACATGGACCAAACTTTGCCATACCTGTGAGATCAGATCCGTTGAAAGCACAGCGGTTCGTGATTGAATCCTGTAGTGCGGGCGAGTTTGCTGTGTGGTCGGCCTCGGGCTTCCCATTACGTGCTTTCCTGAGCAAACCCTGCTCTTTCTTCCATGGCCATGGAAGTGAGATATGCCAGATGCATATACCCCTGCATCGCCTCTACATGTTGAAGCAAAGTCTCCACGATGATTGGGAAGTCCACCACTGGGGATGGTGCAGGCAGCATGATGTCTTCTGGCAGCTGGCGAAGCAGAATCTCACGCAATCCACCTCGAGGGAATCAGCGAGACGACGATTGCATGCGAACTTGCACCTCTCTGTGTCTGAACAACTCGGAAAAACTCCTGTTTTGACATCACTCTCTATGCCACGGAGGCTCGAAGGTCACGCACATCCTCACACGACTCCAGGATACTGACAAGCTCCTGAGATGCAAGGCAAGAACTCGAGTTGGCACACTAGTTTTAATAGCAGAACGCCGCTTCGCCCCTTGGTACATGCGATAGTTCTCGACAAACCTCCGTGCCCAAAGAACGAAACAACCTAACCTAAGGAGACCTACAAGTTGTTCGTGGAATCTCACAAGAAAGATCAGAGAAAATCTTGTTTAGGATCAAAACTGCCTTCTTTTCTTGAGCCAAAACGGATCAACAACAAAACTGGTTAAGGATCCAAAGAACTATTTCGCAAACCCCCCACCCCACAGCCCCATCTGCGAACAGAATGCTCGTATGACGGGTTTGGAATGGAAGGATGTACAGGCTATTCGCATCATGTTCTTAAAAACCAGCTTCCCGGCTTCAAAAAGGCTGGGGGGACTGGGGGTGGGAGGCGGGGCGGCCTCCCAAAGCATTGCTTGTATGATGGTGCAGCTACTTACGCATCGATTTCAGGTTTCAGGGTTGCGCGAAGATTTTTTCCGGGTTAGGGCTGCATCGAGGGATCTTGAACGTTTTCAGGGTTTAAACCGGCCCTAACTTTCGTTCCTTTCCGTTCCTTTCCTGCATTCCCTGGCTCCTTCGTTCGTTGCTTGCCCTGCTCGCCTGCCTTTCTTCGGTCCTTCCTGCCTGGTTATCTACCTGCTTCCTGGAAAGCCTCAAGATTCTGAAATAGAGTGGTGTGAATCCGAAAACTTCTCTCATTGAAGAAGGCCGGGTTAAACCCATATCCCAACGAAGTTGAGATGCCGCGACAGCCACAAGACCATCGTTCCGCATCAGCATATGACCAGAAGAGGCCTGCAAGAAGTGTTTGGCTCCTGGTTGGACGCGCCTCTGAAGTGCTTTGGCTCAAAGTCGACGTGCTCAACATTGTCAATGCATGGCCATGGCTGATGCTGCCCCTCCGGCCTTGTATAAAAATGCCTTCGGGGACGAAGACTGCATTCCTGCACACAAAACAAGGACAAAGCTGTGCAAAAGCCTAGAAGAGTTGCTGCGCCGGCCCTGCCCTGAAGCAAGCGTTTTCCTCATCCTCTGATACCCCACCCTCCACCACAGGGCCCCACATTACTGCTATCCGCCATCATCATGTGTCATCAGCTCTGTCATGCAGGATTTCCAGCTGAAAAGCAAGTCCTGGCTGCGATGATGCGATGCTTTCCCGACGTCCGACCGAGCGTTCGTGATGGACACCGTTTCCTGGCTTGTCACAGATCTGGGGAACAGGTGCTGAAAGAAAAGGACGGAGCTGCGACTCAAACTCATGCAGCAGTGTCAATCATGAGTAGGTCCTGGCTGAGACGATGAAACGCTTATCCGCCGTCCGCCAGAGCGTTCGTGATGGACAGCATATCCTGGTCACAGATTCGGGGAAACAGAGCAGCAGCGCATTCCATTCTGCTATGCAGGGCAGCAATGCCAGCACAGGTCCTTGCTGCGACGAGGAACTGCTAACCCGACGTCCGGCGGAACGCTCGTGATGGATGATATATCCTAGCTTGCCACAGGTCTTAGGCAAGTAGAGAGGCAGTGCACTTTGTCCGCCGACCCTGCTGTCGGCGTTTGTGAAATCTCGAAGGGTTCCTGTGCCAGCCATGCCCAAACCCCCGCTCTTTTTCTTCATATTTCTTTTCCTTCTTCTTATGCTTCTGCATTTTTTTCTTATTATTCCTTTTCGTCTTTCTTTTCTTCTTCTTTTCATTCTTCTATATTTTCTTCTTCTGTTTCTTCTTCTTTTCTGTATTCTTCTTATTATTCTTTCTCTTCTTCTTTTTCTTCCTTTACCCTTTCTTCTTGTAATTCTTCTGTCTTTTATTTTCTTCTTCTTCTCTTTCGTCTTTCTTTTCTTATTCTTCTGTTTCTTCTTCTTTCTCTTATTCTTCTTCTTTTTCTTATTATTTCTTTTCTTCTTATTCTTTTTCTTCTTTTTCGTTCTTATTATTATCTTCTTCTTCTTCTTATGTTTTTTCCCGAAAGCATCGCGAAGGGTTCTTCCGTGCGGAGCCCTCTGACCCAACAACATAGAGTGAAGTACATAGAGTCAAGTGCATAGAGTTAAGTGCATAGAGTGAAGTGCATAGAGTGAAGCGCGTAGAGTGAAGTGCATAGAGGGAAGTGCATAGTGTGAAGTGCATAGAGTCAAGTGCATAGTGTGAAGTGCATAGAGTGAAGTGCATAGAGTCAAGTGCATAGAGTCAAGTGCATAGAGTGAAGTGCATAGAGTCAAGTGCATAGAGTGAAGTGCATAGATTCAAGTGCATAGAGTGAAGTGCATAGAGTCAAGTGCATAGAGTGAAGTGCATAGAGTGAAGTGCATAGAGTGAATTGCATAGAGTGAATTGCATAGAGTGAAGTGCATAGAGTGAATTGCATAGAGTGAAGTTGAAGTGAATAGAAAGTGCGAGATTTACGTAGAATTTAGTAGACCTTCGTACCCAGTCCTAGATTTCTAAATTAAAATTACTCTTCTAATTAAAATTACTCTTTCTAAGGCGGCGGGCTGGGTTGACATCGCCAATCGGGATTGCAACCCTCTGCGGGTTTCGGCGTAGTCGCGGTGCCAAAACCGTCGTTTTTTTACGTTTCTTGATTTGCGCGGACAACCCTCTGCGGGTTTCGGCGTGGTCGCGGCGCTAAAACCATCGTTTTTTTTACGTTTCTTTCTGTGCGCGGACAACCCTCTGCGGGTTTCATTGTGGTCGCGGTGCTAAAACCGTCGTTTTTTTACGTTTCTTGATTTGCGCGGACAACCCTCTGCGGCTGATCGCCGGGTCGCGGTGCTAAAACCGTCGTGTTTGGTACTTTTTTTCGCGCGCGCGGACACCCTCTGCGGGTTTCGGCGTTGGCGCGGTGCCAAAACCGTCGTGTTTTTGCGTTTCCTGACATACAAACGTAACCCCTCTGCGGATTTCGGCGTTGGCGCGGTGCCAAAACCGTCGTGTTTTTGCGTTTCTTGACATGCAAACGTAACCCCTCTGCGGGTTTTCGCGTGGTCGCGGTGCTAAAACCGTAGTGTTGTTGCGTGTTTTTTTCGACTTGTGTAGTACAGACGTAGTACGCCGGGGACTTCCGTGGCTGGAAAATCGAGTTTTGTCGTACAAATGTAGTACGCCACGGACGCCCCCGGAGCTTCCGTGGCTGGAAAGTCGATTTTTGTAGTACAGACGTAGTACGCCGCGGACACCCGGAGCTTCCGTGGCTGGAAAGTCGACTTTTGTAGTACAGACGTAGTACGCCCGGGACACCCGGAGCTTCCGTGGCTGGAAAGTCGAGTTTTGTAGTACACACGGACGCCCCCGGAGCTTCCGTGGCTGGAAAGTCGTCTTTTGTAGTACACACATAGTACGCCGCGGACACGCGGAGCTTCCGTGGCTTGAAAGTCGACTTTTTGTAGTAAAGACGTAGTACGCCGCGGACGCCCTGGGCGCATGAAAACACCGCAAATCGCATGGTAACGGACATCTGGGCGCTTGAAAACACCGCAAATAGCATGGTAACGGACATCTGGGTGCATGAAAACACGGCAAATAGCATGGTAACGGACATTTGGGCGCTTGAAAACACCGCAAATAACATGGTAACGGACTTCCCCGCGCGTGAAGACACGGGGATGTTTTTGTCCTTTCTCGTTGAAAACCTCGCAAATATCGTGGGACTCGAATTCCTCGAAAACCTCGCAAATATCGTGGGACTCGAATTCCGGGATGTCGAAACCCTCGCAAGTATCGTGGGACTCGAATTCCGGGATGTCGAAACCATGGCAAATATCGTGGGACTCGAATTCCTCGAAAACCTCGCAAATATCGTGGGACTCGAATTCCGGGGCATCGAAAACCTCGCAAATATCGTGGGACTTGAATTCCGGTGCGTCCAAAGCCTCACAAGAGAACCTCGCAAATATCGTGGGACTCGAATTCCGGGATGTCGAAACCATCGCAAATATCGTGGGACTCGAATTCCTCGAAAACCTCGCAAATAGCGTGGGACTCGAATTCCGGGATGTCGAAACCCTCGCAAGTATCGTGGGACTCGAATTCCGGGATGTCGAAACCATGGCAAATATCGTGGGACTCGAATTCCTCGAAAACCTCGCAAATATCGTGGGACTCGAATTCCGGGGCATCGAAAACCTCGCAAATATCGTGGGACTTGAATTCCGGTGCGTCCAAAGCCTCACAAGAGAACCTCGCAAATATCGTGGGACTCGAATTCCGGGATGTCGAAACCATCGCAAATATCGTGGGACTCGAATTCCTCGAAAACCTCGCAAATAGCGTGGGACTCGAATTCCGGGATGTCGAAACCCTCGCAAGTATCGTGAGACTCGAATTCCGGGATGTCGAAACCATGGCAAATATCGTGGGACTCGAATTCCTCGAAAACCTCGCAAATATCGTGGGACTCGAATTCCGGGGCATCGAAAACCTCGCAAATATCGTGGGACTTGAATTCCGGTGCGTCCAAAGCCTCACAAGAGAACCTCGCAAATATCGTGGGACTCGAATTCCGGGATGTCGAAACCATCGCAAATATCGTGGGACTCGAATTCCTCGAAAACCTCGCAAATAGCGTGGGACTCGAATTCCGGGATGTCGAAACCCAACCTCGCAAGAAAACCTCGCAAATATCGTGGGACTCAAATTCCGGGGCGTCGAAAACCTGGGAAATTTCGTGGGACTGGAATGTGAATGCCATGCAGCGGACCGGGAAAAAAGTGATCTCGTTTTGGAGGGAAGGCGCATGCCGCGACCAGCCACTGGAGCTCGGCGTTGTCTTCAATGCCGATGAAAAGTGTACAGAGTTGACCACAAGTGCATGGCATTCAACTCCACACACTTGAATGCCATGCAGTTCCATACACGTCCACTGGACAAGTGCAGTGTACAAGTTGACTATGCAACCATGTAAGTGCATACATTTGTCCAAGTGCATGCAGTTCGAGTGCAAAGAATCAACTGCATGGAGTAACGCACGGCAAATCGATGCTTTCGGGCCATCCCTCTTCTAGTTCTTTTCCCCTTTCTTCTTGATTACGTCCCGACTCCCTGCGCCCCCTAAACCCCTAAACCCAAACCCGAGTTTCAGCTTTCAGACGGCCAGGCCGGCCTGTGCCGCAAGGCCTGTAGATAGCACATCATCGCCTTCTTTTTTTCAAAACACACACCATCTCATCGACCCACTCAAAAGCCTGCAGAACCTGCAAAGACACAATCTGAAGGAACTGGCAGCTTCCGGAACAAAACAAAAGCGCAGCAAGGCCCGACGAAAGTGACGAAAGTGCAGATCAAGCTCGGAGAGCGAAGTCGTCGTCCAATACGCTGAGAAATACCTTTAAGTTGTCCTCACAGCCCCAGCTGAAGCTTCCACTGCAAGTCGCCACAGCTGCACGCGCAAGCTCACCACAGTCTTTTCCCTGCCATGGATCATTATCCAGAAAAGGAGGAAGGGCCATGAGCTGCAAGAATACAGGCACGTAGGATGGCAGCAGGTACCTCACATACAATTCCAAACAAGTCAAGAGGACCAGCTACTGTCTGTGCTGTGGATTCGAGTCGCAGGGAAATGAATGGTCCAGTTCGTGCGGCCGAACAGCGGAGATGATGCTGCCAGGTAACAGAAGCAGCAAGTAAAGGATCACGAATCCAGCTCCGAGAAGAAGCGTGAACTCGAAGTGCCTGTGCAGTCTGCAGCAACCCGAAAAACAAACTGACAGGAGCCACGAACTCGAATGTTGGAGATAAATGGCACGGCTTCCAATGGCATAGTGAACCGCTAATGAGCGTTCATTAGCAACTGACCTTTCTATTTATTCCCTTCCGGCTTGGTGCTTTGCAAGGATACATGGCGTATGCTGACTTCGCACTTCAGTGTTGCCTCTTCCATGCGCTGTAATCGACGACAGATTTGGCAAAGGTGTATGAGATGACAAACCTGAGGTGCAGCAATCACTCCCGCCCAATAACGCAGGACAGTCCGTGCCTGTTAGATGAGCATGACTGGCTGGATCACGACACAAACTCGTGACTGCCATTATGACTGTCAAGCAAGGGGCAGGAAGATCTGAAGGAAGCGATTGATGTACCTCAGCAGCCGAGGCAGTGACAGTGACACTTGCAAAGGTATGTCAACATCCCATGACAATGAGCCACAGATGAGCCAAACAGAGTCGGCTGTCCCGTGCTGCTGAAAGTGCATTCCGAGGAACATCTCAGGCGAGAAGCGGCCTCGGCCCTTCAAGGTCGCGCCAAGGACGCTTTCTTCAACCTTCGGCCAGCTTGTATCACAAATATCTGTATGTTGAACAATGGCTATCGACAAAGCAGGCGGACTCAGGCGGCACATGTCTCTGTAGCCAAGCCGCAGGAATGCTCAGGGACGATGTGGGTACCCTCTGTGGGTCTGAGGGGCCTGAGCAAAAGCAGGGCGGCAGGCTTCCTACGGAACGACCCCATCCGTTTCTGGCCCCATGGACACGTGCGAATACGCTAGTGGGTCTCGAAACATCAGACCTGCTTGCAGCAGGCCCTGGGGCAGACTGATGTAATTGAGTCCGGCCACAATCTGTCGCCTCTGATGGGAAGTTGAGCGCATTCTGCAGCCATGTCCGACTGTGGTCCTGAATGGCATGGAGCCGCCACCTTGGCATCGCCAACGAGGAGCCAGTGACCCCTCAACAGCATCAGCACCATGCAGCCATGCAGGGGGAGCTGCACAGCATTGCCAATGAATCGACTGTGCAGGCTCCTAGCGCCGTCTCTCGTCACTTCTCGTCGCCTGTATGATGCGGTTCAACCGGTTCGTGTGCGCTTTCGCGATGTTTCCTCTTTTCCCCCCGCTTGTGCCTGTGACGGAAACACAATCAAACACAAGTTTTCTGGCCCGAAGTTTCTGAGATTGCATATGATTGCATGTCGAACGGAATCGGAATCCTCTGGGATCTTCCGTGTCCTGCCTGCCACGCCTGAGTGGCAGGAACTTCTATGAAGGCCGACCGAGATATACCGACATGGTGAGAAACTCATCTGAAGTCATGCCATCTCGGGGTGTTCCTGTCATGGTTTGGGAGCATCTGACGAGCATGACCTTCGAAAACTTGGCAGGGGTCCTCCGCCGAAACCCCCGTAAGAAGGCTATGCTGGGATCTACGTCTGTTTCGCTCCTGCTTGTCGTTTGCGTCCGCTGCTATACCAGAGATATACCTATCATGAACCCTCGTGGTTTCAACATGTGTGTGTGTGTGTTGGGTGTTGCATTCTTGCTGCCGCGTCGAAGGGGAGCCAATGAGAGGGCTCCAAATGCAAAGCTGCAAGGAGTCACAAGACAAAACAAACATGCGTCGGAGCTGCTTGGTCAGCAAGACCATGAGCAACCTCGGTTCAGGTTCTTCGGCGGTGGGCAGCAAAGAAGCTTGGGGGCCAGAGGCCAGGCGATGGCTAGGGGTAGTTGTCGATATTTTTCCAGGGCCGAGGGCTACTGTCAAGTGCGGGAAACCCACTGTGGCATTCGTTTTGGCGCTGGTCCTGACGGGCCATATCGCAGGAGTCGGCCTGGGGCGCCCTTCGGACATGTCACTACAGATGCAAGTGCTATGGTAAGCTATGGTGGAAGCTACAGTATGGCAAGAGCTTTGGAAGCCTTGGTCGCGAAACATCGCGAACGTCGAAGTGTCGGTTCATTCAGAAAAAAGTCGATGCCCCACGACTAACAGAACTCACAGCATACCAGAGACAAGCCCCTGCACCGTCTTGCACCCACGGTTTGCCAAGTGACAGCAACAAGAGTGCCAATGCCACGAAGAGTGGCCTCTGAGCGCAGATTAGGCTCTATCACAGCGGGGCTCGGCCCAGTCTTTGGGCCTACAAGTCTACAAGTTCCACAGGTCTGCTTCGTGCCATGGGGCATCATGTCGAGCAGGTTGACCTGCGCAAACCTGCACAACAGCGCCAAAGCCTCGCAGGCCCATGGCGCAATGTACGCAGCCGCACAGCAAGCTTGACTTCGAGAACATGCCGCAGGTCCAGTGGCTGCCGAGCTTCAGAGAACAGGATGATGATGGCAATCCAGGTGCCTGAAATTTCGTCACAAGTCATTCGACTAAAGAACGAATCACCGATGCGGGTAGGAATTAGCAGCAAGCCCTGGCAGGCACTCGCATGAAACTATTGACAAAACCGGAGTGCACGGACCAACCCAACAAGTCAAACACTTGTTCACCTAGATCTTGGTGCGACTTCAGTACCAGCATGCAGCTCGATCGAATCTTTGACGCCTTTCTCGACGTTCAAGGCCTTGGGCAAGCGCACACTAGCCAATGCACAAGCTGTCATTCGACTTAACTGGTTGCACTGCAAGCGACGAGATAAGAGCTGAAAGCGAAACTGTCGTCCATCATGTCCTTGATCTGCTTGTCTGCCATCTGCTTCTCTTCCAGGGTGGCCTGGCAATCTGGGCGGCAAGCCCGGGAAACACGTCGCCAAGTACATCTTCAGCTCGAAAACATCAACTAGCGAAAGCGACGGGCATTCAACTTGCCAACATACGCCCACCAGTGTGACCCAGTCTCTTCTTCCTGTGCTCTCGTGAGATTCTGTGCGGCTATGGATCTTTGCTAAGAAGAAAGAACCCTTCTAAATAAACAAGGCTGCACGAAGGCGAGCAAGACGATTGGGTGAAGCAAGGACTGTGTCATGGCATCCGGCAGCGGTAAACGTAAAGTGCAAGGCACCCACAGTGCAAACATGCCGAGCAGCGACCATCGGCGCACGTAAAGCGAGACACGAAAAGATGCACGTAAAGTGCGAGGACCGGCAGGCACGCAAGTGAACATTTCGGTTTCGGGGCGGGGGCCGGCCAGTGCTGCTAGGCCTGAAATAAAGCAAAGGATGGCAACTCCCGCCTCCTCACCCTCACCAGGAAGCCCCAGCTTCTCCATTAAGGTGGCATAGATCCTCGGGCCTCTGCTGTGGAACACAAACTCCCCGAGGCGGCGCTCATGTGCTCTCAAGATCTCTCAAGCTTCACATCGAGTGGCGCGTGTATCTCCAGAGCAGCACTTTGCGGATGAAGTACTCCCGAAGGCACAACTTAGATGCACGATGGCTCGGCAACCATGGAGCAGCACCGGGCCGAGGCACATCCCTGGACATGCTCAACTTTAGAAACACAAGCCAAAAGCATGCTATACATGCTACGTTTGCTTCCTGAAGTTGGCGAGAGTGGCTTGGCCGAATTATGCCTACGTCAATCAGTGTGCATCAGCCTCACAAGTTCCACCTGCTCAGGTAAGTACTTCCGCCTCGCCAAGAAACATAATCACGCAGCTCCTCATCTCGGGATGTTGCTCGCAGTGCACCCGATGAGCTTTTATACCTGAGATTGTCAGGCATCCTCTTGATTCCGGTTGCATCACGTGCTTTGAAGCTGAGACGCACAGCCCTGTTGCTCACCCGTCGGAGGCGCAACTTCTCCAGGCCCTTCAGCTTTCGCACCTCAGCCACGAAGACAAGAGTTGAGCCAATGCGGAATTAATGGAGCGCAGCCTCGCTTTGCCGTGAACAGCCACTCAAAGCGCAGGCACTCCATTCAACCCCCTTTTGCCAGAGTCCGACGAGTTCCGATGGACGCTTTCGCAGACAATGCACGGTCCGATTCCAAACCAATCACACCTGCAGAAAAGCTGCGGCGCCGCGCACAATCCCAAACACGAGCAAGTAGTACATCATCATGCCTGTCACGGGCATCGGGCCAGGGTGTCTAGCAGCTTGGCACAAACTTGGCATTTCTTGCCATGTGCAGCCAGGCGGCCGCAGAACAGCTGAACGTGAACCAGTTCCTCAGCTTGCCATCAGAATCCCACACAAATGAGAACCGCCCAGGGTGCAACGACCCGGCAAGAGCATCGATTGAAAAGGACACCATGCCCTCACGGGTCCAAAGTGAGAAGCGGAAGTCGCTGGTGAGAGTGAGGGTGAGAGTGAGAATTTCAGCGACTGAAGTGAGAGATAGGCGGAGCGACTGGGTAAACCGGCCCCCACCCTGAAGTTTCAAGCGCACAGAGACTGTGCTCTCCTTACCGCTGCCGGCTCAGCGTGAAAATCTGGGTGTGGGAGGGGCGTGAGGTGTGATGCAAGGGTGGACCATGGTGGACCCATGGGGCTTGCCACTAGTGCAACAGGTGGTGTGGCATGCGGTATGGAGTGTCGTGTCGGGGGTGTGAAGTGGTGTGGGGGGCGGTGGGGGTGGTATTGGGGCTGGTGTGTGGGAGGTGTGACTTTATGTACGAGATAGGTGAGCATTCTTCGAGTTGGCCTCGTCCTGGTACAATTAAGGCGTGAAGACTTCAACAGACATTACATCTCAGTTCAAACTTGGTGGGTTGCAGTCAGCACGCGGCTTTCAGCCTTTCGGCAGTCATCCGCGAAATGTGCCTGCAAGCCGAATAACTTGTCGCCTTCAAATGCGTTCGAGCAGCCACGAGGTGCAACCACTCCTGAGGAGAAGCTCGCTGCAAGATGCAAGAAGCAGCTGGCATCGGCGCAACATGGCAAAGCACGTTGTCCCTCGACATCCTCATCGTGCCCCATCGTGCCTCCGGTGTGTGCGGCAAAGGCGTACAGCCAGCCCCAGCCAGGCGCCGTGAGCTACTACCTCCACAGGCATAGAGTTGCTAGCACCACGGTACCATCTCCACATGTACTGTAATGTCCAGTGGGTGCAGCTGTGCAACAGGTTCGAACCTGAGGAGTTGTTGGCATCTTCGTGGGTGTGGCCGTGGCCAAAAACCTCGCCTGACGACTTGTGAGCATTGAGCAGGCTTCTTATTGGAGCCACTGCATGGCATTGCAGCCCAGTCGCTGTACGCATGGTCGGAACAGGAATGAAGCGATGAGGCCACGAAGCTAAAACCACCCAGCTGATTCGATCCTTGGCATACCAACACCACTCACGCGCACTTTGCATTGCTGGCCTGGTCAAAGCCCGCAAGACCTAAGGCCTTGGCCAAAGATCATGAAGGCCAGAAAGCCCAAGGACATGAACTCGCTGCTCATGCGATTGGCGAACTCCTTGCGCCGTATTCAGCTCCGGAATCTTCAATTGCTGTTCTTGAAGAAAGTTAATGGATGGGTTCACAACTGCAACGCGTGATCTAAGAATCTCCTGGTATAGCCGAGTGTGGAAGATTTTCCCAGACCTGCAGATCAGGATGAAACAAGCATGTCCGCGCGAAAGACATGGACGCAAGTGCTTTTGATATAGAGCTAAACTACATGGATAGAGCCACAGCTGTACTGCGTCGGATTCGATGGCTTAGTCCGGGCAGCTCATCATCATTCTGGTGGTCCGGCTCGTAGGCCGACTCATGCAGCTGGCCATAATAGAAGGATTTCCGCGCCTAAGTACCGCGGAAGCCCACTGAACCTTGCCAAAGAAAAGCATGTCTGCCGAGGGACGGGAGCGGAAAGGAGATGCCAAGAAACCTCGAACCTCAGAACGTCAAGGCCCCCCAAAGCGCTCACAAGCGAATCGTTGGTCCTCTGTCAGGGTCAACATTCTTCATACTCGCTTCAACGCTTCAATGAACCCATCTCCACACTCACTATCTCCATAAACCTACATGGGGTGCAGGATGACATGACATGCAAACTTGAGGTGCAAGCCGAGGCCAACCAAATAGAATGCTAGTGCGCAAGTCGGTGCTTCGCGTGCGGCTGCGCGTGCGTCCTTGCATGCATCCTTCTGCGTGCGCTTGTGCATGTGTCTGTGTGGGAAAACCCAACCCACAGCACGCATCTGGTCACCAAACTCCCTACGTAAAGCCAGCAATATGTCCACACCGGAACAAAATAATTCTGAACGACGACACTTTGGAAGCCCAAAACAAAATTGGCAAGTCTCAGATGCCTGCAACAAAGATTAATTTAGCTGGCCTTCGTTGGAATGCAATGAAATAATATGAAATACTGCCATCTCAACACAACCTCACCGACTTAAAGGTACCCAAGAAGCCCCAAGCGGGCTCCCAAGACATCACCTTCGGGCACTTGAAAATCCCAACTGACTGACAACGAAACAACTCCATACCCTGCCACTTGCACCAACAGCTCCCGCAAAAAAAGAAACACTCAAAACAAGTGTGTCTCTTGGACACGATTAAAATACCCAGGGACCCACTCAAACTAAAGGCACAAAACGGGCCTGCATGCAGGTGTGTATGCATGCGTGCGTCCGGCCATCCAGACGTGGGTGTGTGCCCAAGCAAGCAGGCTGGCCGGGGGCAAGCAAGCGAGCACTCCTTGCGCGGCGCTGCTTATCATGCTTATCCTAGTGCATCCTGGCCCCGGTGCTTCATTTGGCAGCGGAGCCACAATAAACATCAAGCTGGGCCACTTTACCTTTCAATTCTGCCCTCCCCTCGAACCACACATATTTCCTGCAAACCTTTCATTCTACACATTCCCACCAGAGTAACGGAAGCATCAACAACTTACCAGTATCCAGGCGTCGCTTGCGGCATATATCTATCGCAAGAGATTCAAGCCTAGCTAACAGCCTAGCATAGCTGGATCCAGCTGGCACTGGCTTTCGCAAGTAGACTCTGTACTGGGGCCTGGAAAAAAGTGTGCTTCTTTGTTAACATGCTAACTTTTTGCATCCACGTTGCACCAGCTCCAAAAACACCACAGTAATCAAGACCTCAGTTCGTGCATCGACAAGATCTCAGGCTGTGGGGTTCAGCTCAGTACAGCACATTCGAACTTCCTGGGTCACAGTTCTTCTGGGCTAATCGGGGCCCAGGCTAAACTCTCCACGTAGTTGTACCTTAGGCAGCACATGCTGTGGTTCCTCCTTGCTGGTGGTGAACCATCTTTCACTCGATGAAGGATTCTTTGTGCTTCGGCTGAGGCTGTCACTCGTAGTCACTTGAATACCAGGAACCCTGCCAAGCAGTCTATTCACTACTTGTTCACTCTTGTTCACTACTTGCAGCATGTGGCAGAGACAGAACCAAACTGGGCATGCAAACTCCCGGCAACAAATACAAAGTTGCTCCCAAGCCTTCCGGATTGTTGCGCTTATCCAGGCAGCCGCGAGAGTTATATGCTTAACACTTGTTTTTGAATTTAGCACAATAGATCATAACAATTGGAATCTCTCCCGGTCATTTGATTGTGTTGAGTCTTGACCGGCGTTTTGCTCAAATCCAAGCCAACGTGCTACAAACTAGAATATGGTTAATCCAGGTCTTAGCTCGATAAGTCCCCACTGAGGGGTTCCAACGTTTAGGGTAAGAGATGTTGTCACGCTTCTCGAGGCCACGACCTGGACCATGCAGTTTTCTTGAAGCCTGCTCGCATTTCGGACGAACATCGCGCTCGCCTGGATGTGGGTTTGGCCGTGCTCGCCGTCCTTGAAACTGTCATCGCTCTTGGACGTCGGCGCTTGGCGAAATCGAAACTGTCGTCGCTTTGGAAGTCTGACTGGTCGCTTGTGGACTTCTGGGCTCACATGGTCTGTCACTGTCTACGGTCTATGCTGGCGTAATTCAATTGTCTGGAAGATGGGGGTTTCGGGGGATTGGACAGGGGGAGAATTCCTTATCTTGCAGGCAATTACCTCCACGTTGTGGTGGTCTCGCCACGGTTCTTGCGATTTTGATTCAGGGACAGCCTCAGAAAATCCTCTTGACATGTACCAAATATTTAAATACCTCCTACTCCCATGGGTTTGAGGTCAGCTTCCAGGAGCATGTGTGACCCAGCATGACTAACGCCCTCATACCAAACGCACGCAGGTGTGTGTGTGTGTGTGTGTGTACGGGCCTGAGCTTCGCCAGCAGCAGCTGCAAGAAGTGGCAAGGCCAGCCAGAGCGGCCATCTCATGCCGAAGTTGGTTCCAGTAAAAATTAAAAAAGGAACCGTTTTTTTGCTGATTGGTGTAGGTCTAGTCAGTGATACACTGGAGTGCTGCTGACTCATGTTGGCTTCGTACATGCATATAAACAAGCCGGCGAACCTCATGATCGCGACATATCGCGACAGAGCAGGGCTTCGAAGTTCGTCGGATCTTCTGGCTTTTTCCTACGTTTCAGTACCTTCACTACTTTTCATGAACACGGAAACAGCTTAAGCCAGGCCTGACAGCGTTCAACAGCCGGAATGCATAGGACATGCCGGCAGTGCTCACCAAAAGCGATGGGAACTCTTCAGACTTCAGACTGCTGCAAAATGCCCCGACATGCTGCGGCAGGCACGCTGCGGCACCCCCACACAATACGGTACAACGTGCACCCACGAACCTCAAGCTGTATGATGTTGACCTGAGGACACTTCGTTGTCATTAAACGAGGCCAATTGCAGCCGGGTCAAGCGCACTTACACTGCTACAAAGCTGTGTCAACGATTCCATCGTCTTCTTAACCTGAGTATCGTAAGCCTTAAGCCTTACAGTGCCTTACAGTAAGCAAAGCATGTCGCACGGCACAATGATCGCGTAACGGTGCTCTCAGCAGTGCTCTCAGCAGTGCTCTTTTGGCCAACACGGGCGAGCTTAGAGAGCGCAGAATGCGCAGAACATCGCAGAACACTTTCCCCGCACATGAGCTCATCACGTGGATACCAGTATAGCCTCTTGCTCAAGCCGGAAAGACGTATACCACAAGGATCCATATGCCATCATCTGCCATAAGGGCAAACAACGGATGAATCAGGCGACGACAAGTTCAAGACAATGACTCGACACGCCTTGTGCGTCCCTAAACCTAAGCTCATCTGCTCGAATGCTCACGGTTCAAATCTCGACCGGTTGAGTGTTTGAGTCTTTGGTGCAGGCTGACGATTGTCACAATTGCTTGGCTACCACTAGCACCAAAGTCCTCCCTGTTGCGGGTGTTGGCTGTCCACCTGGCAAGATAGAGCCCGAGACCTGTGAAGGTCATAGGTTCCTCTTGGTAGTCCCGATGTCTTTCCGGTCGCTATATTGCCAGGGCACTCCCTCGTTTAAAAAATTCTGAGCGAAGCCAGAATGCACTGGCATCACAGAGGTAAAGACCGTCCAGAGCGTGTCTGCGGCGCAAGTGCGCAGTAAGCCTGATGGCTTGAACCCAGCAAAACGTAATTTGCGTGGTGAACCCATGAGCACTTTATGAGCCTTTCATGCGCTGGCAGCTTCTATAGCTGGCAAGGCCACGCAAAACCTCCACCCTCTGGGCAAAGGCTGAGCGTAGTTTCGAAGAGGACGCTTGGCCCAAAAGCTGGAAAAACTGATACTTCTGATACACCAAACGACTGCAACGCAGGAAACTCCCGCCCCCCAGGCTGAGCGTCAAAGCTGAGCAAGGCTATCCATACATGGAGGTTGTGCCATGCCGGTTTAACAAAGTTGGCGCGCCGTTGCCTTGCAGCACACTGTGGCTGAGGCAATGTTCCCCCACTGCTGTTGCTAGTCCTGACAGCGGCATCTTGTCATATGAGGCTTATTGAGCTTATTGCTTCTATGGATGCCCTCCCAACCCATCAGGGCTCTACGCACAAGAAATCACAAGACTCTGCGAGCTTCGGGTCCACCAGCTTGGCCAGTCTTGCCACGAAGCATGGAAAACTAATTCATGGCATACGACTTGACCCACCCGCCGAGTTAAGGCATGCCAGTGACCGGCATCAGTAAAATGCGGCAGGTTTTGCGGTGAAGTCGCAGCAGCCAAGAAGGTCATTGTGCCAGCACCTTAACGCGGCCGCGCTCTTCTGCTTTCGTTTAGCGAGCTCTGCAAAAACAGAGATCAATGGCCTAGCTGTCAGCCTGGCATGCTAAGGCTTTGACTGGGACTGGCTTGTAGCCCTGATGTCTCGCCTGGAGATTCGCTGCTGAATCACTTCGACATGGTTTGCGAATGTTGGCACAGCTCCTCTCAACCTCTGCTTTCTGCTCTGCCTCTATCTAAAAATCTTCCTGAAATAAAACAAGCAGTGTATGTCTGTGCAATTCCGTTCACCCACATCATCTGAGCCGTCCTGAGCCACAGCTCTCTGCACGCGGGTGACCTTCCGCAAAAACAGAATCTCTCTGCCAGAATCTCTACGCAGTCTTTTGATGACTGACAAAGACCGTCGACAAAGATTGAGAGCCGGAGATCCGGTCTTCCAATTTGAACCATCTGAGGTCGCCAAGACAATCCAAGGCGCATCCGTCGGCAAGACAAAGCTGAGCATCTCCTTGGCTAGACTCGAGACATGGCAAGGGAACGACGACTCAGAGCGGGCCTGCATCAGTCTGCTGTGTCAAGCAGCACGATCCCACGCTTAACAGGCACTTAAGAACTGTCACTTCCAACTATTCCGACTGCTAAGCCACAGGTTTCTGCATGACTGCCGCCACCTTGCCGAGGAACCATGGTGACAGGATCACAGGAACGCACCACCAGATTGGCTCTGCTTGCAGGTTCCCCTTAACACAAGCCTGCCTGCACATCCAGCACATTTCGAGTCCGGAAGGGCATATCTGGAAACCTTGGCGTCAGGCAAGTGAGGGAAGACTTGCAGGTCACGTCAGTCACGTCAGATCATGTGGAGTTCTTTGGTCGGCAAAGCGGCAAGTCGGGAAGCCGCTTCACGGCCTCTAAGGATACCTCCTTGTCTGCCTTGACATGCTCCTGGTTGCCAAGTCGGCCAAGCCAAGATCACCTCTCCTGCGACATCACATGACATCACTCTGTGTGCGCCTCCAGTCGCCGATACAGCTGGGGATCATGGCGCACGACAGCTAAACCTCAGCACAGGGTTGATTTTTGGTCTCTGGCCAGCTGCAAGATGTTGCAGCAATCCAGCTTCCGATAGGATCAAGGCCAAACGTCCTCGTTGTAAGAAGACCGGTCTGAAGAGCAGCCAGTAAATGCTGGCCGGACTCCTGCTGAAGCTCCCACACTTTAGCACAAGCGATGTCACAGCATGTTGCGCATGCAAACGGGTCGACGATGAAGCAGCACGCCAACAACACACGTCAGCACCTTCGAGACGAGCAGGACATTGGTTTCCTGCGCAGATGCTATGGACTGCTTTTCGAAGCATACCTGGTGCTCCCTGACACGTGACAAGCTCCTAAATCAGTGCGACAGCTGTGCGCAGATCAAAACGTGCAGCCAAGGCTCTATGATTTGTGGCAACCTGAACGACCCAAAGTTTCTGACAAGAAGCAGCTGGAGGCAGCCACCCCACAGAAAACAATGCTGAACAAAACAAAACGCAGATTTAAACTGTTCGTCTTACCACGTGGTGATATGCCATGCGGTACTACACATTGTGCTGCGCTCCAGGACCGACAAAGCTGCCGCTCGAAGTGGAACACTGATGCTATTCAATGTTATTCCTATCGGAACGAAACGAAACCATCCACCTTTTTTGCGACCTTGCCTTAGAAACAAGCCCTGAGTGCCCGTTCCGGCAAAAAAAAACAAAACATGGTAGAATCAGGTCCCAACGACCAGAAGCCTGTCCCACAAGATGTGGTCAATTCTGTCCAAAATCCTGGTCACTTTGGGGCTCCCGGCTTTTCCGCGCTTTTTCGGCTTCTTCAGAAGCAGACATGTCAACACGAACGCAACTCTACATTGCACAAGCGCTTAGAATCCAATAGATGCCTTCAGGGAACGTTTGCCTAAACCAGACACCAGAAGCAAGCAGAAGAAAGCTAGCGATGCTAGGAGATGCCAAGTTTGTAGTGGGATCAACAAAGCTTGTCCACTCAAAATCAAGTTCTGATAGTCAAAAATCCTGGAGGATCAAAGAGTGGAAGAAATGTCTTGCAAAGACATGCAGCTTCGGGCTTTCAGATGCGGGGTCGTTCGTCCCTTGCAAAGGGAGGATGGATGAGAAGAAGCGGTGGTGCCCAGAATACCACGTTTAGAAGCATCTAGGAATCTAGGGTCTCTATAAAGTGTATTGGAGGTCTTCAGAAAACACTGCTATGAATTGGCACCATCGCGAATTGGGGATGAAATACTAACACATACGAAAATTGTAATACAGCCGTACACGAGTAACAATGCAATCCTAATCATGGTAAGCACAACATTTATCGCAACCGAACTACCAGTTCTGAGACTATCCGCCGACCCCCTTTGTCGGCGTCAAGAAGCTGGACTCGTACCTTTCCCGCTGGACCCGCCAGTGCCCCTCCCCATGGCCCTACTACCCCCCCCCTCCCCCCTCACCCCGTACCCCCCCCCCTTGAGATGAAACCTGAGCGTTACCAGCCTCCGGCTCGGTACAGCTGGCAAGGCACGCAGGTGTCTCTTTTGGCTCTGCTGGCTAAGTGTATCACTCTGATCCAGAACCTCGGGCACAGGCCACTGCATGCCATGATGACTGAACCCTGTGGCATACCTGTCTCTATTTCAGTCAGGCACAAATTTAAAAATTCAGCTCATTTGGCATGTCGTATGACGATAGTGGCGGCCACGAGGTCTCGTTCCAAAAAACGAAACATAGCGAGAGTGCGCAGCAGTAAGTTTCTATACAAATCAGCAACTATTCACAAGAGCAGTCAACGATAAGGGTGTGCTTCACAACAGCAAAAACAAAAAGGCCTGAGCTCGTCTCCGTTCTTTTATCGGTGAAGGACTTGTTGTCACACCTTCTCAACTGGAGTTGAGTTCGCGCTTGACACACTCATCCCAAACAGAAGAACAGCTACCTTCCCTGTGAGGAAGCATGCTTTTGTGGCTCCCACGCATTTTGTACATGCGCTACCGCGAAGCCTGTTGCATCACAAGACACAACTCACAGGACGAGCTGGATTACAGCAGCACCAATGAGGATGTAATCGTAGGAAGCGTTGAAGTAGAACTTCACCTTCTACCCCACGAAGACGAACCCCATGAGGAGGAACTCCATCCTTGGTTCCATGAAGGATCCCACGACCAATTGGACCAGTATGGGCCTTGAGAGGATCCCTTGCCTCTTGGCGAGCCTTCCCCTTTTCTGGCCTTACCAGCCCCTTTTCCTTTTGGAGGCGCCCAAAGTTCTTCATGTCTCCTTCTACCACTGGCTTCGTACTCGTAGACTTCAGGGTTGTCGTCGAAAGAGACTTCTCTCCTCGCAGCAGCTGGCTTCGCCGCTGGCTTAGCCTTTGGAGGAGCTGCTGGCTCTGGCACTGCTGAAGGTTCCTCACTTGGAAGCGAGCCTCCTTCCTTGCTCTTGCTTTTGCCTTTGCCAGGTGGAGCACGACCTTCGCCTTGTACTGGTTCGGCAGGAGCACCACGCTTTTTAGCCTTCTGTCTCTCTTTCCTGGATTGGGACGCCTGCAAGATCGACTCCTTCGACCTGTACGTCTTCTTCTCAGAGAACTTCATCCAGTTAGGAGCGATGTGTAGAAGCAGTGGTGTGTGACTGTCATTGTCCGAGGGCTTCAGGAGGAAGTGGTTCTTCGTCGAGTGCAGCAAGAATTCACTCACCGAAACCTTGTACTCCATGCTGCCCTTGTACTCAGCCCACACCTCATTGGTCATGCTATGACCCCATTCGAAGACGATGGCAGTCATGCAGTCCAAATCAGGAAACGTCGTCCAATCCACTAGGTGGCCCACATCGCCGTAGGGGAACCCAAGCTTCTCCTCGTAGAGTTTGAGAAGATGTAGAGGGTTCGAAGTCACGACGCGTGTCCTTGGGATCAACAACCTGTCCTGACGTTGGTGCTTCTCGAAGGCGTCGACGAAGTACTGGATCGTCGAGAAAAGGGCTGAGCTGTCGTGTGACACTGACCCCTGTTGGCTACCTCCGAATCGGTAGCATGACATGTTGCCATCTCCGCCCATCAGATCCACTTGGTAGTGGAAGCAGTCAGCGACCATCGCAGCTAGTCCCTCGGCCAAGAAGCCGGGCTTAGAGCGTGCGATTTCACTTCGAACGTGGAAGTTGCAGACACGAATTGACTTCATGCCTGCACGCGTGAGATCTTCCTTGAACTCGGCCTCCTCGAAGGCGGACTCCACTCGATCAACCAGGTCTTCTTGTTCCATTCTCTCTCGAGGAATGGTACTTCCAAAGTTGATCTGGACGATCTCATATCTGATGGGAATCCAGGCATACGCAGGGTCTTTGAGGACCGGACCAGCAAGGTGCTTGAAGCTGACCTTGTTCTTGCCCTTGGTGTTTCCTCTGACAGCAGTGAGGAGATCTCCTGCCTCATTTGTTCGGAACAACCAGCCCTTGGACCTGAAGTAGTCCAACTCTTCTCTCGTCATGTTGTTCTCCTGCAGCAGAATAACATGTGCCTTGGAGTGAGAGAGGAACTTCACAATGATGGAGCTTCCATCGGAGTAATCCGAGATGAGGTCGGCATACTTTGGAGGAAGTGTGCCCTTTCTGCCCCTCGCGAAGTTCCCCAAGTTGGCAACCATCACGCTAAGACCTACTCTGGAGGTGGCCAAATGCGTCATCTCTGCCATTGGATCGGGTTCCTCAGCAAAGGCTGAGCTTCCCAAGCTCGTGGTTTCGAGACTTCCACAGGCCAGAAAGTGCCGAAGAAGGGTGTTCAGAAGATCACCTCTCGTAGCATTGGTTTTTGCCAGTGACTCCATCAACAGCGCCTCCTTCTCCGCAATGGCAACATGGGCATTGTATGATCTCTCAAGTGCATCAGTCGAAAAAGTGCTCCTCACATCAATGCTCTTGAAAGCCACTTGTTTTGCTGCAGGACGAAACTCCCACAACGGTGGCATCGTCGCCATTGTCTCGAAGAAGGGCACTTCTGGAACCTGGAACTTCCAATTTGACCGAGCAGGAGCCGCTCTATCCCTCCAGCTCATATGCTGGAGTCGAAATCGGTTCTGAGCCGACTGCGCCCGAAGACCACCATGGAGAATGCCATCACTTTCTCCATACTTCTGCCGACTGAGGATGTAGATGGGCGAACCCTTTTCAACCCTCTCCAGCTCATCAATGAAGCGCTGGTACTCGGGCAACTGCTCCAGGGTCGCCTCTTCCTTTTTGTCGGCGAAGGATCGAAGAGCATCCTCATTCTGCTGAGTGATCTCTTGAAGATCCTGCGGAGTAATAACAGTCTGTACATTACCCCACAGGCCTTGGGGCGTTCCCGAGGGTGCCTCACTTGGAAGTGAGCTTCCCTCTGTTTCCCCAGTGGTGACCATTGGCGTAGAGGACTCCTCCTCCACCTTGAAGTCACCTTCCTCGACCTTCAACTGGACTTCGGGATCTGGCTCCTTGACCTCTTCGGTCGCATCGGGCATTGGCTCTTCTTTGATGTGCGCTTCGGAAGATGGTGGTGGTCCCTCTGCTGTAGCAGAGCCCGCTTCCTCTTCCATTGTTGCATCCAGAGAGGAAGGCGCCACCTTGGGTTCCTCAACTCGTGTTGAGCTTCCCCAGGATTCATCGACCTCGATGACCTCCTCGATTTTGATGGTTCCTTCATTGTTCTCGAAGGTTCTCTCAAGCTCAAAATCTTCCACAGGAATGCCAAGGTAGTAGTCGACGAATGCCTCCTCGGACTGGCGAATCTGCACATACTGCTGCAAGTCCTGAACGGCCTTGGAAGCGAAGCGAGAGAGGAACTTCCGCTCTGGGTACGAAGCGACGGTGCGTTCGATTTTCTTCAGGATGAGTTTGGGCTCAAACGGGAGCCTCAATGAGCAATCTCTATGCTCACTATTGTCCTGTGCGCGCACAACAAACTTGTTCCGAAGTGCTTGGTTGTCACGATTCTCCTTCATGTACAAGAAGAAGTCACTGCCATAGAGTTCCACGAACATGTCGTAGAGGTTGACGAAATCGCTCTGAATGTTGATGAGCTCCTGGGCCACCATCAGCTCGTGCCGAAATGCCTGGTACTCTGCGAGCTTCTCAGCGTAGTTCTCTGTGCCTTCAACTGGCATTCGATTTCGCTCATCTGTGACCTCAGGCTTTGCTCTCCCGTAAAGAATTCCAGGGTGAAGACTGACTCGGCCTTAGATCTGAGCTCGGTGAAGTAGTCCGCGTCCCAATGTGGAGTATGATGGTCATAGTGAGAGACCTTCGTCAACTGAAAGTCAATGAGCACATTGGCGGCTATCTTCCCCAGTCTGAATGCCTCCAGGAAGAAGAGAACCGGGTATCCACTCAGAGGATTGTGCAACCAAAGAGCCTGATCAAGCTGGAGCTTCTTTCTCACA